GCTCTCGGCTAGTGTATGTGTGGCTGCTTGCACTAGCCCAGACTTAAGCTGGTGCTAGCTCAGTGTCAGAGATACCATGCCGCAGTTGAGCATGAAAACCCGACTCGGACACATTATACTGACTCCGAGCCAACCAGTCCTTGTTGTACCCATTAATGCCGAGCGCCAGTCAGAGACCAACAAGTACCATGAGGCGGCCGGGGATCGAACCCGTGACCTTCCGCTCTCCTGGCGGACACTGTAACCACTACACCACAAAGGCAGTATGTGATACTGTGTAATGTGTTGGAACAGATTAGTTTGAGCAGAGACCATATAATTATATGGTCTCTGGTTTGAGACTTTACCATCACATATATAGTAACTGTTTGGAATGTTGCCACCAATACTCAATTCCCCATGATAATGAAATCACTTTCCGGTATGCTTTAAAGAAAATAAATAACTGGTTGCTTGGAAAATGATATTTGAAGTGTACATATTTTGGATGCCTCATCATCAGTGTTCAATGTCATTTTCCATGGCCCATTTGAAGATAAGCTAGCCGGATCTAATGATATCATTCTTATTGATCTTTATGCTCATTTCCATTTCACCCCAATCCACATGGACAGAGCTCGTGTCCAAAGAACTAGACTTGGAATAGAAAATCTTATGAAACGTAAACGTTCTCTTGCTGGACATGAGCAAACACTGACTGGGTCATTACTTTGGCAAACCACACTGGGAACCCATGGGGCAACAGGTACGATAGTTATATTTGGAGTGGTGTGCCTCAACACCTGGTGATATTGTTTACTAGTTCCTTATTAAGTATATTTTCATACGCAGGTACCCACATACTGCCCAGAGGTGTCACTGGTGTAGGTACAGAGTGTGGACCTTTGATGCTAATTTTGCTACTTCTACCTAGTATATCTATACTGGGAGTCAAGAGTAATCTAGAAGGTTCCAGCTGAAATGACAAAGAAATTATTGGAAACGTTTTCATATGTATATAAAGGAGCATGCTCATACCTATGTCACCTCATCTATGTCAAGCTAGCAGTCTGTGAAGGTAGAAAGATATAAAGCCTTGGCCTCTTTGGGAACCTTGTCCACTGTTGTTGCTTGGTGAATATTATTATCACCGACTTTATTGCCATCCCAACGAAGGACCTTCATGTCAAGAAAAAGGGTGATAATGAGGGGCAGTTTTACAGTCATGGTGTGATTATTGTCCTTGAATCAGCATAATAATAAAGTTTAAGAGAACCACTAAACTTTGTTTTTTGTTACTCTTTTAACCATTACATATGAAAGATTTGTGGTTAGTCTTATGCGGAACACCAAATTTATTCTTTAAAAACTTGTGGTTATTTAATACCGAGCGATTAAAAGTTGCCAAAAGTCGCCTGCTTCCCTCTCGCCCGCCAACGAAACCACAGACAGGTTACGTAACTCTGTCGCCAGAGCACTGCAGTGACGTCATATGAGGAAGGATTTTCAGTTAGTTGTATAGAAAATGTGTAGCACGCTCATCATTTTGATGATTTCTCGACATCAACGATGACATGCCGAATCGTTGCTGTGTCGTCAATAAGCCATTTTCCAGTTTTGCCGTTTAGAGTTATCTGCCCACTGTGACACGTGACCGCGGGCATGACAACACGTAAACAAGGTTGACGTGCCGTTTCTGTCTACAGACGATATTGTTTACTTTTGGTCTACGATCACTATTTGAAGAAAATATCAAGTATGTTCCTATCCAAGACTGTTCCACAGTTGAAGATGTATTTGAAAGACCGTGGTGTGACATTTACAGGCTACATTCGTCGCGAATTGATCACTTTGTGCGAGTGTGTTGCCAGCTTGGATTTGCCCGTCTTCCAGGATGTTTCCGATGTAAGCTACACACCCCAAACACTCTCACACCTGAACATTAACTGTGACCCATTCCTGTTACAAGGCTACTCAAACAATTTGTCACAATGTCCGGAAATTGGAATATATGACGTATTTAATTACTTGGTGTCGTTCAGGCCCGATTATGACAGAAGGAAGCTTCGCGCCTACAAGTCTTTTCAAGACTATCGCTTGTTTGCTGATGGGCATGTCAACAGTGTGGAGTATGCTGATGCTACTGACACAATTGGAATTTTTAAAGCGTCTGTGAAGCCAACACAACGGGACAAGACCTACCTAAAAGTCCGAGTTCTACAACCTATGGATTGCTGTGGAAAAATAATGTTGACATTAAGAGCGCTTACTGTCAGTGTCCAGGAGGGTAAGTGAGCTAGCTGGCATTATACATTGAAAAGGTCTAAAGCTCGTAATGATGCTTGAATTAAAGAGAAACAACCAGTTCCAAACTCCATAATGTTTCAGTGGATCTTAGCCAATATTTATACATTTCTAATATCCATGTAGACCTATTCATAATACTGTGAAAGCAGTTATTGATGTTGCTCATGTATAATGTTACATGTACAATGTTTGTTATAATAACCCTTTGTCTTGAAACAAATAGTGTACATGTATTTTTCTACATATTTCAGATCTGATGGAGCCTGCAGACATATAGCAGCAACACTTTTTGACATTGAAGCTTTTGAGAAAAAGAGCGTCCACTGATGGCCCATCCCTATGGACCAAGCGACCAAGAAGTCATGATGAGCCTGTGCCACTGCGTCACCTAAAAGTCAAGAAAATCAGGTACAAAAGAAAAAACAAGGACATGTGGGAAATTTCAGAACACTAGTCTGCAAGTAGTTAATATTCTACATTAAAATCTGGTCTTAAATAAATCACAACCAACATGAAATACATGGGAGATATTTTTATTTTGCTGTACAAATGACCCATGTAAAATGTGTTGCAGCTATGGACAAACACTAGCAGACACGAACAGTGACCTTGGACAGGAGAATTTTGATCCTCGACCAATAAGTGACCGAGCAAATCCATCACTTGAACAGCTGGCCGATTTTGCAGCCTCCCTGCACCAGGTTGAAATGAGTTGAATATTCCTATTTCAGTCCACAACATACAACAGTCATTATGTACCGGTAGTTAAAGCATGAAAATGTTAAGTATTCATATAAACGTTTTGGAACAGGTGTTTTCAATGCAGATTGTTTTACTTTCAAACATTCATAAAAAGCAATGAATATCTATCTGTAAAACAATACACTCAATATATACATACCTTCATGGGATGACACTTCCAACTTTCAGCTTGGTATCATGACAGAAATGGACAACTTCCAATGCTCAGAGCTAGTTGTAACCCAAATGAATGATATCATTTTGCAGAGAACTTATGAACATGTTTCATAATTGCAGATAAATCCGAATGCTTGTGCCTTTGGAGAGCCTACTTGATCCCACTGACACAGAGACTCAAGCAACAAAAATTAATGAGGAATGTGCTGCCATGTCCATAGTCAACAAACTACAGGCCCTTGACTTGCGTCCAGATACTGACATATCTCAGGATGCAATTAATAGACTCAGATACTGTACTTGATGACATTACTTACATTGAACATGAAACCACAGGACAGAGTGAGAATCCTACATGGTCAGTTATGAGAAAAGGCATGGTGACCACTTCCAATTTTAAACGTGTTTGCACCAGGGCAGACTCTTTTGAAAAAACAATAACATTGATTGTTCAAATTTAGTGAAATGTTTGCTCCATGACAGTCTTAGCATTGACAATAGCAATGTACCATCTTCTATTGTGTGGGGAAAGAAAGAAAGAAAGCAAGGCCAAAGAAATGTATAAAACAGATTGAAAGAAGGAGACATAAAAAAATTATTAGTGAAAATCAAAGGTTTATTGATTGATAAAGAAAATCCTTTCCTTGGTAATTTCAGTGGATGGTACAGTTGAATGTCAATGCAAAGAAAATCATCAAAACAAATTATTAGAAATTAAATGTCCATGGGCTTTGAGAGACTGTGATCCTAAAACTGCTGCACAATGTAGGGATGTTACCTGAAAGATGGTAATTGGTATCTTAAAGATGATAGTGATTATTATTATCAAATTCAAGGCCAATTAGGTATATATGGATTTCAGTCCTGTGATTTGGTAATATACACCAGGAAAGGTATACATGTTATTAATGTACCTTTTCATGAACAATTCTTTGAGTCTATGATTAGAAAAAATCAAAATATATATGTAAAAATATTACTTCCTTCAATATTGCAGACTTTAAACAAGTAAAATAGATGAAGATATTTGTCAGCTTTGGCTGAAACTTCCTGGTTACTGTAAGAGATATTCCTTTGAGTGACTTGGACATCTATTTAGCAAGAACATTATCCAAGTTGCACAGTGACGCTGCTACATTTACACACTGACAAAGAGAACCTTTGATTTTCAAAGGAATAACACCCTGTAATAGTTTATATTCCTTTAGTCTCCCAATAGCTCTCTCCACATGTATTCTAGCATTTGCTATTCTCCTAGTTTTAGTAACTGCTACTGAACTGAGTTGTCTCCCATGAGAAAATGGTGGTATGTTGAGAGTTGTCTTTCTAAAGGCTAATAGATCTCTAATTAAAAAGCCTCTATCAGCCATGATGTCATCATGTTCAGAGAGTAAATCTAAGAAACCAGATTGTTGAACTATCTTCCTATCCGAAATGCTGCCTGACCATAACTTTGAAACAAAAAGTAAATGAACCTTTTGGAGAGCAAGCAACTAAACACTTTAAAGAATTTCTATGTTTATAAGATGACCATGTTACTCTCTGGCTGGAAGGAATACTCGGTTTTGAAGTAGAAATTCTGTACAATCAATAACTGCTTTGGTATTTGGAAAATATTTAAAACATTTAGGAAGATTATGTTTCACCTGTCTTGTGGAAGGCCATTTGATAAGAAAAACATAATTCTTTGCACATCAGATTGATCCATGTGTTGAAAATTCTACTAATGTGAGAGTTCAAAACACCAAACAAGTCAGACAACTGTTCCACATCATTAGCTCGTCGTAGAAAGAACATCAGAGTGATGATAAATTCCTCATACAGAGAGAGAAGTCTTGACGGGCCTCTGCTGGATTTTGCTGCAATACAAAAGCAGGAAATTGTACACAACTAATTTTGAACATTTACAGTGCTGTACCATTTACATTCTGAACTGATATCAGAAACTATGCGTGAAATAATGCATTGGTTGCCAGCCAAGATTCAGAGTTGTATTAATCGAAACTTTTGTATTATCAGTAAAATGTCCCAATGTTCTGACCATAATAAACTGAATATTTCTGAAAAGTTAACCAGCATCAAATGGTTTATATAATATGTAATGTCATTTGGTATGTACTAACTGACATGAGTATTAATGACAAAACACACCCCATCTTGCTTTGTCTCACTTTGACCTCTCCAGTAAGTCATCCTGGCAGCCTTGTCCTTCAACCAGTTGAACACCAGCATGAGCATGGCAACACTGAGCCCTGTTGTAAAAGTGTAACACTGGTCATCAAACATCATTGACAATGTGACATTGAATAATAACCACCACCATAAATGAAACATGAATCTGATATTTTTTGGTTACAGTGCCCAACCCCAAAGGATTGATAAATGTAATACTTAGTTATTTTATATATGCTGGTATTTTGTATGTATATACCTTTAAACACAATAACATGTAATATATGTACCAGTGTAAAACTTGCTGCTTTTGTTGTTTCTTGTGATGTTATCCATTGTTAATTTTTTGGTCAGCATCTTGGGGTTCTGCAGCACATCATCTGTGTATGAGCTGATGTCATCAAAACACAAGTTTGTTTGTGTGGAGGCATCAGCAGTAGATTTGATAGTGCTGTAGATGTGATCACCAAGAGCTGTCATTGGACCAACAATGTCCATTCCCATCTGAACTTCACCTGTTGAATAATATTAACATACTTAGACCAAAAGAATATTATAACAGAATATATACACTCAGATTAAATTATTTCATAAAGGGCGATCTCAATCAAAACAAGTGGATGTGAGAATGAATTAATTATAAAACAACATGCTAAAGTTATATTCTTTTGAACATACATACATTTGGTAGGTAAGACATCATCCTCTACCATTCTCTTTTTGCTTGGGGTGTCAGAGGCTACTGGGTCTGCCTGTCTTTGTCGAGGTGGTGGCCTAGGGCTTCAAGGGCGTGGAAGTTATCGAGACAGGGTCTGGGAAATCCAAAGTTGGTCCACGGCCACCTGACAGGATATTTATAAATCAACTGTAGTTCACACAAGCACTAAAGCGGCAATTTAAAACTATGCATGGGTACATTATTTTACACCATGTAACCACTTTTTATCATTGTCCGAGAAATTAATGATTTGCATTGACGATATAGTTACTATTTTAGAATTCCACCTGATGGAAACATAAAATTGTAGCATATTCAGACAAAAAACTCACCTACGAAGTGTTTCCCTGAACAAATATATGTGTGCCCTCGTGATGTTTTTGACGTCAAATCCCTCTCGACCATTGCGGCCCCGTCGTCCACCTCAAACATTTCTCCGGTTGACTCTTCAGCTTCGGAAAAGGAATAAAACACGTTTTCCATCTCATGGCGATCCTTGTACCTGCTTATCAGACTTACACAATCCATAGCAACAGTGGTGGTAAGGCATCTTCTGCTTTTCTCGGTGTACACGTCAGATAGCGGTCGTTGCACAGTCAATTACGTTACAAATTTTGACAGCCGTTTGTTTTGACAGTTTGCCCGCGGTCACGTGGTTTTGCAAAGGGACATCACTCTAAACGAACTTATTTCGCGAAACTGGAAAATGGCTTATTGCTCCTAGGGGTCGGGCGATGGTGTCCCCATGCACAGATTTCCACAGGACCCCGCAGTTCGTGCTAAATGGGTTATGTTTGTGGAGTGCGAAGCGAGCGTTGTGGAAGCCTGAAACGATATCTTACTTGTGTTCAGATCGCTTCACGGAAGTTAAAGAATCAAAACTACTTACTAGTTGTAGTAAAATATGCACATGATTGATGACCATAAAGATTTTCTATGACACAACTTGTAACATAACGATTTCTTCCTCGGAAGTGAGGTTGTGGTCGAAGTAACAATAATATTGTGAGTAGTATTATATTGACACCCACCTCGCTGCCACGAGAGAAATTATTATGTTATACGCTTTGTCATGCAAAATCCTATTGACTATCAATAAAATACATATTTTATTACCAGTAGAAAGTAGTTTTGATTTTGTAACTCGGTGGAAACAAACCTAAATACCATTTATCCTCAGACTGGCGGATGTTCCCGACAGGGCGCCGCCATTTTAAAAATAAAAAATCTGTTAGAATTAATGAGATTATAGTTTGTTTTCATCAAGCTAGAAAATCAAGACTACTTTCTACTCGTAGTTAAATATGTATTGGAATCATAACCAAACGGATTTTGCATGACACAACGTATAACATAACGATTTCTTCCCGGAAGCGAGGTGGGGGTCGAAGTCACAATACTGCGCGATAAATTTCTGCCACATTCACATGGTTAATGTCCACTCACCAGTATGTAGATACTAGTCAATGCGCGTCTTTATATTTGGTCTTATAATCCTAATTAGTTTATTATCATACTTGTATGCATTTTGAAACTAAATAAAAAGCAGACGATCTGCTTGATACTTAAAGTGAATTTATAATCACTACTGTAATATCTAGACATTTTATAGTTTGCCAGTGTGAATCATAATTCGCACACACACCCTAGTGCATGTTGTCTGTCTCATTACACTTCACGGCGAAAACAATGATTCTGTTGAATGCTACGACAAAATGAATAAAAACAAAATGCAAATATTAAAATTAAAACAGATTAAAGTTATAGGAACAATATCAGGCCATTACCTTGTTCGAGGAATGTATCCATCAATATCCACAAACTGTTCCAAATGATGTGTCTTTTAACAGTTTAATATACGAAAAAGTGATAAATCTTTTTCAGGTATTGGTGTATAGTCTCATTGGTCACCCAAGATAGCACACCTGGCAACTAATTGCATAATGTCCGCCATTCTTTAAAAAAACAGTAATTTAGTTAGCCAATAATGGGCAATCAATCAATGTATTGCCGGTTAATCCTTTGAAAGAAGGACGTTGTTTTTACGCAGACACCGACACGACAGAGTGTATTCAGTATAGATTAGTAAATCTACATACATAAACACTACCTTTTGACAATTCCGCTGTGAAAGATAAAAGTAATTAATCAATCAGCGTGTTATCGGTTAATCCTTTGATCGATGTTTATAATGTTGAATATTTACTCCAGACACAAGAAATGCCAAATGGGAACCTTTGTCGGGTAATTTAAGTGTGTTACCACTAATTATACCTGTTATAAATTCATTAACTGACCATCAAGTGAATGATGACAAATAACATGTGTAGGTTTATACCACCTAACACGGGTTACAACAAGGGAGTATTAATTGCTGTATTGCATGTGAAAACTTATGGGCCGACACTGTTTTGAGAATACAAACAGATTTTTACATGACATGATTAAATATCGAGGTAAAAAACACAGAAATGGGATCAATTTGGATCAGTCATTATACAAATAGGGCCTAACGACACCAATCGATTTTGACAGAATCGTCTATGAAAACAAGTTGTAACTCGAAAACTAGGCAAAGCAGGAGACAAAAAGTAAATGACAGTAGATTGTGAGAACATATAGCTTTCATTTTCCACAACAATTGTCACGATTTCAGGTTTATACAAGCCTGTAAACAAGATAATTTAACCCTAAAATGTAGATGAATTCCTGCACAGGCCCTCCAAGCTATTCCTCATATGACGTCACAGAGTCGCGCCGCTCTGATTGGTTGAAATTTCGTTCGCGGGTGAGAATTGTGCACTGTTGTCAAAAAGGTCGATTTAAGTCAATTAAAGGTCGAAATGAGTAGTTTTAATGACGGGGTTTCATTTATAACGATGCGAGTTAGTGATTTATGTATTTTTACCCCTAGGGTTTATGTGAAGTTTAAGAGAAGTATGACTGTACCTGTAGATTTCTGATGGATTTTTTCATTTAAAACCACATATTTCAAACAAGATATGGGAAGACCAACAATGAGTAGCGGTATTGATGTAAGCATTCCATTAACCTCCCACAGAGTATGTCTGACTATGACAGGTACTTGCTGTGGGTGTTCTCTCACCCTCACACTGAGTATCTGTGACTGTGACCGGTACTTGCTGTGGGTCAGTCCCTCCTGGATTCCGCGACAAATTTATAAGAATTCCACGGCAAATTTAAGTAAATTCTGCATCCCATTTGTTCAAAATTCTGCAAAAATTTCTGCAGTTAAAAACTTGAAAGAAACACCAAAAAAATGCAATTTCAATCTTCAAAATGATTTATTCATAAGGTAATATTTTCTTCAGCACCTTACAATAATATTATTTGAAATTGACAGTGCAATTATGTTCATGAAACCGATCACTTTATTCGTGAATATTTTGAACATATCGTTATAACAAATGTCTGAGTTCGTTTTTGTGTAAAAAATCATACTTTTGACATTTACCCCTCCTTTTCATTTCTGTTGATGTCAGACTTGATTTAACTTTCAAAATAAGTAAATTTTGCGGCAGATAAATGGCAAATTCTGCAGGTATTCTGCATGAAAAATGTGTTTTCCGTGGACCAGATGTTTTTCTGCACCAAAAGGTAATTTCCGTGATTTATTCTGCAACTGCGGACACATGGAATCAAGGAGGGACTGGTGGCCGTTCCCTCACCCTCACACTGTGTATCTCTGACTGTGACAGGTACTTGCTGTGGGTGTTCTCTCACCCTCACACTAAGTATCTCTGACTGTGACAGGTACTTGCTGTGGGTGTTCTCTCACCCTCACACTGATTGTCTCTGCCAAGGACAAGCATAGTCAGTGGGTGTTTCATCAACCTCACACTGACAATCTCTGTTCTATTGACCTGAAATCACACTCCCAATGCTCCTTCAATATTGTGAATGAAAGATTGACACAAACAAAACACACACTTTCTAAAAATCGATTTTTAATAAAAAGTTATTTGCTGATACAGGTAAAAAATAGTTTGTTTCTATGTACAGCCATTGTATGGATAAAATGATTTCATGGGGAAAATGGATCTGAATAAAACATTTCTTCAAGATCGACAAATAACGATTTCTCTAAATGATCATCACCTTGATGTACATCGCATGTCCCATTCTGCAATTCTGACAATAATGGTGTAAATTCCTTCAGTGACATCAGACTTGCAGTATTTGTAATCAACTATGAAGGATACAGATTCTACCCTTCCTATAGCAACTGCCAGTTTATCTACACTAGTTCCATTTCAGGTTATGACATTTTACAAAATAGACATATGTACACAATAATCCATGGTGAAATATAGAAACCATAAAATGACTCATTTGAGCCACTTAAGTTTTATGGGCTTTTTTTGTTGAACAAAAATCACATTATCAACTTAGAGAGATTTTACAATAGTTTTATCACCAAAGGAAAGAATTATCAACCGGAAGAATGCATTCCAACTTTTTTTAATCATCAATCGATCAATATGGTTAAAAGTTTCACACACAAACCTACCAGTTAAAAAGCCAGAGATGATACAAAATGTCAAGGCCATTAAGACAAAACTCAGGTTGGGTCAATGGATATGGTATATAAATCTTCATTTCAACCTATAAGCACCTTCTGCTAGATGTGCAATTCTAATGCAATGTACATATGAATATCATACAATGAACATGAATCATTTTTGTATTAGGTATATACACACAATATGTTTCTATATCTACATCATGATAATCATGTTGAAATTATACACACAGTTGTGTATTAAGCAGGACATTTCTTTGATAATTATTGTTGTTATCATCTGAGAGAGAGAGAGAGCTGGCAAGAACTACATGAATATTAAAGTGGTTTGTTTCATGGATAGATTTTCACAAAACCTCTCTAAGCACATGCTTCCTTATCCTAACATACCAATTTAGGAACTGATTTTCTGTCAGTTGAGAATCTGACAAAATACTCTATAAGAGAGATCAATACTTATTTAGTTAAATTTTCACAAGCATGTTATTTCATCAAGTTCAAATCCATTTACCAATATAAATTCTTTCCCCCTAGTTACGTGAACTAGATATTTATATATGAACAGATCTGGAGGCACCTCCCAATTTTTACCAACTGAAAAGGTATTAAAGGTGAACCAGGGGTGCAACTGAATTATTCAGAAACCAACTATGTTTATATATGTACAAGGATCAGAAGTAAAGTTACTAAACAATTGCGTTTGTTTCAAAGTGACAATGTCTCTATGGCTCACAGAGCACATCAGAACTAAAATGGACACCTGATCTCAGAACTCAGTTGAGCCGAATGAGATGTGTATAGAGAATTTCACCCGTGTGTCCTTTAACATCAAATATGTCAAAAAGAGTTAACATAAATTTAAAACTCTAATATATCAAATGAGATACAGTATCAAAATGTTTGATGTAGAAAGACATGACAATGTGATTCTCTTCACCTAATAAAATCAATTGCTGCCACATGTTTTAGTTGGTAAACATTAATAATCAGCATTATCTCCTGTGAAATCCAGTGTTGGATAATTGATGTTATTCCACACGACAATGAGCAGATCACCTGGTATTCACAAATTGGTCTTGAAACATGATGTTTTGAAACTATTAAATCAATGGATACAAATGGTATACTTCATGTTTTTGAAAGAAGGCACCAAATATTCCTGATTATTTGGGTCATATGTGCTTCATTCATTGACTCCTTTATGATCAAAGACTGTTGAGATTAAAACCACACAATACTAGTCACATTTAGTAAGTGTCTAAAATATCCTTAAACACTGTACAAGGACATGTATTCTTCTAATACTATTATTAACAGATTTAACAAGCTGATACTTAAGGACAAGACTGCAAACTCATTTGCTTTATCATGTTATCAAATGTCGTTTGATGATGAATCCAAGCATGACAGCCGTCATTGAGATGCTGGCTTGAAGGATTGCAGCCACATTGAATGAGGGGCAATATGGGCATTGATAGGAACCGCAAGCAAAGCAGATGTTCATTGTGAACAAGGTGTAGGTCGTATAGATCGATGTATTGTGCATTCCTGAAAATTAAGAAAAGGATTCACATCATCAATAGTGGTGTTCCGATGATCGAAAGTAATCGAAACTCGATCGAAAGAAGGATTAAAAATGATTATCGATTGTAAAAAACACATTTTTGATTAATCAGAACTTGTTGTTTTATTTTAACACACTTGAATGAAGTAAACTAACCATTAAATTTGACGAATATTCATGAACAAACATGCGCTCAACAGCATAAAGCTATGCACATTATAAAAATTTAACCACTTTTTTTGTTTAATTACAATTCCAGTGTCTTTCTTGCATGTGTTACTTTCATTGTATCACAGTATTAGTTCTAAAACAATATTAATTAGAAGAAAACCTGGGGAAAAGTCCTTAAAATTGGTGATTACATTAAAAACATATATATTTTGATTATAATCGATAATCGTTAACAAGTCCTCCGATTATCGATAGTGGATGGTTTCCGATTCCCAACAGCAACCCATTTGAAAATGTTTGGGACAAATACGAAACAAGAGAATTTTTTTCTAAGATTTGCTCACTGCACACTTACAATAATGGTGCTGACAACCCTGGAAACAATCAAAGCTAATGAGAGGTTCACACCAACAAGCATAGAATTCTTGGATCACTAAGGGAGGCAACTCTGTACAGTGAAATACATCCTTGAGCCACTAAGCAATCTCAAGCTCCAGTTTATTCTTGGGTTTGATTACCACTATAACTGAGTTAGTGAATTAAGTTTAGATCCTGCATTTAATACATGAACCAGTACTTCAGGTCACAGGTGAGAGATACTCTATCATACAGTCATGCACTAATTGAAGTAAAGCCAAGCGTGGCAGCTGAATGATTCATTTACCAGACTACTAGGTCATGTGAGATATCAAAATCTTTTCCTTACCAGGTTCATAGTAGTCAAACACCCTGATGCGGTGTTGGATGGTGGCATTGGCTACTGGGTACCAACGGTCTGCCCGGAAATATACACAGGTCTTGCTCTGGTCAAGCTGAAATAGAGAAATGTCTGAGTCCTGAGTCTGAACCTTTTGAAATATCGTATCCTGAGTGAGTATCAAAGTTCAAGTATCCCGGATCATAACAATATCAATAAGTTTGTGTTGTTTGGGGACAAACAAAACATGGCCACACACATATTTTCCACCATCATACAGTGCCATGACATTTGGCAACATGGTAGCAGTGACACACTGGCAGACATTGTGAAGACACGTATAATGGTAGACAGTTCAATGTTCTAATCTTCAGGGCAGGAGCTGACCCAAGGAATAGTCAGGAATTAAACATAAAGAGTGACAATACAGTACAACCAGAAATTATTGAGAATTGAAAGATTGTAAATTTTGTTATTTTTTTCTCTCATTACTCACGTATTAAATGTGAACATTAACAGAACATAACTCCAGATTCAAAGACAGGTGAACAGTTAGTATTTTGTCAAGCCACCATGGGCAGCAATGCAGGCTTCAATGCGGTGGGGCATACTACTGATCAAAGAAGTTAGAAAGTCGTGGTCCGTGCTGTCCCAATATCTGACCACCTCTTCTTTCATTTCAGCAATATTTGTCAAATTTTTCTTATTGACATTTTCCTTCATAAGTCTCCGAACTTTTTCTATTGGATTTAGGTCAGGGCTATAGCTTGGCCAATCTAATAATGTCATATTTTGGGTCCGAAACCAGGCCTGTGAATGCTTTGAACGATGTTTTGGGTCGTTGTCCTGCTGGAAAATCAAAAAATTTCCATAGAACACGTTAGCAGGTGGAAGTAAATGTCCCTTGAGAATATCTGTGTACCGCTCACTGTTCATACTCCCTTCAAATACACAGAGGGGCGTTGCCCCTAACACAGATATGCCACCCCACAATTTTGGACTGTACTTTGGGCGCTGATACAAAGGTTTTTCAGTTTGTTTGGTCCAGAATTTCAGTGTATTAGGAAACAGCCACACAGAACTTTCTCTGAGAAAATCACATTGTCCCAGTTAAAATTCTATGTTGTAAGCACCAGTTCAACCTGCGCTCCTTTTGTTCAGGTTTCATGATCGGTGATGGAATTCCTTGACTTTTCTGCCAACCCACTGCATGCAGCTCAATTTTAATTGTCTCCTTACAGACAGCCACAGTTCCTCTATCAATCATATCCAGCCTTAAGTTTTCTAAACTCCTTCCTTTGTTTTTAGAAACAAGAATACCAAGCCGCCTCCTGTCACTGACAGTCAATTTTCTGGGCCTACCTGCGCCTCCCTGGTGCTCAATGCCATATCCATTTGCAATATTTTTCAAAACAAGATACACAGTGGACAAAGGGATGTCTGTTCTACTTGAAATCACTTTAGCTCATCTGATGTCCTTGTTATAATACTCTAAAATCAACTTCCTCTTCTCTATATCATCCATACTGAGGATCACTGAAAATGTCGTCTGCTAGCAAGTAAACAAAGGGGATAACTCTTCACAAACTAATGAAAAAGGTTTAACGGAGTTGTCTCTCTTGAATAAAACCAAGCACTTGATAGCTGGTCAAGGTTATTTATACTAGAAATCCAATTAAACATATTTCTAAAATTCTCAATAATTTCTGGTCATACTATAGGTCTTATTACATTACCAAAATAATCTGCATCAATCCTTTAAATACTTACATATTCAAAGTAGTATACGACTTTCCTGCCGTAGAATTCTGCTCGCCGCAGATTGGGCACAATGCCAGATTGAACATATTCACGCAGTGTGTTGTTCATGACCATGTAGCCAGTAGGGATGTCGATTTCCAGGACAGCGAGGCCACTGGTCAGACTCTTCTCAGTGTACGCCCAGCTGAAAGACAAAAATCACCACTTTGTCATTGTTCACTGTCCATATACAATCAGACCCAGAACACTCTCAAGAGGAATATCGTCACACTAAGAATATTCCCAAAGGAATACAGTTTGACCATGCTGAATACAATCAGACCAAGAATACTCTCAGAGGAATAGAGTCACTCACACCCACAATACTCACAAACTAATATAGTTTGACCATGCACACTCTCAGAAGAAACACACTGACAGTCAGAAACAGAATACTTTTAAATGAATAATTGAACCAATCTTACTCTCAGACCCAAAGAAGACCACTATGAGAGAGAATACTGGCCTTTCTCACATGAAAAGAGTTAGACCCAGAATACTGCCCAAACAGTACAGTTAGAACTAGAATACTGCCCAGGGAATACAGTTAGGCCCGGAATACTCCCCAACAATACAGTATGACCCACAATACTGCCCAAGGAATACTGTTAGACCCAGAATACTGTCCAAGGAATACTGTTAGACCCAGAATACTGCCCAAGTAATAGAGTGAAGCCAAACTCATCATCAGAGGAACACCAGTTGACTCACCTAACACAAGGAGACATCTCAAAGATAGAGCCGTTTCTTCCTGTAAAAGTGTAGTAGTCAATCATCAGGTCAAAGAACTTCTGTTCATCCTGTGTTGGTTTCAGCAGCCATGGATATTCAACATTCACAGTGGTTGTTAGCTGCAGTAAATAGGAAAATACATCAGTGCTTTGTATATTACTGGATCTTCGGCTGCATGGAATCCACAAGCATGTTTGTAAACTCATTATGTAACTCAAAGTCTTAGTGCTGACACAAAGTGTGATTATATATGTACTGTGACATCACAAACTGATATCACAGGTAACACCTTTGTTGACACAACAACACATATGTATTGCAACATTAGAAATTGAAATATGTCATGATACACTATGACATCAAAGTGGTGCATTGATACATAACACAATGGCCATTTGTGACATCATCTGACATGCTACCTATAAATGAATTTTAATCCTGACAGTAGTCAGTCTGTCATAATCTGACCATGTGCCATGTAGTAGCCAATGACACACATAGAATTAGATCTAACCCATGTTTGATTCCAGCTACCACACATGGGTAAGAAATATAAATCATATGAATACAAAATGAAGTATGTATTGTGGAGCACTTGTAACCTCTTCAGCCCTTATTCTAAATGCTTGTATGGGTCCTGTTCAGCCTTTGCGATGCCCTGGGACCTCAGCCACAGTATATATGTTACATACCTGCATGAGGGCTCGACCTGTTCCTTGGGCCAGGATCTTCATGGCACCATATACCAAAGGCAGCTGGAAGCAAAACAACACTCACTGTAACTGCAACATTAATTATCATTAACACACACTGAATATTAAAATACCTGCTTTAATAATGAGATAATTATCATATGCCTCTTACTGCTATAACACCATATTAGTATCAAAGACATCTCGCTGTTATAACCACATGCATCAAATACGCCTAGCTGTTATAACAATATATGCATCAAATACATATTGCTGTTATAACAGTATGTGCATCAAATGTGTCTTGCTGTTATAACAACAATATGCATCAAATGTCTTGTCATAACAATATATGCATCAAATACATGGAGCTGTTATAACAATATATCAAATATGCCGTTATAACATCAGTATGTGAATAAAATATGTGTAGGTGTTATAACAATGCATGCATCAAATTCATCAAGCTGTTATAACAACGATATATGCAAATATGTCTTGCTGTTATAACAATATCAGTAGCAAATATGTCCAGATGTTATAATTACCATATAGGTAACGAAATACTGATGTCTGCTTGTTGGACGTCCACCCCTTCAGTGAACTGAAGAGAACTGTAAGTTTCTGAATACTCACATAGGCATTCTGTAACTTTGTGTAGTTGGCTTTGGTGAAGAATCCGGTCTGGGACCAGTTAGGGGAGGCAGTAGATTCCAGTTTCACCATCATGTCAAACACATTTCTGTTGGGGTCAACTTGAGTGAACTGGAACAGTGCTTCCATGGCAACCAGAGTATCCTGGAAAAAAATGTATTTCTTAGAAAATTAATATTATCATAATTTTCATAGCATGGCTTGGATTAAAAAGCAGAATATTTTCCAAAACCACCTCCTTGAACGGGGCGGAAATGTGGAGACACTGGCTGGTCATGAAGGACCTTGTTGCGCATTCAGGTGAGATGTTTTTACTCTTTCTGGGGAACATTACACAGAATGTTCCCACTGTATCTCAGGTTAAGGTGAGGTGAAATTGGGTTTAACGTCGTACTTGAGAATATTTCGCTCATATGACGACTCTCAGGTTAAGGCAGAGAGAAGTAAATAGCAAGAGTCAGAATGAAATAGCATGAAACGTCGTGCTCTAGAATAAAAGAAAATGTCATTTATATGATTACTTGTTCAGAATAAGGAAAAATGGTTGTTTCACCAAGCAGACCATCATTCTGAGTTTTTTTCATGGAATCATAAGTAATATTTTGGACCATTCCTGCAAATACCACAAAATCTATGGTGTCGCTCCTTTTAACATGATTTGCAGTTGTATCGCAACATTTCTGCTTTCAGGAAAGCCCAAAGTAACACAGATTTTAGACCTTTACCACACTTACATACACTTAGAAACATTATAAAACATATCATAAGCAGAATATTAACTTTCATATATGTCAAAATGTATCGTAGGTCTTTGAATCCACAATAGGGACCAAAGGGACACAACTCTGCACAGTACCTGTGTGGAAGTAAAGCCTCCAATGCTGTTCCTCATTGTCTGTAGCCAGCGCATCATGGAATCACGTTCAAACTTGACCCCATTGTTGTTAATGTGTGCCATCAGAGCATATGCTGTTGCTTGAGTAGCGTGAGCGTCATTGCGCAGTTCCTGACGAGGCTTCAGAAAACGAACAGTGTTTACAATTTCTGATGGGTTGGAAGGCACTTCGGCATCCGAAAAGTAAGTATCCGTACCTGAAAAATTTATTGAAAATGTAATTTTCTGAATAAAATTGATATTTTTATACTTATCCTGATTCATGCTTATTTGCTTGTCTTCTTCCTCTTGCGAACTTAGTGGAACACTTGTATCTCCTTATTGAAGCTCCCTTCAATAAAACGTATGTAAAATCACTACTCACTATCCCTGTTTCCTGTTTTGGCGGGAAAAGTGGCGCCACTGTTCTCCCAAGCTTCACTCTCTCCTGATAATGAGCCCGACACTTGAATTTGCAGGGAAATCCAAAGTGTCTAGTGGGGAGGTTGGGAGGGCTTACCTCATGAGTCAGGATAAGTATAAAAATATCAATTTTATTCAGAAAATTACATATTTTTCCGTATCCTGACTCATGCTTATTTGCTTGTAGAATCCGACAGATTGGAGGCGGGAATAATACTTTAGGATTTCGTGTAGTGATTTACGTCAATATATACCCCCCTATGGGAACTTTGTATTGGCACTGTATTTACTGCTAATCTCTGCTGCTGTTAGCGACCCTGTCCTTTCAGCTGCCTTTTGATGGGGGGACCACAATTGTTAACTTTTGGTCCTTTCTTCTGTTAACATTTTATGTGGATTTTGCGACTCCATTTCTTGATGCAAGCATCAAGTGGAGAAGCGACCCTTTCCTGTACGAGTATTCTTACAAGTTCTGGGTCATATCACTTATGCTAGTCGTTAGACGTGTATTTAGACTTAAGCAGAACTCTGCTGAGTGTAGGCTTGGTAAGTCATGTGATAAAAGAACAGACTTCGTCTCAACGTCTTTGAGGAACTGTCAACTGTTGTGCGACAACCAGTGGGCCGAAATGGTGAATGCCTGAGACGTCCTCGGTGGCGATATCTCTCAAGTAGTGGTTTGCAAACACCATGTCTGATTTCAAGAAGCAGCCCTCCATTATCGTCTGTAGCGAGCAATTCCCAGTCATGCGTATCTTGTGGTCCGAGGACGGAGGATAATGCTGGGACGTGGAATTGTCTGTCCGGTTGACCTGGCAGTTGATTCTTTGCGATGAAATCCCATCGTAGTCCCATATGCACTGTGTTTTGATTTTCATCAAAACGTGTTCTCTCGTAGTCTAGAGCATGTATTTCCGACATCCTGGCTGCTGTTGCAAGGGATATCAGGAACAGCGTCTTTTGTGTCAAAAATTCGAAGGATGTCGTCTCTAATGGTTCGTAGACGTCACTGGTGAGATGTCGAAGAACAACGTTGAGGTCCCACGCCGGAGCTTTGAATCTCTGTTGTTGGTCCTCCAATTTATAAGAGCGTAGCAAGGCCAGTAACTCTGGCACTTTCGTTAGCTTGGCACTTGTCCTCATAGTGATGACTGAGCTCAATGCCGCTAGGTATGTTGAAAGCGTAGACCCTTTTAGCCTTTTTGTTTGCCGTAGGTGACAAAGGTAGTCCGCCACTTGAGGGTGTGATGCTTTTCTAGCTGAAAACCCGTTTCTGGCAGCGTATGTCTCGAAGCTTCGCCACTTGTCGTCGTACAAGTTGCGTGTAGACTTGTGTAGAGCTAGTGTCACTGTTTTCGCTGCTCTGGCGGAGTACCCTCTCTTGTTCAAACACGCCTTGATACAGTCCACACGTGTAGTTGGAACGCCCCTTGGTTGCCGTGCGCCTGTTTTGTGTGAGGATGTACTAGTAGATTCGGCCATTCTGGTAGTTGCAGCTGTGGTGGTCCTAGTTCTTGTATGAGAATGGGGAACCACACTCTCGCTGGCCAGTAGGGCGCGACCAAAATCAGTTGGAGGTTCTTGGTCTTGCTGATTTTCTGCAACACCCTCGGTACTAGCGCTGGCGGTGGAAACGCGTACGCGTTTAGTCCTTCCTAGGATATGCTGAGAGCGTCCGTTGCCCACGCTCGTGGATCTGGTACTGGAGAGACGAATGTTGTCAGCTGATTGTTGAAACGTGTGGCGAAGAGGTCTATTAGAGGGGCTCCCTTCTCCTTGATGATCTGTTTGAAGATCTGTGGATGTAGCATCCATTCCGTTGGAGACGGTTGAGTTGGACGGGAGAGGGCGTCTGCTATGACATTCTTGGCTCCTGGAATGTGGCATGCTCTTATGTGGATATTCAGATCGTCGATTAGGTCGAACAGTTGAAAGCAGAGGTCCAGCAGGTTCAATGATCGTGTTGACCCTTGCTTGTTTATGTAGAACGCCACTGTGAGTTGTCCGTGTGTACCATGAGATGCGCATTCTGTAGAATGTTGCTCCAGTGGTGTATGGCGTTGACGACTGCTTTCATCTCCAGCATGTTGATGTGCAGACTTTTCTCTTCCTTGGTCCATTTCCCGGCCGCCACATCGTTGTCGAGGTGTGCTCCCAAACCTTTGAGTGATGCGTCCACATACAGATGAGTCTTGCACTCCGGCTCTGCTAAATAGATGCCTTCGCAGACATTCGATCTCTGGGTCCACCATAGGAGATGAGGTCTGAGGTAGTCCGGAAGACCGAAGGGGTCTGGGTCCTCGAGATGAGCATTGATGAGGACCGGTAGCGGGCGTAGCTGTAATCTCCCTCTGGCTGTCATGTCTTGTGCGGACGTGAGGAGACCCAACAGACTCTGCCATTGTCGTAGTGGCCACGGAGAGAGTAGGGCTTGTGGGATTGTCTGTTGAATCTTGAGCCATCGGTCCTCTGGTACGACGATGCGGTTCTGCGTCGTGAGAAAGCTGATGCCTAGGAACTGCAGGTCCTGCGTAGGTTCTATGTCCGACTTGAGTAGATTCACTAACCACCCCAGCTGTGTAAGCAGATTGATGGTGAAGTTCAACTGTAGTCTGCGATGCTTGGGATCTTGATGGACTTGAATCCCGTCATCGAGGTAAAAGGCACTGCGTAGACCTCGATGATGTAGATATGTGACTATGGGTTTCGTCACCCTTGTAAACAACCAAGGGGCCGATGATATTCCAAATGGCAGGACCTTCCATTGGTAATGTAGCCCGTCCAGTGTAAACCTGAGGTACTTCCTCGAGTCTGGATGTACAGGAATATGCAGATAGGCGTCCTGTAGATCTATGCTGGCAATGTAGTCCATCGGACGAGGTGGATCAGTTGAGGCAGATGTATCATGCGGAACTTGGGAGGTCTGCTCAGATAGTCTCTGTTGAACGTGCTCATATTGTAGATGAGTCGGAACTTTTGTTTGGAGTTTTTCTTTGGCACTAGGAAAACTGGGGAGTAGAAACCTGGCGTGATGTTGGCTTGATCCACGACCTCTATGGCTCGCTTTACTAGTAGAGATGAGACCGCCTCTCGTAACTTCTCTATCTGATGAGTCTTGAAGTCGAACTTGTGAGGGTCGACTGTGAGCGGTGGAGCGGCCTGTAGTTGTATGCGATATCCGTCTCTTAGGATGTTGGATACAAACGGATCTTGAAGTATTCCCCAGTTTTCCCAGTGTAGCTGAAGGCGTCCAACCACTTGTGAAGGTTGTACAGGAACGGCTGGGGGTGGAAGACTCCAGTCGTTCCGAACCCTTCTTTCATCGTCGATAATCCTTGGCGCCTCTGGGTGCCCTGCCTCGTCCGGACCTTGCTCTGTAATTGCCGGCTGGGCGACGAAAGGAATCTTTTCCGCCTCTGGAGGTACCCATTTTCCTGTCCTGTGCTCTCTGTATCCCAGGAAACTTGGACCTGCCCGAGTAGCGCTGGGATGTCTGCCTGATGACACTGGCCAGAGTATCTATGGACTTGATCATAAGGACCTCCCTTGAGTCTTTGGTAACTTCCTTGGCATCCTCGTCGATTTCTCCAGCGAAGATGGAAGGGGTTGACCACGGGGCTGTGTAGAGTGACTTGGTAAAGCGCTCACTCCAACTGCAGGAGGCGAGGAGACCTTGTCGACGTGCTAGCGTCAGCGCTGCGGAGATGGATGAGAGATGGTCTGTCATAAACTGTTGGTCCTTCTTCTGCATAAGGAGGGCCGAATATATCATCCTATCTTCTTCCGCAGTAGAGTCTCGGAATTTAGCGATGAGCGTTTCGTTGACTGCCCTTGATCTGTTGAGGCCGAAGAACATCCGCCTGGTCATAGTTTCGACTTGTGCCAACTTCTTGTCTTCAATTTTGTAAGACTTGGCCTTGACATCACTGATGACTTTGAAGTTCTCATCTATGTCCTGTGCCTTCAGGAACGGATCCATGTTGTGGGAAGAGAACTTTTTGGCGTTGAACTGTGGCAGATGCGGCGCCTGGGCTTTTGTGGCTGTTTTGAAGGCTGCGTCCAGGTTCTCTGGGACCGCTGCGATGGGATCAATCGGAGGGAAAGTGATCGCGTCGACATCATCATCCTGCATGAGATAGGTGTGAGCCGGATTATCGTCCTTAGATGGTGATGCCAAGTCTAAACCGTTGGCCATCCAGTAGCGTATTTCAGAGTCCGAAAAGATGATCCCGCCGTCATCCCCAGTGACCGGAGTGCTGAGTAAGGGACGTTGATCCTCCTCCGATGGTGATCTAGGTGGAGTCCTTCGCGACTGCGGTGACCTGTGTAGAGACCTGCGCGGAGACTTGCGTGGCGACCTTCGTGGAGACCTTCGTGGACACCTGCGACTGTGGGTTCGCGAATGTCTCGGCGAAGCCCTCGACGATCTGCGTGACGCGGAAGATGTCTTGGATACTGTATTTGAAGCCCTTCGAGACTGCCTTCGCGAATACTGATCATCTGTTTCCGCATCTGGGGATAGGCGACTGGTCCTTCGCGAATGCCTTCGCGGATGCTGATCGTCCGAGTCCGCCGCAAGGGGATGGTTGAGTCGACCTTCGCACAGGCTGGTCCTGAAGAGTAGATCTGTTGCCAGACCTCACGTTGATGGAGGGCCCCTCAGAAGCGTCGTCTGCGTTGGAGCCTTCGCGAAGGCTCGGGACCTCATTGTGGGCTGGCTGTGACTTCTTCTCCAGGCCGTACCGCTGCTCCATCAGTTCCATAATCTGTTGGGAAAACTGCTGCATAAAGTCCCCCGGGTTGGAGGTCTGGAGGACGAAGGGACATCCGGAGTAGCAGGTCTCTTCTTGGAGGTGGCGGACATCGTCCCACGCCTCTCCCCCGAGGGAAACTCCAGCTGAACACCAGACGGAAGGGGGGTCGTCAGACATCAGTTGACTGGTGAGAGACTCCGCTGGTTCATCCATGACTACACCAACCCGTCTTGACCTATCTGCAGCACGTCTAAGGACGCAAAGAAGGTATTTATTAAATGCACAAGTAGTTAAATGCTGGCAATTAATGCAGCGTGAGCTGAAAGAACATGGTACCGTGCAGCTAGGGCACAATTGATGAGGGTCAACAGCAGAGAAATGAAATCTACAATTGGAACAGTTTTTCATGAAAACGTAAACAACTGAACAAACGCGGACTAAACCGTGAATAAACAGTGCTAAATACGATTAAATATCAACCCATATTGTAAAAGGATATTAGCTAAACCTCTATAATGTATAATAGAGGGAACTAAGTAAGTAATAAAAGGATATAGTGCCGTATAGGAGACACAGGCGCTCTCACAACCTGCTCACAGGGCGAAGAAGGAGAGAGTGAAGCGTGGGAGAACAGTGGCGCCACTTTTCCCGCCAAAACAGGATACAGGGATAACTCTGGTGAGTAGTGATTTTATGTATGTTTTATTGAAGGGAGCTTCAATAAGGAGATACAAGTGTTCCACTAGGTTCTCAAGAGGAAGAAGACAAGCAAATAAGCATGAGTCAGGATAAGGAAAAATCATTATACTGGGGATTATTTTACAAAGGGAAATATTTAGTCATTTCTCTACAATGAATATGGCACTTTCAAAGGCTTATAAACTTCCATACATTTTGTATCATCTGACTGTATTAGCAAGGGACCAGAATCTAACGATGTTAGTTAACTTGTTGAAGTGGTGTGAAGGATGCCTAGAAGTTACGGGTTGGCATCTTACCACAACCATTGTTAATTAATGCGTAGTCAATGTAACTTGCAACAAGGTAACAGAGGTCATAAAATATTAGCATTTTTCTTAATATTTGTCAGTATTTTTCTTAGCAGGTTTGTTAACAACTCACTTGTTCTCCTGGTATCCCAGAGTTTATCGAAGGCTGTGCGACTTTTCTCCTGACTGAGGGAGAGAGCGTAAGCTGTGATGGATAACTGGAATGTCGCTGTGGATGGTATGGAATTCACTTTATTGGCCAGGTAGTTAGCTGCTCTGGCTCTTGACGAGTCCAGGCATGCCAGAGCATCCTGAAAGAGAGGAATATTCTGTCTGAGGAAGAGTGAGTGAGTGAGTGTGACCTGACTCTGATCTGAACAGGGTGTTACATCACTATACATCAGACATTTATGGTTCTACATATCAGAAAGCACAAGCATAGAGATGTCAAAGCAAGGCCAATAACCAGAGTAAATATGGGATTCAAACCCACAAATTTCCACATCCTTGAATCGATAAGGAAGAAAGATTTAAACATTGGAGTAAATCAATAAACAAGTTTTGCAATGATTTTCTGAAAATTTTAATACTGTTAATGTTTGTCTCTTTGACTTACCTCTGAAACATCTGTAGTTTCATACAGAGCAATGAGAACATATGCTGTTAACGATATCGGGTCGTCATATAGTCTCTGGCTGAGGATGTTGTCTCCAGAAGCCTGCATGAATAACATCAGTGAGTGAGTGAGTTGGTAGCTTGATGACTGAGTTTACAGGTGAATGGATGAGTGGGTGGATGGGAGGGTAGGTGTGTGAATGAGAGTATGGGTAGATGCGTGGATGGATATGTGAGTGGATGGATGAAATAGTGGATGAGTGGATGGGTATGTGAGCGGTTGAATGAGTAGTTGGATGAATAAGATCATGGAAGACTGAGTGGAGGGGTGGCTGGATGTAAGGTGGATAACCAATAAGTGGGTGGGTAAGTAGCTGGACAGGAAGGTGGATGTGTAGATGAGTGAGTGAATGGGTGGATGAATCGATGCTTGGAGAAAAAGTGGTGGATAAGTGGGTGGACAGGAGGATGGGCAGGTGAATTAGATCACGCATTTATCAGTGGACATTGCTGAATGAATGGATTAATGGGGGATCGGGGGGATCAAAGTGGGGTCTGATGGTAGAGTCAGTGGATTAGTGGGCTGATAGGTGATGAATAACTAGGGTGGGGGGATATGGATGATTTGGGGGTGTAGTGTTACAATTCCAACATTTCAGCATTAATCACAAATATATTCATTCATTTCATACAAATTACATGAGCTAGTCTTTTTATTCCTGAATATGAAGAACTAAAAGAAACTTTTTAAGAAACAGTCTCACCATTTTCCTGTCGTATGCCACAGAGTAATCTGGATGGAAGGCGCCAGTCTCATTTTGTTGCCGACAGATCCACACCACCATCTTATTGATGAGCTCTAGTGGGATGAAGAGGTCACGTTCCCACTCTCCAAACCTCCCTTGATGCAAACTCTTGGCCACAAAGGCTGTTAACCTAAACAAGGACAGTAGTATGTGTCAGTTTGGACCTGACAAACATATGCTTATGACTTAGACCAACAATTCACAGTAACCATGATGCTTGCTGTTTATAGTCTGTAACCATGGTAACCACCTGATTCCCATTGTGGATGCTTCGTACAAACTGTCAACTCAATCAAAGTTATTGATTGTATTTGAGATGACCCCGACTCAAAAAGCTTCACAGTACAATACATCATGACAAGGCCAATAGAAACAAGTCTGCAAGTCGATAGAAACCCGATTTTGACTCTCAACTAAACGATCTTGACACAAGTGGATGACGATATGTCCGCACACAATAAGGGTGTGGTCGAAGGAAGCCCTGTGATTGGTCAACCCTAGAAAATCATCACATTCTTTACAAATTCGCGGGAACTTTTACTTTCATCGACTGCTTGACATGGAACTGTAAAGCAGGCGGTTGGGGTGCACCTAAGTGTCCGGCCTTGTCATTATGTTTTGTACTGTGAAGCATTTCGAGTCAAGGGCCATCTCAAATTTTTATATATTTTTTAATCCTGTAACATGTGTACAAAATTGGTGACAGTGTGTGACTGATATTGGTTCCAGCACGATGTGTATTTCAGCACTTGATACATTCACAACAGTCTATTGTCTGTCTCTATACTCACCACAGACTGGGTGTGTGATATTGTGTCTGATATTGGTTCCAGCACGATGTGTATTTCAACACTTGATACATTCACAACAGTCTATTGTCTGTCTCTATACTCACCACAGACTGGGTGTGTGACTGATATTAGTTCCAGCATGATGTGTATTTCAACACTTGATACTTTCACAACAGTCTATTGTCTGTCTCTATACTCACCACAGACTGGGTGTGTGACTGATATTAGTTCAGCATGATGTGTATTTCAACACTTGATACTTTCACAACAAGTCTATTGTCTGTCTCTATACTCACCACAGACTGGGTGTGTGACTGATATTGGTTCCAGCAAGATGTGTATTTCAACACTTGATACATTCACAACAGTCTATTGTCTGTCTCTATACTCACCACAGACTGGGTGTGTGACTGATATTGGTTCCAGCACGATGTGTATTTCAACACTTGATACATTCACAACAGTCTATTGTCTGTCTCTATACTCACCACAGACTGGGTGTGTGACTGATATTGGTTCCAGCACGATGTGTATTTCAACACTTGATACATTCACAACAAGTCTATTGTCTGTCTCTATACTCACCACAGACTGGGTGTGTGACTGATATTGGTTCCAGCACGATGTGTATTTCAACACTTGATACATTCACAACAGTCTATTGTCTGTCTCTATACTCACCACAGACTGGGTGTGTGACTGATATTGGTTCCAGCACGATGTGTATTTCAACACTTGATACATTCACAACAAGTCTATTGTCTGTCTCTATACTCACCACAGACTGGGTGTGTGACTGATATTGGTTCCAGCACGATGTGTATTTCAACACTTGATACTTTCACAACAAGTCTATTGTCTGTCTCTATACTCACCACAGACTGGGTGTGTGACTGATATTGGTTCCAGCATACAACAGTCTATGTGTATTTCAACACTTGATACATTCACAACAGTCTATTGTCTGTCTCTATACTCACCACAGACTGGGTGTGACTGATATTGGTTCCAGCACGATGTGTACAACACTGATATTCACAACAGTCTATTGTCTGTCTCTATACTCACCACAGACTGGGTGTGTGACTGATATTGGTTCCAGCACGATGTGTATTTCAACACTTGATACATTCACAACAAGTCTATTGTCTGTCTCTATACTCACCACAGACTGGGTGTGTGACTGATATTAGTTCCAGCCCGATGTGTATTTCAACACTTGATACTTTCACAACAAGTCTATTATCTGTCTCTATACTCACCACAGACTGGGAGTTGGATCATCTCGGAACATGCGGAATGACCCATCGTCATTCATGTACCCCATCTGTCTCTGTAGAACTGTAATGACACGCAAAGTCTCTCAACATCCCCATCAAACAAACAATCTGATGCTAACTGGCGATTGATGCTGTCAACAATATTCCAGCAATATAATGACAGCCAAATGGGTGGTCAAATCTTGACCGGCCAAACCAGTGGTGGACAGCATGTACCCACTACGAAGGTACAAGGACAGTCAGTTTGGTCATGTTTTCGACGATCTGATGCACATTGACAGCATCTCCATGGAGACTGTTACTGTAAAACCAGTGGTGGACAGCATGAGCATGGACCAACTACGAAGGTACAATCACAGTCAGTTAGGTCACATGTTTCTGACGATCTGATGCACATTGACAGCATCTCCAGGGAGACTGTTACGTCAAATACTGTAAGATATTTGGGTATTTATTGTTTTAAGGTACATTCCAGCTCCTGTTTATAGTCAATCTATTATGAGCAATGTCCAAACCTGCCAGCTACAAGGACCCCAAACTAGCAAGAATAATTTCAGCCAGGGTTGTACTTTGGTGTCACACAGAGAGTGAGTCTGAAAGTGATGTTTTACCCTGCTTTTGCAATATTCCAGAAATGCCTTGAAGTGCAAAGTGCTTCACACATCTTACATTTGTGAGGAATCTAGCCTGAGTCTTTGGCATGACAAACAAGCACTTTAACTACTAGGCTATCTATCTCTCATAGCCCCTCACTGACGTAGAAGCAATACAGGACCGACAGCCTTTTCTTACAAAAGATTAATACTTATAAGATTCAGTCCTGCCTACCTATGTTCATGTAGTAGAGAGCTTTCTGGAGAGCCTCTTCACTCAGCTGCTGACTGGCCTTCATGAACCTCAACGTCAGTAGATTGTAGGCAAAGTTGAAGGCAATGTTCTCTCCGGTCCCGTACGGACGCCACAAGACGTTCTCAGCATTCAGGTAGTCCTCAAAAAATCCAGGAGTTACCACATCACCTATGAGATTGAAAACATATGTACACCCTTCAGTATATGTCCCTGAAAAACAAATGTCTCTCAACATCTGATCAAACACATTTTTTATCTTATAAAAATTTTGGTCATCCAACCAATAAAAGTACAAAAGTTGAATAAAAATGTCTCTTAACTAATTTCATTAATCACATTACATGTGGTAGGTACATATGGAATTCTTAAAATACACACGCTTCCACACATTTCCAATTTCTCACCTGCCTGTAGTTTCTTTTCAAAATATTACTTCAACTAGTGACAGATTTGGAATAAAATATCTGTACACCAAGTTTTGATTAATGAAGACACAGTTTCTGAGCCTAGATCCAAAGTTCTGTATTTCTAGTACCGTGGATATCAGGTAAAGACCTGTTTTAACTCAGGCTGCAAGGCTTCGCATGATTAGGTTCGATTTGACCTTGGTTTTGATTTTCGATAACCATTATCACTATTTCGATTCAATATTTGAATACCTATTTAAATTATTTCCATACAGCCAAAACGTAATTTTGACTCCAACTCGAGCAGTTTCGAGCACTTGAATAAGGCAAAACATGATTGGTTGACGCCAGGCTAATTATCCTATGAGAACTGTTGTTTGTAGACATTGCCAGTTGACGATGGATTTCACGCTAAAAAAGCTGACTCTGAGAGTTAAATGAAATATTATGTTTTACTTGTATGAAGAATCAAATTGAAAATGATCGAACTGAGGGCCCAATATTGAATGGAATCGAGGTCTGGTTGAATCGTTGCAGCCCTAGTTTTACCCTTGGGTCGCCTTGTGTTGGCGCTTACCAAAAATACTGAGATGTGCTACTGCTGATCCAGGCACATACAAGTGTTCTCGCTGCTCTGGCACAACAAACTGTTCTGGCACCGGAACATCAAGGTCAGGGATGATAATGGAGGCATAGGTGATGAGATCAATCAGGTATGGAGTGTGATAATAGTTCCTCACACCATCAGGCTGAAAATTTAACATTTATTATGAAATTTACTACTGGCTTTCATTTGGAAATTGGTGCACCAATCTTCTCTTGTTAAATTATCACCTTGTTATCTTATCAGTTTTGTTGTTCCCGCATGCTAAACCCATGAGGATCTGGGTAAGAATTGGTCTTCAGCAACCCATGCCTGTCATAAGAGGCTACATGCCTTTCAAAGGTTACTATTAATCATAAACAGGATATGTTCTTACTGTTCATCTCTAGCGCAAGCAGTCCACAGCTGAATACCACATCATGACCATGCAATGATGAAGTAATCAGCATCCTAAACATTTCAATATACCCACAACAGTGAGAGCTGAGAACCTGTACAGACAAGACTCCTTGTTTGTCTTCAGTCAGCATTTCTGGTGTCCCAACCGTGATTTTGCTTGAAAATTGCTTAAAGCGGGGGAACAAAACTGCTGACATAGTTACTCACTTATCTATAAGATAGCACCACATACCTGTACATTAACCTTCCTGTACACCTCGTCCCGCTCCATGAAACACGAGGCGCTTACACGGAAAGTGAACTCGCCCTTGATTATCGTTGGCACAATCGGCATGTAGATGTCCTTTGACTCCCCAGGCTCCAACTGCAGGAATTCAAGTCATGTAATCAAAGACTCCATTGTAATCCATGATACAAAGTAACTATAGCAACAATTGTGTAGATCGATGCTCATGCGGTTGATCACTGGATTGTCTGGTCCAGACAGTCACACGATTATTTACAGACAACCGCCTTATAGCTGGAATATTGCTGAGTGCAGTGTAAAACTAAACTCACTCTTAAACATGATTCTATATATATATATATACACATACACATCTATAATAGAATCAAATGGTCTGAACCCATTGCCATGTTTCTGTTCAAAGTAGCTGATTCCACAATTTAAACATGCTTTTATGTTTTGAGACCCACAATAAACAATCTCCACAATCCCCAACATCATGTAGTTGAGAGGAATACTTACAAAGACAATGGTCTGATGGTCTCCTTTGTGGGTGGTTGGTTTGTAGGCGCTGACAATGCCCATGTCATTCACCACCACAAACTCATAGTCTGGGCCACCATGCATGGTGACAAGCACCTGCAAAGCACAACACTTAATGAACCAGTGTACATGTGTTACATCCACAAAAATACATAAATGACAGTTAATACCGAACTTCTAAGAATTTATTACAAAAGGCTATCCTTGATTTGGTTTGGTGCACCCAAGACTAAGGGACAGGGAATTATTGTCACGAATGCTGTGATTAAGCATGTTTAGTTTGGTGTGATTTGTGCTACAAAGGTACAGGGATTGGGGATCTGGGAGTTTGGTGGGGGATGTGGGTGTTGGCTGGTTTGGGGGCTGAAAGGAGACAACTGCAGTAGTCAGGTAGAACATTGCCCAATAACAATTCCACTGACCTCAATGTAGTCATCATTGTACCAGTAGTTGAAGACAGTGACTCTCACTCCAATCTGCTCTCCTCTCACAATGGTTTCAGGTGCTTCTACTTGGATGTACATGTACCGGGCAGCATCATACTGAAAAGAGACACCACGGACCATCAGAAGGAAAATAAATTGTTACGTGACATCAAAATCATGGCTTCAAGCAAGAGTTGAGACAAATATTTATACTTGGTTCTAATGTTTTCAATGAGTAAATATATTCATTGGTAGGTTACATATAACCAAAGACAATACAGATCTTTATGAACAGTTCAAGTAAATCTTAAAAGTTATCTCCCATGCTCCATGGTTCAGAAGTAATCTCCCTTGCTTCAAGGCTACCCACCAGGACTGGTCTCTGCATGATTCCAAGACCAAGTTCTCTGCTCACAGACAGGCCATTGATCACCCACGAGAGAGGGTACTTAGGAACATCCACACGGAAATCTACACGGCCGTCAGGTCTGGAGAGGAGCAATGTGTGATCACATATTTACTATTAATTCATATTTACATCTTAGTAAGACTGTTCCACATTGTCACAAAATGAACAATGCTAGTTTGCTACTTCTTCAAATATATTTTGCTTTTATAAAAGCAACTCTAATGAAATTTGAAACAGTGCAAATACAATGAACAAACGTTGCAGCATAAAAAAATGAAATTAAAATAGAATTGTGTTAACAACACAATTACTAGTTACTCCATATACATGTTGATTACTTCTACTTACTTCACAAAGATTTCCTGCCAAGCCCAGGAACTGTTGTCATAGAAACGCATGATTCTGCTCACTCTATCCATGGCAGAGGCATGACGTACTTGAGTATCTTCATATATGCCTTCAAAATCAATGGGTAGATTGTCATGCAAATTATCCATCTGTTTGACAACCAAATTTCTGCCTGACAACTTGTGTTGTATCATCCTAACTATTTCAAACACAGGCCCCAATTTCTACACCTGCAGACAACACGTGTCTGATCATGCAAATTACCTGTCTTTTTAATCACCAAATTCTCTGCTTGGAACCACTGACAGATTATAAAGTCAGTTTGGGACAACATGTGTCTGATCATCTTTACTATTTCAAATACAGGCCCCAGTTTCTACACTTTGGGAATTTGGTCATTAGATCTTGGATTGTGCTCCATCAAAAAACATTTCTGGAGTTTCAGGACCTTTTGACATGCATAATATTCAATGTTAGTCTCAGGTTTGTCACCAAAATCACAGGTTGTCTGAGGGCCACGTCTCAGGTCTGACATCACAATAACAGGTCACTAGTGGTCTGAGGGCCACGTCTCAAGTCTGACATCACAATAACAGGTCACTAGTGGTCTGAGGGCCACGTCTCAGGTCTGACACCACAATCACAGGTCACTGGTTGTCTGAGGGCCACGTCTCAGGTCTGACATCACAATAACAGGTTTAGAGGTCTGAGGGCTTCGTCTCAGGTCTGACACCACAATCACAGGTCACTGGTTGTCTGAGGGCCACGTCTCAAGTCTGACATCACAATAACAGGTCACTAGTGGTCTGAGGGCCACGTCTCAGGTCTGACACCACAATCACAGGTCACTGGTTGTCTGAGGGCCACGTCTCAGGTCTGACACCACAATAACAGGTTGTCTAAGGGACACAACTCCGTACAATAATTACAGTGGCTTGACGATGGCACTAGCCATGCTCCCCTGTGGCGAGTACAGGGATATATATATTATAACATTGTGGTTTTGTAACTCTGAAGTTAAGATGACTTACATCCCTTAACTGGTGACACAGATTATCTCCATGGGTTTGTAACATTCTGAAGTAAAGATGACTTACATCCCTGAACTGGTGACAGATTATCTCCATGGGTTTGTAACATTCTGAAGTAAAGATGACTTACATCCCTTAACTGGTGACACAGATTATCTCCATGGGTTTGTAACATTGTGAAGTAAAGATGACTTACATCCCTGAACTGGTGACACAGATTATCTCCATGGGTTTGTAACATTCTGAAGTAAAGATGACTTACATCCCTGAACTGGTGACACAGATTATCTCCATGGGTGTGTAACATTCTGAAGTAAAGATGACTTACATCCCTGAACTGGTGACACAGATTATCTCCATGGGTTTGTAACATTCTGAAGTAAAGATGACTTACATCCCTGCTCATCTGCACCGTCAGGACAAGTGAAGACTTTATCGCATATTTGCTCCCTCGTGTAACAGGAGTCTACAGCATAACAGGGGAACTGACCCTGCTCCTCACAGGATTGTACATCTGAGGACAGATAAACAGATGGCAGTCAGTGAGTGAGTGATACAGGTTTTAAGCTCGTTATATTGTATTTGTAAAAGCAGACATTAATTTACTGATATTCCATGCCACTCTGGATCCTATATACTTACTGTTAAGCCTTCCAACATCTGCATCTGTCAGTATGAGGAGGCCAGACGTCTGAAACACGGACAAGGATCATTTAACTAAAAGTTATTAAAGAATGACATGGAGTTGTGACAATGTTACTTCTATTTAGCTTTTCAGACATTTGTCCCTTTGGTGAGACCTACAAGCACCAGAGAGGTGCCACAGACGGGGAGTTCTACATGTGCTGATTCAAGGAGTTTCTAAAGCAATCTGTCTGAATAATTCTGTACACGTGTTACAGTCTACCATGACAGAGGACAGATTCTGCTGAACTTGACATAGATAGACCCATCCCACAATGTAAGTTTAATGGAAGAAACACCAATGGATCACTGGTGAAGTGTCCTCTGTACAACAGTGATCACCTTGAATGTTGTGTTGGTGTCTATGCCGTAGTCGGAGGCATGGAAGAACTTGTACTCATACTCTGTGTCGCTGATTCTCCACAGATGGCGGTAGCTGCCATTGGCTGGCTGGTCATAAGTCCCCAGCTCATCGATCAGCTGAACAAAATCAAAACAATCCCAATATCAGATGTTTTCAGGTTTACTCAGGCCTTGCATATTGTCAGCATCATTGCAGCCTTTCACACAATAACTGACCAAGTCTGTGAGAGATAAACAAGTGGTCAACATCATGAGCACCAATTCTCATCATTCTCCATCAACCTGAACATAAGTACCAGCGAATGGGGACCACATGGAGATATCTTGCAGGGAGGCCCACATGGAGATACCTTGCAGGGAGGACCACATGGAGATACCTTGCAGGGAGGACCACATCGAGATACCTTGCAGGGAGGACAACATAGAGGACCACAGTTTCAGAAATATAATATCTTTACTTAATGGTGGTCAGCATCAGTGCCTTAAGCTGTCATTGTCCCATAATGGCGTGGATCATAAATATCGATCACTGGCTTGTCAAGTCCAAACTCGATCATTTACATGTCACTTTAATGACAGTCATGTGGCAAACAGTGAAAATATATTTCACTAAACTCTGGAAAATCAATAGCTCAATATCATTGTTCATAATTTCCTGTACTACTTAACGTTTTTTTCACTGATGCCGTCATCCATTCCCCGATTGTACAAGTCAACGGGCATGCCTGCGAAGGCAACATACGAGCCAGGGTCGGCCCAGGCATTAAACTCAATAGTGTCACGGCTGAAGTCCTTGCCTCGGTTGATTTCTAGTGTGACCTGAAAACATGAGAGATGGGGAATGAGTGAGAAAGATGAGTATATAATGGATTTCACAATTTAAATTCACCAATCAAGGTAGCATATAAAACAAAACAGTGGTATACTCAAGTTAAATGAGAGCTGTTTGTTACAGATTTAGAGTTATCTCCCTTCCATCAATTTGCATTCGCAAAAAGATCGGTAATTTCTGTGCATCATACGTGATTCAATGTAATTCGAGATAAAGAATTACTACCACGAAGTACCAAATGAGTTGCCATTGACAGCGGGTGTACATTAGAAGAGCGCTCAGAAAGCGACATTTATGTGTGAGGTAAGATAAAGAGCATTATATTAAAGTTAACCCAGAAAGATGTCGATTCAGGTTATTGTAATAGTACTCTATTAATATGAAACCAGGATGCTTAGCTGTAGATTTCGGTGATACAAAGAGCACTATATTAATATTAAACCAGATATATTATTAATGTTAAAGTTATGTTAAACCAGACTAGTATATATAATTAAAAAAGGAGAAAAAAATGTACAAGTTAAACTTTCTGGACAATGAATGAAGGCAAAGGTACCCTATAATACACCATCCTGACAGGCCAGTTAAACAAGGGTACGGATTTACCTGGTTCTGTCTGGTTCCGTTGACGAAGAAGTTGAGGACATCGACTACAATCTCCTCTGGTTGTTTCAGATAATACACAACCATCCTGGCCGTGGGGATCATCTCCCGGGACAACGCTATGGCAAATGTCTTCTGCCTTGACGTCATCTCCAGCTCATCTCCAATGATGATGTTTCCCCCTGACACCACCTGTAATAAAAGTATAAGATCACATTACATTACCGGGTATTTAATTTTTCAACAAGGTCCGTACCTTCAATTAAAGTGCATTTTTCTTGAGCTGCATAAACGATTCCTTTTCAATTACGATGAAACATTTTTTCAGAAAATTTGATGAGTTGGGTAAGAAACAATCTTGCAAACAGAAGATTCATCAAGATTTGGAACATGCTATAACATTCTGTACAAAATAAAATAAAAATAATGAAAGCAAAACACTGTACCTGGTAGAAGATCCTTGGCACAAAGTTGCTGGTCCTCACATGGAAGATCATATATTCATTGACCTGTTGAATAAAATTAATTACAGGTGAGTATGTGACTGACAGACAGGTGAATATGAGTGTTTTATTACAGGCAAATGTGTGCAACTGATTTCAACTGACAGTTGAGTGTCTGCAACTGGTTATATAAATGAGTGTGTAAATGATTACAGGTGAGTGTGAATGACAGGGAGTGTGAACAACTGAGTACAGGTGAAGGTGTGTCCAGATGAGCCATAGTCTGTATCAGCAAAATGCTCAATTAGTGAGATGAGTGAAATTTGTATTCAAGTTGGATATATTGATATGGTATTATTTGAATTTCTTTACATTTTTCATATATGTGTGTTGAGCCATAGTCTGTATCAACAAAATGGTCATGATTAGGAAATGCTCATTTAGTGAGATTAGTGAAATGTGTATGAAGTGAGATACATTGATAAAACCGTAACAGTTACAACCAAAGATTCAGCATGGAAGAATAACGAAATCCGATCTTTAATAAGAAAACAGAATTGTGTACACAAGATTGCTAAATAAAGAAACCTTCCTAATAATTTGACTAAGTTCAGAATGCTCTGGAACAAAGTAATATCAACAGTTAGAAATGCAAAACATGCTTTTGATGCAACAATTACAAGTTTCTGATCCTAACGCCGATCTGCCTGATATCGAACCGTGTGAAATCGATCATCCTATGTCATCTATCACAATAAGTGAGTCTAGCATACCACATTGATATGGTATTATTTGAATCTTTTTACATTTTTTATATATGCGTTAAAGTGAAATACATTGAAATGGTTTTAACTGGATATACCACTGAGAAGGTAACAAAATTTAAGATAAAATAATATATAGACTATAGCCCTTGAACAAAGGCTCACGCTTCAGTGGCTAATGCTTATTACCTGGCACACGTCTCTCACCTAGCCATTGTGCAATATTGTCCTCACAATACCTTTTTTGGTAGACTCTGGCTAAGTGAGATTGAACTGATTGATTACAGGTAAATGTCACATTGTTTATGACTAATTAAAGGCAAGTGTGCAATTGGTTACATGTGACTGTGTGTATGATTACCAATGACTGTGTGACTGATTGGTAAGTGTGTGTGATTGACAACAGGCAAGTTTGGAACTGAATATAGGATTACTGTATGGATAATTAAAGGTAACTGTACAACCAATTACAGGTGAACGAGAGACTGACTTTAGAAGAGCATGTGAATGTTATTTGTGCTGCAGTCAGCAATATTACACAGGTATCCTGGCAGCATTTCAATAATTAAATCAAGGCCAGACAAACTAGTGGTTGATAACATGAACAAGCCATTCACTTTATCAGAAAACTCAAACACCAGGGACTCCTTTCACGAAGCAACCTTTACTAAGGTTAACCTTAACTCCCATTCTTTAACATTGCACTAAGGTTACCTTAGTGACTTACGATCACCTTAGTGCTTCGTGCAAGGACCCCCTGGAAAGTATTGAAAAACAATTCTGCTGCTGAGATTTAACTCATGTTTGTTCATTGAATTGATATTTTGTGCTTACTTTTGGGTTGTCTGTTGAGGTTGTTACGGTGATGTAACTCTGGCTTTGAGAGAAGAATCGTGTTCCACGGAGTTGAATACGAGTTGTAGGATCATTGTCATATTCGGCCTGGAATAGAAAGATAAATAATACCTAGAAACTTATTCCCTGCATTTGAAACATTTGACGCTCTGTCAACAAACATCATCATTTAGAAATATGATATTGCATAAAACAGGAATATATTTGTCACATCATATCATATCATGTTTATATTCGCAAGTACCAAATGTTAAGAAAGTAAAGTAGCGTAAAGAGTTGTAAAGATGAAGGAAAACTCAGTAACTGTTCTATAGATAGGCAACTTCTTTTTTTGTTGACTGTCCATAGAACTTGGCTTCCCTTTTTTTAAGAAGTTGGCTATTTATAGAACTTGGTTTTCTTTTTTTTAAGACATGCAGCATCAATAAGTACATCATCATCATCACCATCATCAACTCAATTTTTAAGTTGTAACGGTATTTTAGTTGCCCCACCAGGTGCCAGCTGTACGTAGGAGGAAAACCTAAAGTAATTCAGGTCCTGGCCATGATACGGGGAAATCCATATGCGTGAGGAATGGAGCTGAACAGACTAGAAACGTAATCAGGGGATTCTGGGATTTGAACCCATTGTCATCGGTAACTGGCACACCTACTGAATGCATCTGGGTTAGCCATATTGGATTTGGATAAATGCAGTGTGATGGATTTTTACTCAACAGAATTTTTATCACAACCTTATGCACATAATCAGCGTTCATAATACCCCGCCTGCACAACCGCCCAGGACTGGTTATTTTCAACACGAACTGCCAGATTCTCAAATTCACCTGCCCAACGGTCGGTTAAAATTTAGACATGTATCTATGAAGATATTTTGTGGGCAGGTAAGTTTTGGTCAGGGCTGGCAAGTTTTACATCTAACCAGCCCTGTGGTGGGGCTGAATTTTTGGGAGTTTCATACCCTGACATAATGAGTAAGAAAATTGAAAATGAGATCAGGGCATAAGTTTTTCTAAATGTTGTGAGGATCCTGTAAAACATGCCATGTGAATAACATAATCATAAAACACAATTGTAGAAAATCAGTGTCTAGTTTCAAGTTGGAGTTGAATTTATCTTTCCTTGCTATGAGCATGTTTAAAAAGGTTTGGAACATACAAACAATAAACAAGACTATCCCTGTAGCCAGCCTACCTCCAGCATCATGCCCTTGACCTCTGTATCAGCATACACCTCGAACTCCACGATGCCTCCTACAGGTGACTTGTCCACTGGCTGATCGTACCGCAGCTGGGCAGGACCCGAGTTAGACATGGAGGAGTACAGACGCACGATCTTATTGGGTGTATCCACTGGAGTCCCATCGTACTTCATCACGGCAACCTGACAATCAGAGGGAAGTCTCACTACAGAAAATTCAACACTGCAGTGTCAAATATGAAACTCAACAAAATATTCTTGCTTTGCTTTAAACTTTATTTCAGAAAGGTCACGAAATTGGACCCAGGTCCCCGTGGACGGACACCATCGACGCCAACAGGGTCTTCTGTTCCCCAATCGCAAATCATTATAGTGAACACCTTTAATTTAGTACTGGGGACCAACTGGACCCAGGTCCCTGTGGACAGACAATATCAAAGACTTCAGAGCCTTATGTTCCCCAAGTCAGTATAGTGAACACGTTTATACACAGAGACTGCTGGTGTGTGAAGTCTCTGTGACCTCAATGGTTTTCATCACTTACTGCAACTGTTATGATGGAGTTTGGCTTGAATGTCCGTACGTGGTCCCCCGACCCACTTTAGCTTCACGTTGCTGTTAAAAATGATGGTGCTGGCAACCCCAGTCCGGTTCAGACCAGAATGCCAATCTGAGACGTTGACACTCATTACAAGTTCGCAGTCCACTAAATTCTGGCCAGGTATAATTCTGTCGGCTAGCTGACGAATTTCCTCGATAGTAAACTTGAAATCGATACGGCCAAGATGCTAAAAAATAAACCAGATTCACATACATATTTTCATAACAATGTCTTTTCTGAATTACAATAGTGACTCTTGCCCAACCAATGTCACATTTAGCCTGGGAACATAATCATATATCTTTCATCAGACACCTGCAACAGCAATGTTTGAAAGTGGACATCTCACCCAGTTTTTACATATTTAGGATAGACCTTTTTGGTTCATCGCAGATCTGCAAAACTGATTTTGTCCCTTCTTTTGAAAAATACCCCATAGATACTGAAGATATGATTTTAAATAATTTGCTGACAACACTAAAATGAGGCATTTGCTCAATGATCCCATTTTAAAGTACAGCTACATTCATGTTTTTTTCCCTCCAATCTTTTAGCTGGATACTCTTCTACACCAAATACTACTTTTGAACAACCATATAAACAAAAACCCTTTGCAATGCTACTCACATATTCAATAAACCTGTAAATGTAGGGGAAATTGTTTCCGTAGTCAATTCCTGGTACTGGCTTGGGCTTGAACATCAACGTAATGGAGGCATTGCCGATCACAGGACGACCACTTGTCTGACTGTAATATGATTATTAAAGACATATGTACACCTTCATATTCTGGGTTAACAATTACTGATTTGAGTATGTATGGGTTTTCATAAAGACAACTTTAAAGGGAGTGCAAGTATGAACTTACTTGGCTAGCACCACGCCCTGGAAGATCTGGATGTTGTCCATAATGTATGGGGGAACTGAGACGTTCACATCAAAACGAGGCTCCCCTGACAAATAAAAAAGCACATCAATGGACCAGGAATGCTAGTGTTCACTCATATTTGTTTTATCATTGTTTTTTTACTGTTACTCATAATAATCAAAAGCAGCAAAGACTGTTAAACATCAACTTTTCCGCCTCATTTTAATTTTATCAGGTTATCTGCTGTTAAAGATTTGACCATAATATGAAATGAAACATTGATTGTCTATTATTGGTTGGTTGGTTTGTTGTTTAAAGCCACACTCAGCAATATTCCAGCTATATGGCGGCAGTCTGTAAATAATTGTGTCTGGGCTAGACAATCCAGTGATCAGCATCATGAGCATCGATCTATGCAATTGGGATACGAACAAGCATGGATTACTGAAGATCAATTCTAACTAACATATCATGACACCCTTCACACAAGCAAGTACTTACAAAATTCTTCCACGACAAAGCGTTTCCTGTATGTGTGTCCCTGAGGGAAGAAACATGTAATAGTGTATACACTGCATAAATGGCCAAAAAGTAACTTCTAAGTTGAACTGACTAAAGAACACTGAACAAAGTGTTTTCATTCATCATTAAAAGGAACAGTTACAAAAAAATTAATTAGTTTTATATTTAGACTACAGCTGATCTTAGACATACTTGTAACAATAAATATTAGTGAGTAAATGGACATTTTGTGTAAAGAAATCCCGAGTACTCACGAAGGCATCCACTCTGATGCTCCAGTTACCATAGTTTGGCTGGTCAGCAAGTTCAAAGCTTTGACTCACAAGACCTTGAAAGGTGAGAGAAATAACCAATGTTCAAGCCGGAACAAGTGTAATTGATTCAATTTCTGGGAATGAGTTGATTATTTCTACAAGTCACCATACACAATGTCAGACAGTCATTTAGTGAGGTACCAATGTATCTGTTAAAAGGTATGTTGCTGATGACTGATCTCATTGATATGTTACCGAGTGTGTTCCACAGAACCAGTCCTACAAATCACTATGGCGATAGAATCATGAGTTATCTCCCTGGGACTTCATGTTACACAATATTGTCATACCTCCTGCATTTGTCTGCAAACCCAGCCATCTTCTCACAGGAATTCCAGTTGGATCCTGTAAACATAACACATCTTATTCAATAGTTATCAGAACTGCTTTTGTCAGTCAATCATAACAGAGAGAACTTCAATAAACCATTTCCTGAAACCTGTGGTAACAATTCCTTAAATAAGAAAATAATACCACAAATAAACTTTATGCCAAACTAAATGTCAACACTCACCTCAACATATATCGTCATACTTCCATATTTGGGCATCATGTCGGGAAGAATAGGAATTACTCGGAATTGAACTGAAACAAAATCCATCATTATCATTTTCCACATCACAAAGTCCACATGCTTTTATGCTCCTCATTTGGAAATTGAACAAAAGCCAAACTCATAATCCAATGAGAATAAAGAAAGGTAGATAACTGTGAGAAATGGGAGACAACTCTGGTCACTTACCCATTTGTCCTTGTCTGTATATTGGCTTGCTCATCTGGATGAAGAGAGAGGCTTGTTTGGTGTCAAACTCAATGTCGGTCTCATTGCGGAATATGTAACCACTTGTGCCGCCATTCAGAGTTCCCTCCACCCTGAGTCTGTACTGCCCAGCTTGTGCATTTTGTGGCATCTGCAAACATGGAGGTACATTTTATCTGTGGAGGTTAGTTCCTGAATTTATGCTGATTGATCGACAAAATGAACCAAATTGTGGAACATAGTCTGTACATATTCCACACTAGGGCATAACCCATGTGTACTGGTGAGATGGTCTTGTACTAAAGGGTCATAAAGGGCGTGTATCCGGGCACATCAAAGGGACAGAACTATGCACACTGACTTGCAGTGCCTCATTCAGATGTGTTAAAACATCAATGGAGATTGAGAGACAAACATAAACTACTTGTCCCACTCAAACCATTGTGTCAGCTGTCAGCTGTCAGCTGTCACCCCCAACCAGGTGTGTAACTAAGATCCAAACAACATACCTGTAGCTATCCCCCTCAGACCACTGGCTCACCTGTCCCCCATCCAGGTGTGTAACTGAGATCCAAACAACATACCTGTAGCTATCCCCCTCAGACCACTGGCTCACCTGTCCCCCATCCAGGTGTGTAACTGAGATCCAGACAACATACCTGTAGCTATCCCCCTCAGACCACTGGCTCACCTGTCCCCCATCCAGGTGTGTAACTGAGTCCAAACAACATACCTGTAGCTATCCCCCTCAGACCACTGGCTCACCTGTCCCCCATCCAGGTGTGTAACTGAGATCCAAACAACATACCTGCAACTGCATTATCCTGCTGGACGGCCTCTCAAACTTCATCACAGTCCCAGTGTATTCAATGTTCTCCTTGACGATGGATATTCGGACATTGACGTGTGTATATTCCAGCTTCAGGATGGTTGTAAACATCTGGATCACCTGATTAGGTCTCACCCGTTTTGGTGCCAGGATCATGTAAATACTGAAACAAAGAGGAACATCACCATAGATCACCTGATTAGGTTTCATGAAGAAAGCTTATTCAACACAAGGTACATTAGAAGTTTGAGTGCTACATACCTCCTCAAACGGTCAGTTAGAACTTAGATGATAGGCATGTAAACATTAGCATGACTAAGCATATTCAGATACTAGTGCTGGGAATTGGATTAAATCTCATAATTGATGATTGGTTCATTACAACTGATAAATCACTGACAATAATTGGTTAGCGTCATTTATAAATGTCCTGGTTATGTTTGTAAACACACGGAAACTAAATACAAAACAAGTAGTTCTCTTGAGTGTTTTGCAAATTTTACATCCTTAAATGATGACTAGCATGTTAGGAACATAAATTTCCTAGAGTCTTTAAGATAAATTCAATCATGACTTGGAACTAGCTTGCAGTGCTTATGAAAGGTAACAGACAAAACCAACCTTGTGAAAAATATTGTTAAAGCAAACAAGTGTTCCAAAATTGTTTGTGTTCGATTTTGAGAAAGCATGATTGATTGCTTGGTCGTTTAGTCATTGCGACCAATCTTCGATTATTTCAATTAATCGGACCACCACTATCAGATACTGAGATTTTCCATCCTTTGTACTCTTCATTGTCAATGTCATGAGTAATAAATGACCAGCATGTTTCTTGTTAAATGTTGCACTCAGCAATATTCTAGCTATATGATGTTGATCTGTAAATAATCGAGCCTGCACGAGATAATCCAGTGATAGACGTCATGTGCTTTGATCTACTCATTCTTCCGACTCGTTGACAAGCATGGGTTGCTGAAGACAGATTCTTACCTGGATCTTCACAGGAAGACTAGCAAGTATGTTATCATTGTTTTACAGATCGGATTCACATTGTGTTGAATTTCTCAGTTTTCAAAAATGATCAATTTGGTTGCATGCTCAACATCTCATTTTCAACCTCATTTTATGGTTACCACGGTTACAAAATTAAAGTTGGGTAAATTTTTTAAGCACATATAGCCACATCAAAACTTTTATTACATATAATCAGTTAATTAATGAATTGAAATTGAATATAGTAACCACTTACGGTGGCCTTTCTAGGCGGCATCCTTGAGTGTTCTCAATCAAACAATTGTTCTCCAACTGCCCTGCCCCAAAGGAAGCTAGCGAGAGCAGCACTGCTCCCAGTAGCAAGTGCCCATGCATAGTCAACTGCAAATAGAAAATATAAGTCCTCCAGATTGGCAAAACATTCACACATATGGGACAACTCAGGTGACAACTGATCTTAAGTCTCTTACAAAACAAAAATGTCCCAAGTAAATCTATAAATAGGATACAACGGGTAGTTCAAAAGTTCTGAGTCAACCTAAAAAGGATGCATACTACACTCCTTACAGTTTGGCTGTATTTTTAAAGTACATATTTCTGTACACATGAAACTTAAAGAGACAAAATTGTCTAACTTTAAGGCAAATAATGTCCAAAATCAGGAGACCAACTTCCACCACTAAGGAAAATGTCCACATTCCGATATTATATATGATCATGGATGGTGATGACACAACAGACGTCACTTAGCAATTACAGTAGACATGTCCAAAGAGAGAGTTGTGAACTAGGCCTGGGACGGGTCCAAATTTTCTACCCGGCTACCCCATCCCCTATTACCTTACCTGGATACCCGTTATGTTAATTCCTGACATCAAATTTGCAAGAAAAGGCAATATATTCTATAAATCGGAGGTTAAAATGTCGAGTTTTTCAATATCTTAACCATGTATTATTTTCAAAAGAGGTCACTGTAAATTATGTCTAAATCTTCAAAGATGATACAACCTTTTAATCATGAAAGAATAACATATTACATAGTTTAATCTATTTGTCACATGATCATAATGGGTCCGGGTATTGAGATGTGTACCCAGGTCCAACTCGTCCTACCCGTCCCAGGTATCCAGGTTACCTGCCCCAGCCCTATTGTGAACTGAGCATTTTAGTATTTTTCAAAACACCGGATTCCGGGCTTCAGACTCCTGATGAGAAATACTCAGTGTTCATCATCTCTCATGAGAATTTACCCCCAGCTGAAGCAGATGCAGCTGATTACTAGTGAGTGAGTTTGGTTTTACCCCACTTTTAGCAATATTCCAGCAATATGATGACAGGGGATACCAGAAATGGGCTTCTTACATTGTACCCATGTGGAGAATTGAACCTGGGTCTTCAGCGTGACAAGCGAACGCTTTATCCACTAGGCTACCCCACCGCCCCTATAGCATGAATACACTGTGACAACATATTTGGATGCAACTTTCTTATAATATTATGAGTCTGTGTAAGTCATACAGATATCAGTCTACCATAAAAATGATTAAATGGTGTCCATTTTGACAATGAGGTCTGTCAACAACATAAGAACTCATACAGTCATAGATAATGTCAAAAACTAAAATGCTATCTATAATACACAGGTAATACATGTAGGTTGAAACTCTATTCCGATGACACATAGGCGAATTAATCATCATGATTATTGTACAAGTAAAATGAAGTTGTCAAAACCGGAAGTACAGCAAAATTAGTTCAGAAAATTTGATGAACTTACCAAGTCGTTTGTGTTGGTTAAAGTTATTGTTACTGCTTGCACTATTACTTGTGACGACACAAACTGCCTTGAAACACAACGATCCTTTAAACTGAACCAAAATTCTGATAAATAAATAAACTGTGGGGATTCCTCAAGTTGTCCGCCATGATGTTTCTAGTCAGACTTCCTATGTCCCGTACAGGTGTGTACAAACGAGCTTGATTGCAGGTGTAACGATAGATCAAACGTTGGACGTTAATTTAAACCTAATGCCCGTGTCAGAACAAGCATAGTGATAAGTAATTAACGATATGTTTTGATTGTGATCTGACTTGCTTACCTGTGTCCCCGTCCCAAATTGTGTGTTTGAATACCTGAGCGGTGACTGATATAAGGTCGAGGTCGCGCCAATGTAATTGGAATGCAGCAAGGGAGTTAACTGCTACAGATGACAATGCAGGTGACAATAAGCGCGTCACTGTCCCATAATGCAAAGCGGGTGTGACATGATATATTCGAGGTTGTAAAAACTTCGTTAAATGTCATGACTGTTTCTTATCACTTGTTGAGTAAATTTTGGACTGTATGACAACAGATGCGTAAATCTGTTTTATTTTATTTCATTTTAAATACATTTTGTACAGAGAATCGTTGTTTTTTAACAACAAATTCCAAATCGCTGAAACCAAAGGAGATCAAATGGCTTATTGAAAACTCGGATGAATCAGAGCTCAATACATGGTACGTGCATAGGCGGATCCAGGAACTTTAAAGGTGGGAGGGTGGGGGTGGGGACTGATGGTGTGTGTGTGTGTTCGGTGGTGTTAATTTTTGCTCCGACAGTGCAAAACATTAGTTTCAACGTGGTCTTTAGTCTTTGCGTGTGTGTGTGTGTGTTTGTGCCCCCACCCCCGGTTCCTTGGATCCGCTAATGACGTGTATTTAAAATGAAATACTTCAAGTTACGTATTCAGATTTTAATTTAAGCACAGACGCACCTGGAGCATGTAAAATAACGTTCTCTTTTGACCCCCACACTAACCCCAGAAGACGTTAAAACATTTTATCAAACGTTTTGAAAGAGTTAAAGACAGAAACAGAATACATACAATAACGACTGTCACAAACCGACATAGTTTGTTCTCTTTAAACACACACACACACACACACACAGACAGACATACAACACACACACACACACATACATACCTACCTACCTACCTACCTACCTACCTACCTACATACATACATACATACATACATATACTAACACCCCCATCTCTCTCCACCCCACAGTAACAATGTACTTCTATAAACCGATGTTTAAGGTGCGTTGGGTTAGTTTAGTGCTTAAAGCGTTCGTTCAGGCACGCCGTGGCCCGGGTTCGAATATGTGTACAATGTGGGAAGCCCATTTCTGGTGATATTGTTGGAATGTTGCTAAGAGCGGCGTAAAACTCGACTGATGCTGGTTTTCCGTTGACACTCATATTGTAGCGTATCATGATCTCCTTCAAAACGTGCTACTTCGAGGGCTACTTCGATGATCATCATTACTCGTTGTATCTTGGAAGCACCATACCTGTCGTGAACGTGTAACACCTGCACCACTCCTGAACGTCTCCGGACTTTCCAAGCGGGCACACCTGTGAAGATCCGGGTTAGAATTGATCTTCAGTATCCCATGCTTGTCGTAAGAGGCGACTAACGGAATCGGGTGGTCAACAATTAAGCTCGCTGACTTCTGGTCCAGACTCGATTATTTACAGACCGCCGCCATGTAGCTGGAATATTGCTGAGTGCGGCGTAAAACTAACTCACCCTCTTACTCACTCACTCACTCGCCGTGATATAGGTCTATTGTTCAAAGCGGTGTTAAAACCAACTCACTCACCTTTGCCGCCATCAATGTTCAAGAGGTAGAGACTTCGTAAAATTGTTTCATTTCCTTAAGGCATACAGATATGGAAGAGCTTTATTTGTAAAAAGACTACCCCAATCTGCACTAGCGCACGTATACTGAACGGCACTTAGAAATGTGATAGACGAACGCTTCGTCTCTGAATATATACAATTTGGATAGAAACAAACAATTCCTCATAATTTGAGACCGCCTCCGTGGTGTAGTGGTTAGAGCGTCCGCCCGGAGAGCGGAAGGTCGCAGGTTCGATCCCCGACCGCGTCATACCGAAAGACGTTAAAATATGGTACTTGTTGGTCCCTGCCTGGTGCTCGGCATTAATGGGTACAACAAGGACTGGTCGGCTTGGAAGCAGTATAATGTGTCTGAGTGGGTATTTATGCTTCACTGCGGCATGGTATCTCAGTGGGCTAGCACTATAAAACCAGCTTAAGTCTGGGCTAGTACAATCAGCCGCACATACACATACACACGCATGCACGTCGTCATATGAGCGAAATATTCTCAAGCACGACGTAAAACCCAATTTCACCTCACCGCATGATTTGAAAAAGAACTCAAGTGAGAAGAGAGATTCAGAACATGAGGAAATCTAGACTTGCTTCATTTAGGGCTTTAGCATTGCAGAAAGGGATGGGCGGAAGGGAAAATAACGCTGTTCAGCGACTGTGAGAACTCGGTGATGTACTGACGGCAATTCACAAAGTCAGCAAATGGTATCCTCTCAAAACTTCCACATCCCAAAACTTCCACACCTTATAACAACAACATTTCTGGTTGACTGCACACACTTTAGCATACTGATTACCTCAGTCTGTAATGGTTTAATCCATTAATCAGAAATGAATACAGAGAAGAGTCTGGCGTAGAAGAACACAGCTGTGATAGGGCCGTTATGGTGGTGACATGTACCGTCATAGTGTCACTGCAGTCTTTACCTGGTTTTTTACATGACAGGGACATCCTTAATTAAATCTTTTGCCTATTACATATTCTTTAAAGATTCTGAAATATCTGACTGACAAATTTCATTAAATTATATCTTAAAGTAAACATATAAAACTGGCTATTATTGAAAATGTCACTACCGTTATTGTGTCACTACCATAATATTAATGCCAATGTCCATACCATAACATTATCAATTTCCTTATTTAATTAAAATTGATTTATGTGTTTATGCCTGGATTTGGTAGTGCAAGTATGTTTGGTAATAGAACTTCATAGGCGGATCCAGAGGGGGGGTGCAGGGGTGCGCACCCCTCCCCTTTTGTGCTGAAAGTTTGTTAAATGACCATGGAAACTCGGGTAAAAATGAAGTGCGCACCCCTCCTTTTCTCGATAGTGTGCACCCCCCCTTTCTCAAAAAGCTGTATCCGCCCCTGAACTTCAAGTAAGCATATTACAATTCATATTCTCATTTTGAATTTTTTGCTACATATTACTTTATACACATGTATTTGCAAATCAGAATTGAAAGGAATTGTTTGGCCTGTTGGACCCTTTTAAGCAATGAACATAAGATTTCAAAACTCATTAGCCATGTTATATTGTAAAACTGTATATTTTAATATACATGTACATTAAATGTACGTTAAGCTTGCATAATTTATGTGTTGTATATTCAGAATACTCTGAACGTAATCAACAACATTTCAAGGTAAAACAAGAAAACAAAATTTACAATTGCCTACATGAAATATGCACGAATTTATGTTATATATATTTCAGATTTATTAACTAACTGCTGTCTTCTCAACTAAAATCTCCACTCTGCTAAGTCAGGTGATGTGTCATTATCCGTTGTTTCAGTTCAGTGCACTTCCTGGGCTATCCTATTAACTAAAACGGGGTGATGAGGAGTTGTTGTTTTAACAGTGTGTGGTAGTATTGGGATGTGGAAGTTTTGGGATATAACCATGTCAGTCTATGTAGAGGGAACCGTCCGCCTTAAAACATAACGCTCACTTTATTTACTGCTGTGGGTGTAACATGAGGTTAAAACAAGGACCAAGTTGTCATCTGACATAAACACATGGAAAACATGAACAGAGGGATATCTGTTTGTTCTCTGTAATATTATATACATTAGGGCATAAATCGTTATTTTTGTTAAATTCAATTAACATTTAGTCTCATAATATAGATTGATACATTAAAATACCCGTTCTGTAAAATTAGCTTCATTGGCGGGGCACCTATCAGCTTTATGTAATCAGTTATCATTCACAGAGCTCATTCCGTCTTTAGGAGTTTACGGGCGCTTCTCACTTTCTCACGTTCATTTCTTCTTTCAATACCATAAGGAAGACTTGAACCATTAATTTAGTCATCTTGCACATTCGCAAAACACATTATATACAACACGACAAAAGGTGATGCAGAAACATTGGTATATATGTTAATTCTTTCACTGCCAGCCGAAGAGTAGATTGCAGATTGACAGCCGGTCTGCGCACGCGCAACTTTCTGTTTACAAATTCCGCTCGCGTGCGATTCGAAAATGGCTGGGAAGCGTAAGGGGAAACGTGGGAGATCAAAATCATCAGATATGGTGAGCTCCAGTTTGCATGTACTGTATATATTCCAAATATTAACCGCTGTAGGGTTTGCATGATTAAAATTTAACCTCAGGTATTGTCATTTAGGTGTGCAACATAGGTTGTTTGACAGGTTGACAACTTCCGATTTTCGTGCCAGTGCATGTTTGTGAATGGCCGGGTTGGTGTATAACTCTCGTAATATTCAAATGGATGTAAGAGAGGCTTCTATGTCAATTACATAATTTGAAAGCGTTATTTCTTCATAGAACATTGATGTGGAAAGCTGTTTTAGGATTGTTGATCAACTTTAGTTCAGATGTGAAGTGCTATGGGTCAAGGGAGGTAACTCTAAATATGAGCGAGTCGTAAAATGTCACTTTCTGGTAGGATATTAGAATGAACGTTGTGCAGTTATGTTGTGACACTTGAATTATGCTCACGGGCGCGTATATATGTACACAGATTTTGTGCATTCTGTTTATGCCTGCCATCACCTTTCAATATAGGCATGGATAGGCCTACACAAATAAATGAAAAATATTAGTTTAACTTCTTTGATGACATTTGGGGGCGGTTCATAATTTATGGGTGTACAATGTGAATGACCCCCCTAAAATTTATGTTCAAAATAAGTGACCCCCATGTCATGTACAAAATCAATGACCCCCCCTTCCCATAATTTGTAAGCGTAATTTTAAACATATTTTTATGTACAAAATTGTTGAAACAAACAACAACACCCCACCCCCAGTTCGTCTGTACAAAATTGCTGACTCCCCAGTCCCTGCCCCCCGGCCCTAGCTCCACAGAACAGAATGGGTGACCTCCTTTAAAATCATCATTACACCCCCAGCCATAAATTATGAACGGTCCCTTAGAACCTATATGGAAGTTGGCATGATGAATAAGGATGATACTTGCTTGATAACAGTGTTAGCATCTACCTGAAAACGTTGCATATATTGTAACACAGAAGGAGTACATCCACAGATTTATCCTCTTTGAATATCTGTTTAGTCTGAGGTTCAGTTTCAAACAAAACCAACTGTGCAACTATCCCTAGAATCATCAATACCTGAGAACTATGTTGAAGATAGTCATATATTTATTTATTAGTGTCTTAAAAACATTTCTTTATTGAAATATTATTTATCACTGACATATAATGATTGTTTTTTCAGGTAGCGGAAGAGGTAATGTTTCACAGACAGAATAGTGAAGATTGTAGCCTAATATGTTGTTAGTGTCAAACTAAAACCTCTGACCTCTGTCTTACTTTCAGGATATAAAACCCCTCTGTAATCAGTTAAATGATGCACCACGTCTAACATATCTGCAGAGGAGAAGTAATTCATATCAACCAGTGTTCATAACTAAGTAAAGCGAGGAGGTCCTTTAGTGTTTGAGGTTTGCATTAGGGCTCTAACAATCCACTATGAGGCAAAAATGATACTTATCACGTGTATTAGCTATTGATTACAAATATTGGGCAACAAATACAATATCAAGTCAGCAGTAGATGTATCAATATCAGGCATTATAATTTATTTTCAGTGACACAATAACAGAATAAATTCTTTTGCATGTTTTGACAATGTTGACTGTGTAAATTGATCACGATAATGACTAGGGACCACATTACTCTCAATTAATTCAATAAAAGTGTTGACTATTATCCTGGCTTGAATATTCCATTTTGAATATCGCTTTGATCAATCTCTCAAAATCAAGTAAAAACACTCTATTTGTAAAAAGATTGCATATTAAGTTCTAGTGCTAACAAATAACAAACTGAATTCATGAAGGGATATGGTTTGATTCACCAAGCATGGTAGTGAATTGTAACAGCCCAAGCTTACACCGATCTGACAAAGGACCTCCTAAATGAATATAATATCAAAATTATGGGACCCCATTAATTTTTGTCCTCCGCCTACACTGCACCAAACATTACAACCTTGTATCTGAGTATACATGATCTGTAGCATTCACTTATCAGATCCTGATGATACTGAAATTTGATTGATTGATAAACGCCACACCCTGCAATATTCCAGCTATATGGTGGCGGTCTGTAATTAATCGAGTCTGGACCAGACAATCCAGTGATCAACATCATGAGCATTGATCTACGCAATTGGAATAAGATGACATGTGTCAACCAAGCCAGTGAGCCAGACGACCTGATCCCATTAGTCACCTCTTCACAGGTTGATACTGAAAATACTGACATGGTTTTCAACTGATCATTTATGTTGTGTCAGTGGACAAAAAAATTAGAGACCAATAATGATACAACATATACCAGTATGGATACATTTTCATATTGCTACAAAACTTACAAAGGTGAAAATACATAAGATACTGTATATATTTAGTGTCTTAAGATGTTTGTTTGTATGGTGATTAGTGTTGGGAATTGGCTGAAATCTCACAGTTGAGGATTGCTTCATTACCAACGAACAATCATCGAAAAAAAGAAAAGGTTAGCGTCATTTTTCAGATTTTCTATCCAGGCTGTTATTGTAGATATGTATAACATGATGCAACTTGCTACTTTAAAGTGATGACTAATAATAAATATATCATGAACATAAACTTCCTGGAGTTTTCAAGAAATATTCAGTCATGACCATGATGACTCTTCAGTTAGTGAAAGAAAAAAACAAGTTTTCAGGCCCTGACAACTTCGAAGATATGTTCCATCTTCAAGTGTTCTAAAGACTAAAACAGTAGTTCCAAAATCATTTGTGTTCGACTATGAGAAAATGTGATCAATTGCTTGGTCATTTGGTCACCTCAACCAATCTTCGATTATTTCAATTGATCGGAACACCACTAAAGGTGATGAACCATTATATTGGAGTGGTATATTTTTCTTAGATTCTAACTCTAATGGTTAGGATGATGTGGTTGTTGCAGCATAGTATGAAGTACAGTTAATCCTTGTCACAAGCACACCATAAGCAACGGAAAAGCACAATCCCAACAAGCATGACTGGTTCGGTAGTATTACTGAAGCTCTGAGATGAACAAGAATCAGTTGGGTAGCCCAGTGGTTAAAGAGTTCACAAGTCAAAACCTGGGTTCAATTCCCCATGTGGGTACAATGTGTGAAGCCCATTTCTGGTGTCCCTCACCATAGTATTGCTGGAATATTGCTGAAAGCAGCTTAAAAAGCAACTCACTCACTGAGATGAACAGGGTCAACGTGTATGCTGTTCATTTTTCTAATGACATTTTACCTCAGCAATTTACATGAGGTCTATCTTTCTGTTATGCTAGTTGCACCAGTTTTTGAAAATCTTATGTTCTTGTACACATGCAGCGTATTCAGTTTGATATGAGCTGTTTTAGTTCAATAGCTTCTGTTTGTAAGTCATGGCTAGCTAGATTGATCACTGGCTCCAGTTCTGTTATCATGGTGTTTATATCAAGAGTAATGCGGTGAAAACTAAATGTTGATGATGGCTCTGAAATATTCCTGGATGAAGTATACAAACAATATTCACTTACTCATTTTCTATATCATCATTGGGGTCGGTGGGGTAGTCTAGTGGTTAAAGCGTTGGCTCGTCACGCCGAAGACCCGGGTTCGAATCCCCACATGGGTACAACGTGTGAAGCCCATTTCTGGTGTCCCCTGCCGTGATGTTGCTGGAATATTGCTAAAAGCTGCGTAAAACCAAACTCAGTCAGTCTATCGTCATTGTATGTTGTTGGGACAGACACACTCTGCGAAAAAAGTATACTTTGAGTATCTGTAACAGATGACATTGTCTTTTATTTTAAACGGGGCGGTGGGGTAGCCTAGAGGTTAAAGTGATCACTCGTAACACCGAAGACCAGGGTTCGATTCCCCACATGGGTACAATGTGTGTTAAGCCCTGATTTCATTATGACAATATGTTGTCCCATTAAAGTCTCTATCCCTGCCATGATATTGCACCTTAGGTAATATTTTCAAAAATTCAGGAATTTGTTATTGTCATTTGCTGCAGACTTGAGACCAAATACCGGCCTCAGATCAAGATGGGTCAAGATAAACCTCTGCCTGTGAACTTACATTTGATTAGCGAGGGTTTTCTTTATATCATAATCATGATTATCAGGGAAGTGATGTTAAAGGGCAAGTATACACGAAAATAAACCTTTTGTCTTGCACTTTTTCATCATGAAAATTGTTTGTCAAGTAGTTTTATATCCAAACCCGTACATATATCAGAAGTAACTAATTTATTTTTTGCGTTATATCAATTCATATTTTCAACATTTACCAAGAGTTCTATGTCCACAATGAAATGGCTTATGTCCCTTGGAAATGACAATATTGGTGCTTAAACGATCTGTCAGACCTTATTAGACCCATTTCAATGGTGCAGGTATAGGTGTGGTTCTTGTCTCGATCGCCAGGCTACTGTTTTAATCCACCTGTTGCCTAGCCGTCAGCTGACTATGTTGTCAGTTCTACACTGTAATGACGTTGCAGTTTGAAAACACTTATACATTGTACTAAAGGTGTTACCACGTAACCAAATTGTATAACATATTCAACCTGAGTCGATCGGTCACCTTTCCAACAGTATCTTTAATTTTTTCATGGAACCTAAAACGTATATGCACTACATCTTGCTTGCCATCGGTGAATGTGCCGGCATTCTACGTTTGTTACTAAAGTTCTTACATGAATCGTACGATATGTCCCTCCTTTTCCACCTTCACTTTGATATCGATAGTACATATCCAAATACATCAAGCAGATAAATGCAATTTGCAATTTTGAACTTTGTTTGAAATTTGTTTTTCTATGATATCATCCGCTCATTGTAGATAAAATTTATGCATCGTAAATCTCGCCAGTTTTGACACATTACTAACTCACCATTCACTGCGTTTTGCGTAATTTATGGTATGTCTTAATTCAAATGTCAAATTTTACTTAAAAGAAAAAGACGTGATCATTGTGATCAGCGGTAGTTTTGTTGTTGTATGATCGAATCACCAATGCTCGTTCTGAAACATTATCGATGAACCGAGAATCACTGAGAATGTTTTGGAAAATACGCAAACGTCAAAGCGAATTTTCAGCCATATTACATAGTGTTTGTAAAATCACATCACATGTATGTCGGTTATGTTTCGTCCATAAAATCAATTGTATAATTCAACACCATCTTCCTTACATGAATCCCTGAATTCCTCATACAGTTCAAAATAAACTGACAAATGGACTTTGTCACCAATACGAAGTGTTTCAGTGAAATCTAACGAAATATATCTAGGGTATGAGATGCCGTGCTGTGAAAGAATACTTGTTAAATGTATACAAAGCCAATCTCAGATTTTACACTGTGAATCCGTTCGCCTACTTGTTGCATACAATTGCTCATTAGTTTTGGAACATGCATGGGAAAGGTAACGTAGCAAGCGATAGTTAAATAAAACAGGTGTATTCCAATGATTTTCTAGATTCATCACAACATATTATAGTTTTTGAAAGCATGGCGCCATAACTGGCGAAAAACTCCGCTGCTTGATGACGGTACTTCTCTTAATTTCTGACTATTTCCCTTGGTCACAATGAAAACAAAGAAAATAACAACCAGCAGACTGACAGAATTTTGGGACTACTTACATGTCACATTAATTTTATGCATATCGTTGCTTGAAACAACAAAATATCCTTGAAAACTCCCCTGCGTACTCTGTCAGTGAACCGCCATTTTGAAAAATTCGCTTCCCGATAGTGATGTCATACGGACGTCAACATTGTTATACATATTTGGTATTTTCATTGAGGCGAGGTTATGAATGAAAATACAAACGATCAATCCGTCCTGCTGCTTACATTTTCTGTTCTTATGCTTCTTTCGTATTTTCACAAACTTTTTTTCACGTGATTAATATAAGTATATTATTATCTTTTGATTTGGGACTAGACAGGAGACCAGTTTAAAATCAAGTGGCACCAATTACGTCATAATGAAAGGGCGGTCACTCTGGCCTGTTTAGCTCGGCAAACAAATACCTCATATTGGCATAACATTTCAGCACTTATTTTGAGGGTTATACTTACATTGTAAGAAAAATGAGTGTATATTTTCAAACATTGGTCTTAACTAATTAAAACAGTTCACTTTGATTCACAGAAGAATAAATGTGATTTATTCGTGTACACTTGCCCTTTAAGGAAGTTAATTTCTAAGTTAATTTTCATTTCACAATTGTTGCCTTGATCACAAAGCATTGTCATCACACCAAGTGTGTTCTGAAACAGCAGCACCCTCTAGTGTCAAGGACCCGTGAAGATCCGGGGTATAATAGGTCTTCAGCAACCCATGCTTGCCACAAAAGGCGACTATGCTTATCGTAAGAGGCGACTAACGGGATCGGGTGGTCAGGCTCGCTGACTTGTTTGACACATGTCATTGGTTCCCAGTTGCGAAGATCGATGCTCATGCTGTTGATCACTGGATTGTCTGGTCCAGACTTGATTATTTACAGACTGCCGCCATATAGCTTGAATATTGCTGAGTGTGGCGTAAAACTAAACTCACTAACCTCACCCACCCTCTAGAGTCAAGGTCAGGCTGCAAGGTCGTCTCTGTTAGACACAGTATTGTAGAAATGTCATGAGTAATTGTCATGGCATCTATCATACCCAGTCCTGGTGCAATAGAACTGCACAGATAGACGTAGCCAATAGTATCCACTAGTTGACTGAAACATTTACTTGTTTTGTCCCAAAGACAAAAGAAATATGGGCGAGTGGTGTTCCCAGCCTGTCTAGAAGCTGGAGTCGCCACATGTTGCCACCAGATATTGTTTAGCTTCCCCATGGTTTTACGCAACACAGAATGTTGCGTCCAATACGCAAGAACAAACAATGGATGCAGAAAAATAGGATGCACAATAATATTCTTTGTACTTAATTCTTTGCAGGAAACATAAGATTTCTGTAGTTAAAATAGCTACTAAATTTTACAGTTCAGTTTACAGTACCATTCATTACTTTATAGGACCCCCACATTTCTTTGTAAGGACCGGAGCGGTGGGGTAGCCTAGTGGTTATAGCGTTAGCTCGTCACGCCAAAGTCCCAGGTTCAATTCCCCACATGGGTACAAAGTGTGAAGCCCATTTCTGCTGTCCCTCGCCATGATATTGCTGGAATATTGCTAAAAGCGGCTTAAAATCATACTCACTCACTTCACTCACTTGTAAGGACCCTTAAAATTAGTAACTGTTGTCGTCTGGACCCTAGTTTAAGGTAAGCTCCTGCGTCCACCAACTTTGAATCACCTACATCAAAGTTGCTGAGACCCCAATTTGCCTGAACCTGGTCGCCTATCACGATGATAATGGCGACTGAATATTATATCATTAACTATGATTAAGATGGAGTTGATGAAAGATGTTGGTCGTGCCGTAACTGTTACATGCTGTAACACATATACCACTCAAATGAAGTTAAGGACCACCCAATTTTTTTCATACTAGTGACACTAGTGTAGTGCATTTGTCAGGACATGGAAGATTGAGTATGTTAACTTAAAAGAATCAGGTGGCCATGACCTTGGTATGAGTGTTGTATATTTCCAGGATGTCTCTGTATGGTGTTGTGATCCTTTCTTTTAGTTTTGTTACCTGCACATCACATTTATCTGTTGTGTGTCACCTTCACCATCATAATGTCCGCACCATTTGATTGATTTTTGTGTTGAGTGAATATTTCAAATACAAATTTGTTGTTTTTGTTTTGATAAATTATATGGAAAATATTAACAATGATGTAGAGATGAATTGATAGGTTTTGTGTCACTACGAATGTTGATTTGATGTCCACAATGGCTGTGATTTGGATTGTACTTCAAGGGAGTGATCCCAGAGCATTTGCCTGAGGCAATCTTATATTTAGTTATAAGGACATTTTCATTAATTTTACCAAATGTCTCACAGGACATTATTCCATATCAGTATCACATCTTCAGCATGTTTGGGACATTTTAATAAACAATGAATAATGATCTAGATAACAAACCAGCCTGAAACCTTAATGATAACATGACAAGACTCCTTGATGTCAACATATTTATTGCTGCAGTGATGTAAACCTGGTCCCCGTTTCACAAAGCTCTTGTAAGTCTAAGATCTCGTAACTTTTCTCGTAGTAATCATACCTCTTATACTGTAGCACAGACTTACGACAGTCGTAGCTCTACGATAGCTTTGTGAAACGGGGCCCTGGTGTAGCCACTCACACTTCAGTTTCCTTGCTCCAGATCCAGGTGTGCTTAGATTGTTCCCCTTGAAGTAGTGTATTCACAGCCTGTGGAACTAGAACTAAATTGTATCTACTGTTAGCTTCTGTGGTGCTGGAATAGGCCAGCAGCTGACTCCCCATTCATGTTCAGGGTTTAAATCTCCTAAAGGAATATTTTTCAAAAGGAATGCCACTGTAAGTATGTTGGAAGTCTTGTGATTGGTGCCCCAATACTGTGATGCTAAGTGGAATTTTTTAAATTTTTATATCATCATCTAGTGTCTTTTATATCTTTAGGCCCACATAGGTGCAGCTCTGTTACCTACAGCTGCCTTCCTGGCCGTGCCTCGCACCCCACCCCCACAGACACCCCCAGGGACAGGGGTGGGTCTGTCCTCGACTGTCTTAAACTCCAGCTTGGTCGGTCGCATGGTAGCCCAGCCACAGCCTCATCCTGATGATGAACCCTTCAGTGACCCTGAGAGCAGTCTCTATGACTACCAGCAGATGGAGGAACCTGGGTAAGCACCACAGCAGTATTTCTCTGTAATTTGGTTGGTGCAGCTATTGCCTTCCCTTGGCAACAAGACATTTGAAAAATATGATACAATGTAATTGTATCTCTAATCTTTGGAGGGTGAATGTCTGACAATGGGGATGAATTTTTTTGGTTTTATTTTGTTTTATTTTTATATCCTATATTTGAAACAGAAAAACTTGAGTCTCATGTTAAAATTTTTCTTTAAAAATTCAATAACTCTTTAGCACAGCAGGTAGACATATTACAAAAAGCTGAAATTGTTCTGTCTAATTATGATTAAGGCCTTTCATTTCATACCAGGTAGTTTTTTGGTACAAAACTTTTTGTTTAAAAATTCCATGTAGGTGGTCAGGGATAAAAATATGTAAAATATCAGCTTCCACATTGGCATGGTAAGTACTTGTACAAATGAAGTCATAGATCAAACTGTCAGTCACTATGGAGGTATGGTTATGAAATGATCTTTGAAGATACTTTATTGGGTTTATTATAATGTTAAGAATATTTCATTCTAAGATCCATTATTCACATTCTTAATCTTATAAAAAGCAGTGTTAGAATCTTCATTATTTGTTTTTCATTTCTCATAACTGTAAAAAATTGCAAAAAGTGATTTTATGTTTCTTAATTCTTATTTAGGGCTTTTGGTCAGTCTGTCTAGTAAATTAACTTAAAAATACATCTAAGGCCTTGCTGTCCAGTGTGTTCAGATGATGTTAATGGAGCTGTGTGTAGAAATCCATACAGTGTCAGTTTGTATGATTGTAATAACTAGGGCTGTAAAGATACATCGAACTAGCAATGGATTGCAATTGAGTCTCCGATAACAATTAATTGATGGTAGAATTGAAAAACAATTGATGCATCGATAGTATGTGTGACTATCGATAGTTGAGTAATTGACTTCCGTTTATAAATGCACAGCGCAAAATACAGGAAGTACCAGATTCATTCAATTTGATTAGAGTTATCTGCCCCTGTTACCTCTCAAACAAACGAGACCTGGGTTTCAAATTTCTTGTCAGTTATTAAAAGAGACTGAAACTACTTCAGCTTGTTTTATTTCATATAACTATACATTCATTTTGGAAATGACTTCAATGGAGACAATTCAAGGAGAAAAAACTGTTTGACTGATCCTTTTATGTGTGTTTCAAACTACAAATTTAATATTTGTGAAATAATTTTATACCCTGTATCGCTATACCTAAGATACATTATATCACAGGTTGTATCATAAAATATAAACATTACAGAGACTATTGAACTGCCAGCTTACAGCTAGTTTTGAGTATTTTCCTGTTTGACTATAAATAGCATAACATTCTCTGAGCCCTCTTAACTGTATGTTTCTGCGATCCTGATCCCTGATCCACAAAGTGTTTGTAACATTACGACCTGTCGTAACTCTATAGTTTATTATAGGTTTACGAATGTTTTAGGGCTATGAGCGCTTTATGAATCAGGATATACATTGCATATTGTCTATTGTATTGCATCCATAGTATCTTGATATGGATTGACTGCATTGTATCTTTGCACCTCCAGACTATACAGATATATATTTCCCTGGATTGTTGCAGGTATTCTAGTGTTGATTTTGGAACATGGCCTCATGGCAAACGGAGTACCATATCAAACAGGGCACCAGCACGCATTCCGTCCACGGGGAGTTTGAGGAGGGGCCGGGAGAATGATGTGGATGATTTCAGGGGTGAAGGACAAGAACCTGGTAAGTATATCTAGAGTAAAATGTAAAATTATTATGTCACAGATGGTGATTTTAGAAATATCTCATTATGTTTCATAGGAGTATACATGCTTAGTAGTACAACCTGAGAAATGTACTGAGAAACCCAGTAGATTTAGACCCAGAATGGATTTAAGTTCTTGGAAGGCATTTAGGAGTTGGACGAACATGAATACATGACAGGTTTTATGGATAACACCTTCATTCACCTGATGAAGGAACAAGAATTAGCTCTGAAATGTTGTGATAAAGACTAAAGAGAAGTTGTTTTCCATAAAACGTGTCATGTATTCAGAATGGATTTATCTGGGTCTGCTGCGAGTCTGTTCCAACAAGAGGAGTTCAGCAGCAAATATCAGCATTGGCCAGTAAATATTCCCAAATTGAATTCTAAACTTGCCAATCATGTTATACAGATGTAACTAATGTAATACCTTTGTGCAGGTGATTTGTATTTCGCTGACCAAATTGAACTGAATAACAAGTTTTTATCAGATTGCTGGCCCATTGGCACCAAGATAGGAATCCTGGATAAATCTTTTCAGTGCTATTCATAAAATCCTGACTTGAAGCCAATTACTAACATAAGCCTAGAAACATCTCACAACAACGTATGGTATGGATTTACAACTTCTTTAATATTACAACACGACGTTTCTTGGCTACTTCTTGCCCCATCATCAGGTGAATGACAGAATATGATACAAGCAGGATATATAGTATGTACAGGAAGCCATTGAGATAGTATTACAGATTGAGATGTTCAGAGATTAAGTGATGTGTTTAGATGAGATGTACAGAGTTCAAAGTGATGTTTATACAAAGGACGTGCAAAATGTTTATACAGTGTTTAGGATTGGATATACATGATAGGATTGATTGGAAGCCACGTATGAAAACAATGAAGAAACATCTGTATAGATTTAAATGGACATAACTCCATACCTTTCATTTTGTAACAGATTAAATGTCAGTCGGTCTGATTCTGATATCAGTCATAATTACTGATAATTCTGAATAAATAACCTATGATTTAGTTTGTCATGGAATGGCGAAAAAGATTGCTAATTTAACGTTAAATTAAACTCATTCACCCACTGAGTTTTTAGTATGTACACAGCGGATGCTGTGATGGTTTATATCTGTGTCCAGGAGGTATCTTCTACCATGAGCTGGAGAGGACAGACATCAACCAGAATGACGTCGATCTGTATGCTGTGCCCAACAAACCCAAGTTTAAGGGGGTAAGCAGGATTTTGCTTTCAGTGGATAGTTTTTCCTCGCCAAGTCGGGCAGGGAACATAGAAACTCCCCATCATGTCCATCCTTCCAGTATGTTTCAGTACTTTCAATATCTCCTCACAAAACTTTGTGTGCAGAACAGTTCATATTTTTTACATTTCCTGATTTCTAACGATTGGGTAGGGGTAGTTTCTAGAGCATACTCTTAAACTCAGTATTCAGTATTGAAAAAGATGACAAGATTAGGAGATTAGGTTGTATGTTTCCCATGGTTACAGTAGTAGTGGTTGTATGTTTCCCATGGTTACAGTAGTAGTGGTTGTATGTTTTCCCATGGTTACAGTAGTAGTGGTTGTATGTTTCCCATGGTTACAGTAGTAGTGGTTGTGTGTTCCCCATGGTTACAGTAGTAGTGGTTGTATGTTTCCCATGGTAACAGTATAGATGGTTGTGTGTTCCCCATGGTTACAGTAGTGATGGTTGTATGTTTCCCATGGTTACAGTAGAGATGGTTGTATGTTTCCCATGGTGACAGTGGAGTTAGTTGTAAGTTCCCCATGGTTACAGTATAGATGGTTGTGTGTTTCCCATGGTTACAGTATAGATGGTTGTATGTTTCCCATGGTTACAGTATAGATGGTTGTATGTTTCCCATGGTTACAGTAGAGATGGTTGTGTGTTTCCGATGGTTACAGTATAGATGATTGTGTGTTCCCCATGGTTACACTAGTAGTTGTTGTATGTTTCCATGGTAAAAGTAGTGTTGGTTGTATGTTTCCCATGGTTACAGTAAAGATGATTGTGTGTTCCCCATGGTTACACTAGTAGTTGTTGTATGTTTCCATGGTTACAGTAGTGTTGGTTGTGTGTTCCCCATGGTAACAGTATAGATGGATGTATTTCCCCATGGTTACAGTAGAGATGGTTGTGTGTTTCCCATGGTTACAGTAGAGATGATTGTGTGTTCCCCATGGTTACACTAGTAGTTGTTGTATGTTTCCATGGTTACAGTAGTGTTGGTTGTATGTTCCCCATGGTTACAGTATAGATGGATGTATTTCCCCATGGTTGCAGTAGAGATGGTTGTGTGTTCTCCATGGTTACAGTAGTGATGGTTGTGTGTTTCCCATGGTTACAGTAGAGGTGGTTGTGTGTTTCCCATGGTTACAGTAGAGCTGGTTGTATGTTCCCCCATGGTTACAGTCCCCATGGTTACAGTAGAGATGGTTGTGTGTTCCCCATGGTTACAGTAGTGATGGTTGTGTGTTCCCCATGGTTACAGTAGAGATGGTTGTATGTTCCCCATGGTTACAGTAGAGATGGTTGTGTGTTCCCCATGGTTACAGTAGAGATGGTTGTATGTTTTCCATGGTTGTGTGATGGTTGTGTGTTCCCCATGGTTTACCAGGTAGTAGTGATGGTTGTGTGTTCCCCATGGTTACAGTAGTGATGGTTGTATGTTCCCCATGGTTACAGTAGTGGTTGTATGTTCCCATGGTTGTAGAGATGGTTGTATGTTTTCCATGGTTACACAAGTGATTACTATGTTCCCCATGGCTACAGTAGAGATGGTTGTATGTTTCCCATGGTTACAGTAGTGATGGTTGTGTGTTCCCCATGGTTACAGTAGAGATGGTTGTGTGTTCCCCATGGTTACAGTAGAGATGGTTGTGTGTTCCCCATGGTTACAGTAGTGATGGTTGTATGTTCCCCATGGTTACAGTAGTGATGGTTGTATGTTTCCCATGGTTACAGTAGAGATGGTTGTATGTTTCCCATGGTTACAGTAGTGATGGTTGTATGTTCCCCATGGTTACAGTAGAGATGGTTGTATGTTTCCCATGGTTACAGTAGTGATGGTTGTGTGTTCCCATGGTTACAGTAGTGATGGTTGTGTGTTCCCCATGGTTACAGTAGAGATGGTTGTGTGTTCCCCATGGTTACAGTAGTGATGGTTGTGTGTTCCCCATGGTTACAGTAGTGATGGTTGTATGTTTCCCATGGTTACAGTAGTGATGGTTGTGTGTTCCCCATGGTTACAGTAGAGATGGTTGTGTGTTCCCCATGGTTACAGTAGTGATGGTTGTGTGTTCCCCATGGTTACAGTAGTGATGGTTGTGTGTTCCCCATGGTTACAGTAGTGATGGTTGTATGTTCCCCATGGTTACAGTAGAGATGGTTGTGTGTTCCCAATGGTTACAGTAGTGTTGGTTGTGTGTTCCCCATGGTTACAGTAGATATGGTTGTATGTTCCCCATGGTTACAGTAGAGATGGTTGTATGTTCCCCATGGTTACAGTAGGGATGGTTGTATATGTTTCCCATGGTTACAGTAGAGATGGTTGTGTGTTCCCCATGGTTACAGTAGTGATGGTTGTATGTTCCCCATGGCTACAGTTGTGATGGTTGTGTGTTTCCCATGGTTACAGTAGAGATGGTTGTATGTTTTCCATGGTTACACAAGTGATTACTATGTTCCCCATGGCTACAGTAGAGATGGTTGTATGTTTCCCATGGTTACAGTAGTGATGGTTGTATGTTCCCCATGGTTACAGTAGAGATGGTTGTGTGTTCCCCATGGTTACAGTAGAGATTGTTGTGTGTTCCCCATGGTTACAGTAGTGATGGTTGTGTTCCCCATGGTTACAGTAGTGATGGTTGTATGTTTCCCATGGTTACAGTAGTGATGGTTATGTGTTCTCCATGGTTACAGTAGAGATGGTTGTGTGTTCCCCATGGTTACAGTAGTGATGGTTGTGTGTTCCCCATGGTTACAGTAGTGATGGTTGTATGTTTCCCATGGTTACAGTACAGATGGTTGTGTGTTCCCCATGGTTACAGTAGTGATGGTTGTGTGTTTCCCATGGTTACAGTAGAGATGGTTGTGTGTTTCCCATGGTTACAGTAGAGCATGGTTGTATGTTCCCCATGGTTACAGTAGAGATGGTTGTGTGTTCCCCCATGGTTACAGTAGTAGTGATGGTTGTGTGTTCCCCATGGTTACAGTAGAGACGGTGATGGTATGTGTCCCCATGGTTACAGTAGAGATGGTTGTGTGTTCCCCATGGTTACAGTAGAGATGGTTGTATGTTTTCCATGGTTACAGTAGAGATGGTTGTGTGTTCCCCATGGTTACAGTAGTGATGGTTGTGTGTTCCCCATGGTTACAGTAGTGATGGTTGTGTGTTCCCCATGGTTACAGTAGTGATGGTTGTGTGTTCCCCATGGTTACAGTAGAGATGGTTGTATGTTCCCCATGGTTACAGTAGAGATGGTTGTATGTTCCCCATGGTTACAGTAGTGATGGTTGTATATGTTTCCCATGGTTACAGTAGAGATGGTTGTATGTTCCCCATGGCTACAGTAGTGATGGTTGTATGTTTTCCATGGTTACAGTAGTGATGGTTGTGTGTTCCCCATGGTTACAGTAGTGATGGTTGTATGTTTCCCATGGTTACAGTAGTGATGGTTGTGTGTTCCCCATGGTTACAGTAGTGTTGGTTGTGTGTTCCCCATGGTTACAGTAGAGATGGTTGTATGTTCCCCATGGTTACAGTAGAGATGGTTGTATGTTCCCCATGGTTACAGTAGTGATGGTTGTATGTTTCCCATGGTTACAGTAGAGATGGTTGTATGTTCCCCATGGCTACAGTAGTGATGGTTGTGTGTTCCCCATGGCTACAGTAGTGATGGTTGTATGTTTCCCATGGTTACAGTAGAGATGGTTGTATGTTTTCCATGGTTTTACAAGTGATGACTGTGTGTCCCATGGCTACAGTGGCAATAGGTGTATGTTTCCCATGGTTACAGTATAGATGGTTGTATGTCCTGTGTTATATCTCCTATGTAGAAGACAGCAAAGGACATTGGAGCAGGAGGAGGGATGGTGGATGAGACCTTCGTCAAGTCACACGGTGGTGAGCTGCAAGGCTCCATGGGGACAACACGTGATGTCCAGGACGCCATGCGAGCTGTTCATGATTTGCCTGGGATTGACATGGATGAGGTAGGTTATTCCAATATGTTTATCTGTATATTCAAGCTCTGGGTTGTTGTTGTACCAAACATCCTTTGACAAATTACACTTAACACAGACATTAGTTAGGTACTGAGCAAAATATTGTTACGAGGTATTCAGTGTGTTCATAGATGAATGTGTGTGGCAATTAAGTCAAGAGTACTTTTGACATGCAGTTTTTGCATTTCGACTTAAATTTTAGATGTCATGGTACTTGTTGGTTGTTTTGTACTCCATCATGTACGGTATGTCCAGGATACAAACGGAACAGTTGTGTTGACATCTCTAAAGTGTTTACTATTCGGAGATATTCTGATGCCATTGATATATTCTGCCATATCAGACAATGAGGAGAGGGCCAGGAGGTCATCGCCATGGCAGCCCCATCATGCTGCGTAGCAGAGGGAGAGGCTCCACACGACAAGGTAAGGTAGAAGCAGTGTGGTAGAGCCTTTCTTCTAGCATGAATTGTATAAAAAAACTACTCTTCGAAAGTCTTTTTACGTGGTTATCTCCCTTGATCAAATCAGATGTAACAAACATTTTATTGTAGGATTTTGCTCTAATTCAGACTTTTCAGTATATATTACCCATTTACGTGTATTCCAAACTTTCTCAGTTCTAAAAGCTGGACACTATTTTCAACTCAACTTCTTAAAATTGGCAAGTTCATTTGCAAAAAACTGATAGTCGTATTCTCTCAAAGGTCACAACTAATTTGTGAAGAGGTTACAACTGTTACAACTGTTTAATCCAGGTTTCTAAATCTCAAGCACAAGAATTCCTGAACTTGATTTACATTTTCCCCTAATGTCTTGTGTATCCTCACTTATTTCAAGACCTTTATCCACTAGAATCGCACATGTGTCACTGTTAATTATTGTTATCAGACAGTATTTTTCTTTCACATGAATACTTGTGTAAATGACTTTGGCTGTATCACTCTTCATTTGTACTCCGTCATGGTATTGGAAATGAGTTGGTGAGACATATTTGGGATACACTGTTCAGAGGTACAGATAAGCTGCGTATCTGCGTAAATTACGCAAATATTTATGTGAAAACTCAATTCCTATTACGTCTGTTGCGTACAAGTACGCTTGTATTTTTGTAAATACTCAATAAGTTTGATTGTACAGGCGTACACAGAAAACTATCAAATCTTAGCTTACGTACCAGTGGATAGATAAAGCAACTGAGGTATATTTAGAAGTTCTATTTCGGCACATGAACACTCAACTAGCAGTCTTTCATATCATTTCTCATATTACAGATCAAATATAAATAACAAACACTAACATTTAAACTTTATTATATTTTAACATTTAATGGAAAAAGGCAAAATACCCAATTGATTTTGAGTGAGGTGAGTACAATTTGTTTGGTTACTCAAAGGAAAATTAGGATACCCAATTGAGATGAAGACAAGCGGGTACATAACTCAATGACCCAAAAAGTTATCTGTAGCTCTGACTGTTGCCATAGCATTTGAAATGTAAACGAGTGCAAACCATTATTTTGTCTTTGTTAATTTAGATCAGACCAATGTTGAATAATATGGTGCCATTAGGGCTGTTACGATTTGCTTACTTTTTTGTACATGTTCAGGAATTTAATTCATTATTCATGATCACTAGAATTGAAAATTAAAGAATTTGTCAAACAAGAATGTTTTTACCTGAACTTTTGGTTGATATTTATCAAAAGCGAGAAATGCAAATTGGAATATATCCTCCACACCAGGGAGGATAATAGTCAACACTGATGTTGGTCTGACGTAAATGACAAATACAGTTCGTGAAAGTTTCATGTGAAAGATGAAATACTGTTGGTGTTGCTGATTGATGTGCTTTAACCATTGTGTTGTGTTTCTCTATACTCTCTCTTTCATCAACAAAGTGGAAGTTCAGTATTATGGCAGGGTTCTCAAGCTAAGAGAAAGGGGTAGCACTGAAATAAAAATTCAAATTTCTGTAAAATATGTTATCCTGGCAGTCAAGGCTGAAACTTACAAATTTGAAAGGGATTGGGATAGAGAACTTTGACAATGGGCCATTTTCAGGATTATTAGCCACATTCTGAAATTAGAATGGGCCACTGCCCTTGTATCAATAGTAAACTTCAAAATTTTAATGGGCCATTTTTTATTCTAATGTGCAAAATGGCCCATGGCCCCTGCCTTTCCCAAATCCCTGGTCCTGATACCATACATGTAGATGTTTCCAACAATGTAATGGTCCTATCTTTTGAAACACGTTCAAAATTTGGATCACAATTATTTTTGAAAATAAGATTAGAAATGGAATCTTCCAAGGGATGCATTCTCATATTAAGAATGAGCAAACAGATTGCAATGCTGAAATCTTGTAAAAAATCATTTGCATATCAGTGTTTGTATGACTGTCCACAAAACACACACAAGGAGTTAGGTAGCTTATACTGGGCAGACTGAGCTTTCACTGTGTTGATAACCAACTTTATTGCTACAGACAATAACATGAATAATTTGGGTGATGACCAAGAGGTAGCTAAGCCAGACAAGCAGACGCAGCCAGTGCAGGAATGGCTGGAGAAAAATGTTGTAGCGGGTACCTCCACTTCAAACCAGTCTCCACGACACAACCAAACTGTAAATGAAGAAGTGTTTCAGGCCAACACTCAGAGCCTAACAAATAACGAAACAGGTTTGGTCCTCATTAGAATGAGCTTCTTAGAGTAGAGCAGTCCAATGCATTGTACACCCTTCAGGATTGAACTTGGTTTGATCATGGTGAATCATGGTGAATTGAGAAGAGAAGATCCAGGTTAGAATTGATCCCATGCTTGTCATAAGAGGAATAGAATAGGAATAGTATCTTGAATCCAGATTATCACTTGCAGGAGTATATTTGTGGTGACACTCACATGTAGTCTGCAGCTGACATAGTCTGAAACCCTGGTTTCGTCAGTCTGACAGTAGTGTTATATCAGATCGGATAAAAGGTAACATCCACTGAAAACTATTCTACAGCATATATTCAAGCTGGTAGCTAAAAACATGATTGGCACACACTAGGAAAATAATAAGACTAACCACTGCGAACTGTGCTTTACTTACAACATGATTTTCAACGCGTTCAGGACAATTAGCTAAGTGAACATTTGCTGATGTTTTACTCCTAAAAGAATCTGTTATTCTTCAAAAAAAACCTTGAGCGAAGCTGTCTGTCCAACAAAATGATGACACCGAAGCTTGATGCTGAGAGTTGCTCTATACAGTTGCCAGTGTCTGATGACACCGAAGCTTGATGCTGAGAGTTGCTCTATACAGCTGCCAGTGTCCCATGACACCAAAGCTTGATGCTGAGAGTTGCTCTATACAGCTGCCAGTGTCTGATGACACCAAAGCTTGATGCTGAGAGTTGCTCTATACAGCTGCCAGTGTCTGATGACACCGAAGCTTGATGCTGACAGTTGCTCTATACAGCTGCCAGTGTCTGATGACACCGAAGCTTGATGCTGAGAGTTGCTCTATACAGCTGCCAGTGTCTGATGACACCGAAGCTTGATGCTGAGAGTTGCTCTATACAGCAGCCAGTGTCTGATGACACCGAAGCTTGATGCTGAGAGTTGCTCTATACAGCTGCCAGTGTCCCATGACACCAAAGCTTGATGCTGAGAGTTGCTCTATGCAGTTGCCAGTGTCTGATGACACCGAAGCTTGATGCTGAGAGCTGCTCTATACAGCTGCCAGTGTCTGATGACACCGAAGCTTGATGCTGAGAGTTGCTCTATACAGCTGCCAGTGTCTGATGACACCGAAGCTTGATGCTGAGAGTTGCTCTATGCAGTTGCCAGTGTCTGATGACACCGAAGCTTGATGCTGAGAGTTGCTCTATACAGTAGCCAGTGTCTGATGACACCGAAGCTTGATGCTGAGAGTTGCTCTATACAGCTGCCAGTGTCTGATGACACCGAAGCTTGATGCTGAGAGTTTCTCTATACAGCTGCCAGTGTCTGATGACACCGAAGCTTGATGCTGAGAGTTTCTCTATACAGCTGCCAGTGTCCCATGACACCGAAGCTTGATGCTGAGAGTTGCTCTATACAGCTGCCAGTGTCTGATGACACCGAAGCTTGATGCTGAGAGTTGCTCTATACAGTTGCCAGTGTCCCATGACACGAAGCTTGATGCTGAGAGTTTCTCTATACAGCTGCCAGTGTCCCATGACACGGAAAGCTTGATTGATGCTGAGAGTTTCTCTATACAGTTGCCAGTGTCTGATGACACCGAAAGCTGATGCTGAGAGTTCCTCTATACAGTTGCCAGTGTCCCATGACACCGAAGCTTGATGCTGAGAGTTTCTCTATACAGTTGCCAGTGTCCCATGACACCGAAGCTTGATGCTGAGAGTTGCTCTATACAGTTGCCAGTGTCCCATGACACCAAAGCTTGATGCTGAGAGTTTCTCTATACAGCTGCCAGTGTCTGATGACACCGAAGCTTGATGCTGAGAGTTGCTCTATGCAGCTGCCAGTGTCTGATGACACCAAAGCTTGATGCTGAGAGTTGCTCTATACAGTTGCCAGTGTCTGATGACACCGAAGCTTGATGCTGAGAGTTGCTCTATGCAGTTGCCAGTGTCTGATGACACCGAAGCTTGATGCTGAGAGTTGCTCTATACAGTTGCCAGTGTCTGATGACACCGAAGCTTGATGCTGAGAGTTGCTCTATACAGTTGCCAGTGTCCCATGACACCGAAGCTTGATGCTGAGAGTTTCTCTATACAGTTGCCAGTGTCTGATGACACCGAAGCTTGATGCTGAGAGTTGCTCTATACAGTTGCCAGTGTCTGATGACACCGAAGCTTGATGCTGAGAGTTTCTCTATACAGTTGCCAGTGTCTGATGACACCGGCTTTGATGCTGAGAGTTTCTCTATACAGCTGCCAGTGTCTGATGACACCGAAGCTTGATGCTGAGAGTTGCTCTATACAGTTGCCAGTGTCTGATGACACCGAAGCTTGATGCTGAGAGTTGCTCTATACAGTTGCCAGTGTCTGATGACACCGAAGCTTGATGCTGAGAGTTGCTCTATACAGTTGCCAGTGTCCCATGACACCGAAGCTTGATGCTGAGAGTTTCTCTATACAGCTGCCAGTGTCTGATGACACCGAAGCTTGATGCTGAGAGCTGCTCTATGCAGTTGCCAGTGTCTGATGACACCGAAGCTTGATGCTGAGAGTTGCTCTATACAGTTGCCAGTGTCTGATGACACCGAAGCTTGATGCTGAGAGTTGCTCTATACAGTTGCCAGTGTCCCATGACACCGAAGCTTGATGCTGAGAGTTTCTCTATACAGCTGCCAGTGTCTGATGACACCGAAGCTTGATGCTGAGAGTTGCTCTATGCAGTTGCCAGTGTCTGATGACACCAAAGCTTGATGCTGAGAGTTGCTCTATACAGTTGCCAGTGTCCCATGACACGAAAGCTTGATGCTGAGAGTTGCTCTATACAGTTGCCAGTGTCTGATGACACGAAGCTTGATGCTGAGAGTTGCTCTATACAGTTGCCAGTGTCTGATGACACCAAAGCGATGCTGAGAGTTGCTCTATACAGTTGCCAGTGTCTGATGACACCGAAGCTTGATGCTGAGAGTTGCTCTATACAGCTGCCAGTGTCTGATGACACCGAAGCTTGATGCTGAGAGTTGCTCTATACAGCTGCCAGTGTCTGATGACACCGAAGCTTGATGCTGAGAGTTGCTCTATACAGTTGCCAGTGTCCCATGACACGAAGCTTGATGCTGAGAGTTGCTCTATACAGTTGCCAGTGTCCCATGACACCAAAGCTTGATGCTGAGAGTTGCTCTATACAGTTGCCAGTGTCTGATGACACCGAAAGCTTGATGCTGAGAGTTTCTCTATACAGCTGCCAGTGTCTGATGACACCGGCTTGATGCTGAGAGTTGCTCTATGCAGTTGCCAGTGTCTGATGACACCAAGAAGCTTGATGCTGAGAGTTGCTCTATACAGTTGCCAGTGTCTGATGACACGAAGCTTGATGCTGAGAGTTGCTCTATACAGTTGCCAGTGTCTGATGACACCGAAGCTTGATGCTGAGAGTTGCTCTATGCAGTTGCCAGTGTCCCATGACACGGCTTGATGCTGAGAGTTGCTCTCTACAGCTGCCAGTGTCTGATGACACCGAAGCTTGATGCTGAGAGTTTCTCTATACAGTTGCCAGTGTCCCATGACACACGAAGCTTGATGCTGAGAGTTGCTCTATACAGTTGCCAGTGTCCCATGACACCGGAAGCGATGCTGAGAGTTGCTCTATACAGTTGCCAGTGTCTGATGACACCGAAGCGATGCTGAGAGTTGCTCTATACAGTTGCCAGTGTCTGATGACACCGAAAGCTTGATGCTGAGAGTTTCTCTATACAGCAGCCAGTGTCTGATGACACCGAAGCTTGATGCTGAGAGTTGCTCTATACAGTTGCCTGTGTCTGATGACACGAGCTTGATGCTGAGAGTTGCTCTATACAGTTGCCAGTGTCTGATGATGACACCGAAGCTTGATGCTGAGAGTTGCTCTATACAGCTGCCAGTGTCTGATGACACGAGGAAGCTTGATGCTGAGAGTTGCTCTATGCAGTTGCCAGTGTCTGATGACACGAGCTTGATGCTGAGAGTTGCTCTATACAGTTGCCAGTGTCCCATGACACCGAAGCTTGATGCTGAGAGTTGCTCTATACAGTTGCCAGTGTCTGATGACACCGAAGCTTGATGCTGAGAGTTGCTCTATACAGCTGCCTGTGTCTGATGACACTGAAGCTTGATGCTGAGAGTTGCTCTATACAGCTGCCAGTGTCTGATGACACCGAAGCTTGATGCTGAGAGTTGCTCTATACAGCTGCCTGTGTCTGATGACACCGAAGCTTGATGCTGAGAGTTGCTCTATACAGCTGCCAGTGTCTGATGACACCGAAGCTTGATGCTGAGAGTTGCTCTATACAGTTGCCAGTGTCCCATGACACCGAAGCTTGATGCTGAGAGTTGCTCTATACAGTTGCCAGTGTCCCATGACACCAAAGCTTGATGCTGAGAGTTGTTTTATACAGTTGCCAGTGTCTGATGATACCGAAGCTTGATGCTGAGAGTTTCTCTATACAGCTGCCAGTGTCTGATGACACGGAAGCTTGATGCTGAGAGTTGCTCTATGCAGTTGCCAGTGTCTGATGACACCGAAGCTTGATGCTGAGAGATGCTCTATACAGTAGCCAGTGTCTGATGACACCGAAGCTTGATGCTGAGAGTTGCTCTATACAGCTGCCAGTGTCTGATGACACCGAAGCTTGATGCTGAGAGATGCTCTATACAGTAGCCAGTGTCTGATGACACCGAAGCTTGATGCTGAGAGTTGCTCTATACAGCTGCCAGTGTCTGATGACACGGAAGCTTGATGCTGAGAGTTGCTCTATGCAGTTGCCAGTGTCCCATGACACCGGCTTGATGCTGAGAGTTTCTCTATACAGTTGCCAGTGTCTGATGACACGAAGCTTGATGCTGAGAGTTTCTCTATACAGTTGCCAGTGTCCCATGACACCGGCTTGATGCTGAGAGTTGCTCTATACAGTTGCCAGTGTCTGATGACACGAAGCTTGATGCTGAGAGTTGCTCTATACAGTTGCCAGTGTCCCATGACACGGCTTGCTTGATGCTGAGAGTTTCTCTATACAGTTGCCAGTGTCCCATGACACCGAAGCTTGATGCTGAGAGTTGCTCTATACAGTTGCCAGTGTCTGATGACACCGAAGCTTGATGCTGAGAGTTGCTCTATACAGTTGCCAGTGTCTGATGACACCGAAGCTTGATGCTGAGAGCTGCTCTCTACAGCTGCCAGTGTCTGATGCTTGATGCTGAGTTTCTCTATACAGCAGCCAGTGTCTGATGACACCGAAGCTTGATGCTGAGAGTTGCTCTATACAGTTGCCTGTGTCTGATGACACCGAAGCTTGATGCTGAGAGATGCTCTACACAGTAGCCAGTGTCCCATGACAACAAAGCTTGATGCTGAGAGTTGCTCTATACAGTTGCCAGTGTCCCATGACAACAAAGCTTGATGCTGAGAGTTTCTCTATACAGTTGCCAGTGTCTGATGACACCGAAGCTTGATGCTGAGAGTTGCTCTATACAGTTGCCAGTGTCTGATGACACCGAAGCTTGATGCTGAGAGTTTCTCTATACAGCTGCCAGTGTCTGATGACACCGAAGCTTGATGCTGAGAGCTGCTCTATACAGTTGCCAGTGTCTGATGATACCGAAGCTTGATGCTGAGAGCTGCTCTCTACAGCTGCCAGTGTCTGATGACACCGAAGCTTGATGCTGAGAGCTGCTCTATACAGCTGCCAGTGTCTGATGACACCGAAGCTTGATGCTGAGAGCTGCTCTATACAGTTGCCAGTGTCTGATGATACCGAAGCTTGATGCTGAGAGCTGCTCTCTACAGCTGCCAGTGTCTGATGACACCGAAGCTTGATGCTGAGAGCTGCTCTATACAGCTGCCAGTGTCTGATGACACCGAAGCTTGATGCTGAGAGCTGCTCTCTACAGCTGCCAGTGTCTGATGACACCGAAGCTTGATGCTGAGAGTTTCTCTATACAGTTGCCAGTGTCTGATGACACCGAAGCTTGATGCTGAGAGTTTCTCTATACAGCTGCCAGTGTCTGATGACACGAAGCTTGATGCTGAGAGTTGCTCTATACAGTTGCCAGTGTCTGATGATACCGCTTTCTTGATGCTGAGAGCTGCTCTCTACAGCTGCCAGTGTCTGATGACACGGGAAGCTTGATGCTGAGAGCTGCTCTATACAGCTGCCAGTGTCTGATGACACCGGCTTGATGCTGAGAGCTGCTCTCTACAGCTGCCAGTGTCTGATGACACCGGCTTGATGCTGAGAGTTTCTCTATACAGTTGCCAGTGTCTGATGACACGAAGCGATGCTGAGAGTTTCTCTATACAGCTTGCCAGTGTCTGATGACACGAGAAGCTTGATGCTGAGAGTTGCTCTATACAGTTGCCAGTGTCTGATGACACGAAGCTTGATGCTGAGAGTTTCTCTATACAGCTGCCAGTGTCTGATGACACGAAGCTTGATGCTGAGAGTTGCTCTATACAGTTGCCAGTGTCTGATGATACCGAAGCTTGATGCTGAGAGCTGCTCTCTACAGCTGCCAGTGTCTGATGACACCGAAGCTTGATGCTGAGAGTTGCTCTATACAGCTGCCAGTGTCTGATGACACCGAAGCTTGATGCTGAGAGTTGCTCTATACAGTTGCCAGTGTCTGATGACACCGAAGCTTGATGCTGAGAGTTTCTCTATACAGTTGCCAGTGTCTGATGACACCGAAGCTTGATGCTGAGAGTTTCTCTATACAGCTGCCAGTGTCTGATGACACGAAGCTTGATGCTGAGAGTTGCTCTATACAGTTGCCAGTGTCCCATGACACCGAAGCTTGATGCTGAGAGTTGCTCTATACAGTTGCCAGTGTCCCATGACACCGAAGCTTGATGCTGAGAGTTGCTCTATACAGTTGCCAGTGTCTGATGACACCGAAGCTTGATGCTGAGAGTTTCTCTACACAGTAGCCAGTGTCTGATGACACCGAAGCTTGATGCTGAGAGTTGCTCTATACAGTTGCCAGTGTCCCATGACACCGAAGCTTGATGCTGAGAGTTTCTCTATACAGCTGCCAGTGTCTGATGACACCGAAGCTTGATGCTGAGAGTTGCTCTATACAGTTGCCAGTGTCCCATGACACCGAAGCTTGATGCTGAGAGTTTCTCTATACAGCTGCCAGTGTCTGATGACACCGAAGCTTGATGCTGAGAGTTTCTCTATACAGCTGCCAGTGTCTGATGACACCGAAGCTTGATGCTGAGAGCTGCTCTATACAGTTGCCAGTGTCTGATGACACCAAAGCTTGATGCTGAGAGTTGCTCTATACAGTTGCCAGTGTCTGATGATACCGAAGCTTGATGCTGAGAGTTTCTCTATACAGCTGCCAGTGTCTGATGACACCGAAGCTTGATGCTGAGAGCTGCTCTATACAGTTGCCAGTGTCTGATGATACCGAAGCTTGATGCTGAGAGCTGCTCTCTACAGCTGCCAGTGTCTGATGACACCGAAGCTTGATGCTGAGAGCTGCTCTATACAGCTGCCAGTGTCTGATGACTAAAAGCTTGATGCTGAGAGTTGCTCTATACAGTTGCCAGTGTCTGATGACACCGAAGCTTGATGCTGAGAGCTGCTCTATACAGCTGCCAGTGTCTGATGACACCGAAGCTTGATGCTGAGAGCTGCTCTATACAGCTGCCAGTGTCTAATGACTAAAAGGACAGAACGAGCCAGATTTTCCCTGAGTATGAAGCTGTAGTCTTGACCATATCCAATCACAATGGCAGCCATAGAAATTCATCTTCTTAAAGACGAGCCCAGACACCAGTGGAAACTTTATTTCAGAGTTTGGAACTAGTCCTGCTTGAACAAGACAAACACTAATTTCGGTCTTATTCAGTTCCAGCTGGTATCAAAATGGAAGCACTGAGAACTGGTTCAGAATTATTACACTCAAACACTACTTGTCAAAGAGGACTACCATCGTAGGATTATTACTTGTTCGTACTTTAGTCTAGTAGCCTCTGGCTAGGAAATTTGTGTGAATTTTGAAGACTATTACATTCCTCAAAAGTGGGAAATAGCATGGTCATTCTTGAAGTCTATCAAATTTACCTAACGGCAGACTAGTGGTCGGAGTGTAGTCTAGCAGATCACTTGTTTAACAAAGTCTTCACATTATGTAAGTTCCACATTATTAGGGCTCCATGATTTAAGTTTAACACATTGTAGGTGTAAAAATATTTTCATTCTTGAAGGGTGTATGAGGTATTGAATCTGAAATGAAATACCATTGTACTGCATATATTGTAATTAAGAAGTTGCATACCCTTAGAACTACCCTCCTTGTTTACTTGAGATTGTTGTTCTCTTATTGATGGTAGATGTGTGATATAGGAGTTTGTTTTGTTCAGTACCCTCATCCATGTCTGTTGTATGATGTTGTACAGTGTCATGGTAGGTAATGTTCTTTCAGTAGAGGCAGGTGGTAGCATCTCAGTTAAAACATTCATGTGTCAGGCTGAACACTTGGGCTGATTTCCACCATGGATACAACGTGTGAAGCCTACTTCTGGTGTTCTCTGCTGTGGTATTGCTCAAATATTGTTTAAGCCATACTCACTCATTCTTCTGGAGGAGAGTATCTTACACTTTCTGCACTGTGGACGGAAGTGTAGGAAAGAAGAATCTCTGTAATGGTGTTAAAAGTTTATATATTCAATAGGGGTTGTAGGGTAGCTGTGAAGAGCTGGGTTTAACTGCCTACATGGGTACAATGTGCGCGAAGCCCATTTCTGATGTCATCTGCCATGACATTGCTGGAATATTGCTAAAAGTGGTGTCAATCCCTCCTCACTCTCTTGTATATTGAGTGTGATATTGATAGCATTTAAAATAAGTATACAGATTGTGTGGATCAGTCTTATGGACTATTCCATGGAATTTCCTATATTCAATCTAATTTATCAACTTTGCAATTTTGAAAGTCCATTTTATCTGTATTTAATCTGTGAAATCATTCTTATGCTGACCTTTAATACGACTTTTAGTATTCTCATCGACCCAGTCAGCGCGCGTGACTGTGAAGGAACGAATTGTTGGAATCGAGATGGAAAACCATCAACTGAGAGACACAATTCAGGAACAGGAGACGGAACTCCGGTCTCTCCGCCAGGTGGCATCGGCTGTCAAGGAGGGAGGTAACTCTGCTTAAACTCATGCTCATTTCAGCCTATTGTAGCACTCCACTCTCAGACTCAAGTCTTTTAGGGGTCATGATGTTTTTATAACCGCTCTGATAGATTAAGTGGGATTTTTGGAAGGACAAGTATCAGTTAAGTTGACAATGTTTTTGTTATACTTTAATTTGTTTTCTGTATCAGACACGGAGAGTGCGGCCTCGCTGTTGTTTCGGAGGCAGATTGAGGAGATGAAGGAGGAGAATGAGGTCCTCAAACAGTCCGTGCACAAACTCAACATTGAGTTGAGCCAGAAACAGGCTGTGACCGATGCTTCAAAACTTGCATCTCAGGTGAGGAATATCTTTAAAATGATGGCTTCATTTTATTTACCAAGATGCAGATTCTTTTTCCCTCACAAGTGGAACACATTATCCATGTAACAAGTGTGTTGTGGGTTACCTGAGACAAATATTCCTGTTGTTTAACACTGCTCTCAGCAATATTCCAGCTATAAGGTGGTCTGTTAATAATCATGTGTGGATCACACAATGCAGTAATTAACAGCATGAGCATCAATCTATGCCATTGGGATACGATACATGTGTCAACCTGACTGGGGCGGTGTGGTAGCCTAGTGGTTAAAGTGTCCGCTCATCACGCTGAAGACCTGGGTTCGATTCCCCACATGGGTACAGTGTGTGAAGCCCATTTCTGGTGTACCTCGCCGTGATATTGCTGGAATATTGCTAAAAGCGGCGTAAAACCATACTCACTCACTCACTCACTACTCACTCAACCTGACCATCCGATCTCTCTTACGACAAGCATGGGTTGCTGAAGACCAATTGTAACGTGACAATAAAACTGTTTGTGTTCTTTTAGTGATTTTGGGTTGGTGGTTTTAGGCAGCGGTCTGTAAATAATCATGTCTGGACCAGACAATCCATTGATCAATAGCATGAGCATAATCTTTTGCAATTGGGATGCGATGACATGTGTCAATTAAGTCAGCGAGTCTGACCACCTGATCCATTAGTTGCTTCTAGACAAGCATGGGCTGCTGAAGACCAATTCTAACCCGGATCTTCACAGGTATAATGCTCTTCTGAGAGACTTGACTCTTTGGGCTTTCATCTGTCATGAACCTACCAAGCTCCTTCAACTTAATCTCCTATTGCTTGTGGAGTGCTGACATTAAACAAATGACAATAAACAAGTAGAATCTTCAATGTTTTGTTTTATATCATTGCACTAAAGTAAGGACTGTTAAGAAGATCCCAAATTTGAACCCTAACTAATACTGTATTTGTCACACTGAGAATGCAGGTAAAGGGTATGAATCACCACTACTGAGACTGAAAGTTAACATGACAGTCCATCTTTTCTTGCTTATACCACAGACTTTTCCACACACAACATCAGTGCAGGAATATAATATTTAGTACATGTATAAAAATTATGTATGTTGTGAAGTCGACTAAACTTTTATCCTAATTCAAACATAAAAGACAGAAGGAAAGCCTTTATTGTCAGAAAGATGACTTATAATGTAACCATGGAGTTTTATTGTCCCTTGTTTTGTAATATAATAATATGTGCATGGACTAACCAGAGCCCAGGTATTCCTGTGTAACCAGGTCCAGCACAGGACCCTTTTGAACTAAGTACCCATCTCAACACTATTGTTCACTTGTGCTCTGTCATTGAAAACAAGGTTAACTTATTGTGTTCTCCTTGACCAGAGTGCTTACTACTGCTAATACGGATGTTCTCAAATGTCTGAAAAAGCAAAACATGAGGATAATTGTGTTGACTTGATTGAATTGTTTGCATGATTATGACTGAGATTGATGTAGAAAGTAACACATTCATTTTCTTTGCAGTCCAGAGACTTCAGTGGACTTCCTGACAAAGGCCCCATTCCATCTTGGCTGGTGAGTATTGTCTACCAGATACATAGCTGCAGTTCGTACCCACTTGCCCTCACTAAAGGTACGATACTTTATGGATAACAGCTTCTTTATGATATTATGATGCATATTTCGGCATAGATTCTTATACCGTTTTCACTCTTGCTTGTAATAAAGAAGTTGTTATCCATAAAGTATCAAACCTTTCTAATTATTCATCAACTTGAAAAATGTAATAGCAAGCAGATTGCCCTTACTTGTATTATGTCAGCAAGAAGTACAAATGTCTTAACCTTATCAGTCTAGGTCAAAGGTGCCATGAATGTAGGTCAACCTGCCATAACCTATGTTACCATTTATCACACTGAAGTGCACTGGCTTTACCTGCCTGAAGTCAATCATGATAGATCCGTGCGTTACCATGTTCCCTTATCTTGTATGTCTGTACTTTGTTAAGTGTATTAAGAAATCTCTGTTTGGACCTGCTGTCTGCAGTGCTGGCTGCATGTTCAATACAGTTTCAGTGACAGCTTGTGTTGTCTGGTCTCCCTTCACCTAGCACCAGTATATACTTCCCCATGCACGGAGGGCTGTGGATGGTGGTGTTAGTGTCCAGGCCTGTGTCCTTGTGATGTAGTTTTAAACATCAGAGAGTGTTCTGTATATCAGCAGTTGTGTTCAGCTGTCAATGTTGTCTCTGTGATACACTCAACAGATTTCATTTTGTGTTCATCTGGATACTGAAAGTAATTTCATTACTTTGTGAAACATAAGTTCCCAAGTTTCGTCAAGACTGTGTTTTTTGTGACTTTAATTGCTGCAGTGTTGAATAGTCTTGTTTTTGGACGTTAGAAATTTGTGATCTCTTGTGAGCGAGAAACCATTTTGGCAATGGATGTGTGGGAAGATGAGTCGGACCCTGTCATTCCTCCAGTGGTAAGACATTCCTCCTTAAGCAATACATGCCTTGAGACAGTAGAGTGTCCTTGCTGTTTGTATGTTCTACATGTTCACGTCCTCAACAGGCGAGGACTTCGCTCTGAAGGTTTGCTCCAGACATCTCATGGTTAATTATCATGAATTATCTCCCTTAAGATGGACCAGGACTGTATGGCTGATATACCATGTGGAGTTTTGTTGCGGAACTTTGAAGTTGCATATCCATGAAGCCTGTTCCTTCATTTAATTAGCAATTGTGACAGTATGGTGTGTTGCTTTTAATAAAGAAATACACCTTTCTCTATTTCTCTATGAAATTGGGGGCAGTGGGGTAGCCTAATGGTTAAAGCGTTGGCTCGTCACGCCGAAGACCCGGGTTCGAATCCCCACATGGGTACAATGTGTGAAGCCCATTTCTGGTGTCCCCCGCCGTGATGTTGCTGGAATATTGCTAAAAGCGGCGTAAAACCAAACTCAGTCAGTCAGACAGTCTCTATGAAATTATCTGTGATAGGTAGAGCAGAAGTGCCTTTAGTTTTATATACTGATATTGTACATGCACCACTTGTCTATACATCTTACAGCACAGGCAGAGTATAGTTCCACTAACCATTCAGATCACACATGCTCCACCATTACATTCGAAGAAGATTGCATGATTTTTAAAATCTTTACGGGACATGCAGTCAAGCGTTAGTTAAGTCCTATCATGCTGAGTTTCACACCTTTATTATCCCCCGCAACGCGTTTTGCGGGGGTATTAAAATGGACTCCGTCCGTTCGTGCACTTTTGTCTTTTCCGGAGCAGAACTCTAAAACCGTTCACTATTTCTTCACCAACCTTGGCACATAGATAGATCTGGTGGTGTACTGGTGCCTTTTGGTAGTTTTGTATTTCTGAATAATATATTTTTTGCATTTCATGGCAACAAGCTTGACTAAAACTGAAATTAGTGGTAGTGCTCTTTTCCGGAGCAGAACTCTAAAACCATTCAATGTTTCTTTACCAAACTTGGCACATACATATATCTGGTGGTGTACTGGTGCCTTTTGGTAGTTTTGGAATTCTGAATAAAATATTTTGGCGTTTCCATGGCTACAAGGTTCACTTAGACTGAAATTGGTGGTAGTGCTCTTTTCCGGAGCAGAACCCTAAAACCGTTCACTATTTCTTCACCAACCTTGGCACATAGATAGATCTGGTGGTGTACTGGTGCCTTTTGGTAGTTTTGTATTTCTGAATAATATATTTTTTGCATTTCATGGCAACAAGTTTCACTTTGACTGAAATTGGTGATAGTGCTATTTTCTGGAGCAGAACTTTAAAAATCTTTCAATACTCTCCTTCCACTTTTCTATATACACACCTAAATATTTGACATAATCATAACTCGTAGACATAATCATGAAGAGTATTTTGCCATTGCGGGGGATATTGATGACTTTGTCTTCTTGTTAGCTTATACTTTACAGTACTTAACAGCATATAATTGTACTTTACTGGACCAAAATTGTGACCATCCATTGAACGATAAGTATATATCTAAAAGTTGACAGCAGGCTCAAATGTGAAACTTACATCCTATCACCAACACAAGCAGTCAAAACAATTACCATTTAGTAGTCAGTGGATTTTATCAGTTTCTTCCAAGATGTCTGATAATGGTGTGTTGTTTCAGATCAACAAGAAGTACCTTGCCCCCCTGTTCATTGCCTATGATGCCAGACTGAAAGACAAGGATGATGTCATCATTCAGTATCAGGTAATGCTTCAGGCCCATCTGTCATGTATCATGGTTTGTGGGGAACTATACATGGATCATGTTCAGTGCTCAGACTGTCAACCACTGGTTTGGATGCTCCAGATTAGGTCATCCTTCAGGCTACTGTTATAAGGGACCATTCATGATTTATGGCCGGGGGGTGATGAGAAGCATGTACAATGTGAATGACCCCCCCTAACATTTATGTACAAAGTAAGTGACCCCCCTGCATGTTATGCACAAGATCAATGACCCCCCTTCCAATATTTTTAAGCATAATTTTTAAATATTTTTATGTACAAAATTGATTTCACCCCACCCCACCCCTGAAACATGTGTACAAAATTAATGACCCCTACCTCCCAGAACAAAATGGGTGACCCCCCTTAAAATCACCATCACCTCCCTAGCCATAAATTATGAATGGTCCCTAAATCTGAAACATAACTCATGCTTTTTGTTTGACAAAACTAGTATATTTAGTGAGTTTGGGGTTTAGATTTGACACCATTAAGTCTTAGATGTTTACCTTGTATGAAGAAGGTCAAGGTCACAAGATAAAAAAAATAGCACAAAAATGTTGCCAGTTACAAGTTTTGAGTTGTAGTAAATCCTTGTCATATCAGTGTCTGTTTCTAAGGAATGCCTACCTCTACAGGTATAAAGTTTTATATTTACATGTCTCCCAACAATACTTACCATATCAAATATCAGGATCAAGGAAACATGTTAGGTAATTCTGAAAAGTACTAATTATCTCCTAAAAAAGAACACACATATGTACTTAAACATGCCTATTCTGTCAGATCCGGAAATATTGCTTTTGTCCCCAAAAATTACCATATGTCTCAGGGCTCCAGGTAAGGGCTGTATGTATGGATATAAAATAAGCACGATATGGTAGGAAATAATTTAGAAAAGGTAGCAGATACGCACCACAGCAATGATGTACGGTCTTAGAATCATTTACAGACGTATTTATCCGAAAGTATTGTTTTATTGTTTATTGGCCTGTTTACATAAGAGTAGCAATGTGGTGGTGCATATATGAAACGAAACACAAGATTACTGATGGTCCATTAAATTCCATTCAGTACTCTTACTATACTCCTATGGTTTTCCAGTACTCCGATATTGAATATAACCGCCTCCGTGGTGTAGTGGTTAGAGCGTCCGCCTGGAGAGCGGAAGTTTGCGGGTTAGATCCCCGACCGCGTCATACCAAAAGACGTTAAAATATGGTACTTGTTGGTCCCTGCCTGGCGCTTGGCATTAATGGGTACAACAAGGACTGGTCGGCTCGGAGTCAGTATAATGTGTCTGAGTGGGGTATTCATGTTTCACTGCGGCATGGTATCTCAGTGGGCTAGCACTATAAAACTAGCTTAAGTCTGGACTAGTACAAGCAGCAGCACATACACATACACGCGCATGCACGTCGTCATATGAGCGAAATATTCTCAAGCACGACGTTAAACCCACTTTCACTTCACCTCACCTATATTGAATAAAGAAGTAGTACGTACTCCTGTCCATGAAAAAATATCTGGAGCCCTTTGTCCCAAGAGTGAACCATGAAACCAGTATTTGACCAACATGATCAGCATATCAACATATTTATCAACATAATCACTTACTGACTGTCATATTGTATAGATTGCTAAGAGTGCCGTAAAACTAAACTACTCACTCACTCATGGTATAGGAGGAGCTGCAGAGTCTGAAGCGTCGTGCTGAGGACATCGTGAAGGAGAACCAGAAACTACACATGGGGCAGTCTGGAGGAGGGGCTCTCGGCATGACAGAGTGGTAGGTGCAGCCACCATATTACAATAGAGATGGTGTAGCATGGAGGAGGGGCTGTCGGCATGACGGAGTGGTAGGTGCAGCCACCATATTACAATAGAGATGGTGTAGCATGGAGGAGGGGCTGTCGGCATGACAGAGTGGTAGGTGCACCCACCATATTACAATAGAGATGGTGTGGAGCATGGAGGTGGGGCTCTCGGCAATGACAGAGTAGTAGGTGCACCCACCACCAGATTACAATAGAGATGGTGTAGCATGGAGGAGGGGCTCTCGGCATGACAGAGTGGTAGGTGCACCCACCATATTACAATAGAGATGGTGTAGCATGGAGGTGGGGCTCTCGGCATGACAGAGTGGTAGGTGCAGCCACCATATTACAATAGAGATGGTGTAGCATGGAGGAGGGGCTCTCGGCATGACAGAGTGGTAGGTGCAGCCACCAGGTTACAATAGAGATAGTGTAGCATGGAGGAGGGGCTCTCGGCATGACAGAGTGGTAGGTGCACCCAACATATTACAATAGAGATGGGGTAACATGGAGGTGGGGCTCTCGGCATGACAGAGTGGTAGGTGCAGCCACCATATTACAATAGAGATGGTGTAGCATGGAGGAGGGGCTCGGCATGACAGAGAGGTGTAGCATGGAGGAGGGCCTCGGCATGACAGAGGTAGCACCCACTATATTACAATAGAGATGGTGTAGCATGGAGGAGGGGCTCTCGGCATGACAGAGTGGTAGGTGCAGCCACCATATTACAATAGAGATGGTGTAGCATGGAGGAGGGGCTCGGCATGACAGAGTGGTAGGTGCAGCCACCATATTACAATAGAGATGGTGTAGCATGGAGGAGGGGCTCTCGGCATGACAGAGTGGTAGGTGCACCCACCATATTACAATAGAGATGGTGTAACATGGAGGAGGGGCTCTCGGCATGACAGAGTGGTAGGTGCACCCACCATATTACAATAGAGATGGTGTAGCATGGAGGAGGGGCTCTCGGCATGACAGAGTGGTAGGTGCACCCACCATATTACAATAGAGATGGTGTAGCATGGAGGAGGGGCTCTCGGCATGACAGAGTGGTAGGTGCACCCACCAGATTACAATAGAGATGGTGTAGCATGGAGGAGGGGCTCTCGGCATGACAGAGTGGTAGGTGCACCCACTATATTACAATAGAGATGGTGTAGCATGGAGGAGGGGCTCTCGGCATGACAGAGTGGTAGGTGCAGCCACCATATTACAATAGAGATGGTGTAGCATGGAGGAGGGGCTCTCGGCATGACAGAGTGGTAGGTGCACCCACCATATTACAATAGAGATGGTGTAACATGGAGGAGGGGGGCTCTCGGCATGACAGAGTGGTAGGTGCACCCACCAGATTACAATAGAGATAGTGTAGCATGGAGGAGGGCTCGGCATGACAGAGTGGTAGGTGCACCCACCAGATTACAATAGAGATGGTGTAGCATGGAGAATGATTGTAGAGTGTGGAGGAATACAAATTTGCTTTAGATGATTTTTCCATCTATTATTGATGATACCAGCCATGAACAATTAGATGGTCATAGCATGCCAGGAGATAACTCGGTCTGACAGAGTAGTGGTGGGCAGTAAAAATAGCTTTGAGTCCATGGAGGATGTTCGGCATGGCCAACCCGAATCTAACAGTTGATAGCGAGACCCTGAGCATGGGGGGAGCGGCAGCATCCATCACTGATTACCCTGCACCTGTCAGTGATTTTTCCCAGGAATATTTAATTAGTCTTGGAAGGGAAATTAATATTGTAACTCGTTAATATTTTATCAGTTTGGTAAGATAGGTTGATGTTGTTGCAATTGGAGTTGTGAATAATTAATTGCAAGGCTCTGTGCTGAAGAAAAGCTAGCTTGATCACAACCTGTCCTCATTGTCTAGACATTCCCTGGTTTTGTGTTGTCCGTTTTAACAAGAAAGAGGTAAGATTTCTGCAGCAGTGTAACAAGTTGGATTAATTAGATCATCTTTCAAATTACTGTTTTGGATTTATAGCAGTGTTGTGTGTTTTAGAAAAGGTGCTGGTTCAAATTGATCACGAGAATGTCAATATAGATGATGAGCATTGAAGAGTGGATGTAGATTTGTTGATGTGTAGACAGGCCACACTGTTATTGCTGATCTACGAGGTATGTCAATATTTTAAGTTATGCAAGTGAAGCTCGTGAAAGTCAGTGGTACGTGTGTCTGTCGTTACCCTGCAGCAGCATGGCTGCTCCGTCAAGGGCTTCATGCTACAGGGAAATCATCTTGATACTATTACCCAGATGTTCAACTGCTTGTTTCAATGAAATACACAATGCCATTTAGAAAGTGGTCAATTGTAACATATGTTATATTTGGGATTACACTTTCTTTGTAAAGTACAGATTCTAGTACTTTTGTTGGGTTGAGTCCCATCCGGGATTCGAACCCACACCCTCAGAGTCAGGCACCTAAACGCCAGCACACAAAGTCAGATGCCTAGACCGCTCAGCCACCGTGGGTTCCACAAAAATGGAAGTTGGACAACTGGGTTCAAACCACAGCAGTAGGACTAAATTTACATCTTGCACCACAATGCAATGTTGAGTATGAAATGTTGTCTATAATATTCATGTGTATGAAACATGAGCGATGGAAGCTGATAGGACATAAGACTTCACATTCATTTCTCAAAATGTCCTCTCCTTTAGTGAGTGAGTGAGTGAGTGAGTTAATATTTAACGTCACATCGGCAATATCTCAGCCATATCGTGACGAATCCTTTAGTGAAGCATTGAATTATTTACTAACTGTTGAAACCTTAAGCTTCTTCACAGAAAAGCCATGACTGCATTCAGTATACTTAAGTTATAATATTTAGTCAATAATAGAAACACTGCCAGTTTGTAAGAGGGGCAATAATTCTTTATGATGTGACAATTGAAAACTGATGTTGTTGATCAGATGTAGCCAACAGATTAGTAATTTCAGGACTGTTTCATAATTGGTGAGATCAAATAAAAATTGTTTCAGCGACAGGTGGTGTGAAATATAATTTTGCAGTTAGATTTGAAACTATGTGATTCATGCTAAGTTTGTGTGGATCGTCTAAGTAGCAGTTAGAAGAGTACAACCAACTGATGATTTGAAACACACCAGAGAATGTCAAAGTCTTTTCTGTTCACTTCTCATGTATTGTCCAGTATGTGGTAATATATAGAGATTATTACATGAGCAGGTGTGTCATACGACTTATACGAAACGAGAGCGAGGGCAATGCATAATTTCACACGAGTTTCATGTAAGTCATGACACACTTGCTAATATTTCTTTTAATAATTTCTTTATTATCTATTTTATTCATGTACATTTGTGCAGTAAAACACTGTAAGCAAGTGTGACGACCAGCTTAATTTTGACGTCACGTTGAATTGTTTAATACAGAAACAATAGGCAAATGTGATTTGTGCACATGTGCACATGTGATACATATATGTATATACTATACATGTATATATGACACTGGTTTCACCATATGTTTCACCATATGGGTAATAAATGGAAATACTGTTCCAAGCTGCACTAGACTCCATCGTCTGGGTCTGTTACAGGCGGCAGCTGCAGGAGCAGGCCAAGCTTGTCCTGGAGGAGAATCAGGTTCTTATGGAACAGATCGAGGTCAATCAACTCAAGTCCAAGGAGATGTTCAACGCCCACTTGCAGGAAGGTAGGACATTGCTCTCAAAGTTGTCTAGAAATAGAATTAAATTCTTGCCTAAAACACACATAAGAAGCTGGTTTTGTTAGAGAAACAACCCAAAATGAAACTTTCATCAGCAGTTCAAAATCAAATTGGGTCAAGGGCTGTCTGGTGTTTAGAAATGGACTTTCTGTTGAAATGAGTGAGTGAGTGAGTTTAGTTTTATGCCGCACTCAGCAATACTCCAGCTATGTGGCGGCGGTCTGTAAATAATCGAGTCTGGACCAGACAGTCCAGTGATCAACAGCATGAGCATCAATCTACGCAATTAGGATGCGGTGACATGTGTCAACCAAGTCAGCAACCCTGATCACCTGATCCTGTACTGGTGTAATGAGGACACTTTCAAGTTTTGTTTCCTGCAGACAAACTTATATTGTAACAAAATGCTTTTGAAGTTTAGTTTCATATATGAAAAATATGATTGGGAAGGGTTTGGTAGGGGTGGGTGACATTTCGGTTTATGGAAATGAGGCATGAAAAAATGTTGCATAAATGTGATACAGTCCTAAGACCAATCACACCGTCCCTGACCCTGACCCCCATCCCATAATAATTGATCTGACCCACATGTGGGTGGAGCAAGTGGTTAACAATTTGACTGATTTTGCATCACTAGTGTCCAGGCTGACAAAGAAGCTGAGTGCATCTGAGTCGGAAAAGTTGGAGTTGAACGAGACCTGGAGGCTACTAGACTGAAGTTCTCGGAGCTACGACACAAACATGACGCTCTTCTCCTCACCACTGGAGGCCAGGTGACTGTGCAGGACCACATCAACACCATCGCCGACATCAAGAGGTCAGTACTATCCCACTCAACAGGGGTAACACCTTTCCAAAGGAGCAGCAGATTTAATGTTTTGGCTCCTGATCCACAAAACGTTCGTAGCGCCACGACATTCGTAAGCCTGTGATAAACAGTTACGACAGGTCAAACATTACGATGTGGATCTGGACACAGTTCCTTGTGGATTACTGACCCATTTCTTTTTATCAGTACAACTGTTTGTGAAAAGGTCTCAAATTGTCTCTTCACTGCCACGTTTGGTAGGATGGGTTCATGTCTAAGGAACGTGATGTAACAGTAGAGATGGAATTTACAACTATTTGTTGTCAGTCAAGTAGTACCTTTACAGTATTGTGTGTCGGCGCATGATGTAACAGTAGAGATGGAATTTACAACTATTTGTTGTCAGTCAAGTAGTACCTTTACATGATGTAACAGTAGAGACAGCATTTACAACTATTTGTTGTCAGTCAAGTAGTACCTTTACAATATTGTGTGTCGAACATGATGTAACAGTAGAGACGGCATTTACAACTATTTGTTGTCAGTCAAGTAGTACCTTTACAATATTGTGTGTCGGAACGTGATTTAACATGATGTAACAGTAGAGGCCTTTACAATATTGTGGCATTTACAACTATTTTGTTGTCAGTCAAGTAGTACCTTTACAATATTGTGTGTCAGAGCATGATGTAACAGTAGAGACGGACATTTACAACTATTTGTTGTCAGTCAAGTAGTACCTTTACAATATTGTGTGTCGGAACATGATGTAACAGTAGAGACGGCATTTACAACTATTTGTTGTCAGTCAAGTAGTACCTTTACAATATTGTTGTGATGAATATGGCGGAACGGATTTAACAGTGTAACAGTAAGAGACGGCATTTAACAGTAGAGACATTTACAACTATTTGTTGTCAGTCAAGTAGTACCTTTACAGTATATTGTGTCGGACCGTACAAATATGATGTAACAGTAGAGACGGCATTTACAACTATTTGTTGTCAGTCAAGTAGTACCTTTACAATATTGTGTGTCGGAACGTGATTTAACAGTAGAGACGGCATTTACAACTATTTGTTGTCAGTCAAGTAGTACCTTTACAATATTGTATGTCAGTAGTGACTTAATCACCAGTAACCTTTACATATTTGACATAACACAGGTCATTGACGGAGGAGAAAGAACAGCATTTGCAAGAGACAGAGACCTTCCGCAATAGGATAAAGGTAAATACTTTATACCAGGGAGGACTTTATATACGACAGCCCTTGCCTCCTGTGTGTATCCTGGAAGATGTAGAGTACTGAATGGGAGATGAGCCCCAAGGTGAAGCAGGTAGAAGACTAATCTCACTTCGGCAAACTCGGGTATAGTGCTGACATGTCAGATATCCAAATGGGGTAAAATCAGTGCCCTTCACTGCACATTGATATGCCTAAGACAATTGTACCTTGAGTGATGTAAGGACATGGTGAAGTAACTGTACATGTGTGTTGTCTTTTTAGGCAAGTGACTTAATTTCATAATACCTATGTTAACCTTGATCACTAGATTGTCTGGTCCAGACTTGATTATTTACAGACCCGTGCCATATAGCTGGAATATTGCTGAGTGCGGTGTTAAACAACCAACCAAACAACAACCAACCTATGTTAACCCAGCAATAAATGGGTACCGGTAGTGTGAGATTGTAATGTGACTGTTAACTTTCTAGCACCTCATAGATAGCTTACATGGTATTGGAGATTTAGAGATTTATTGGAGTTAGGAACATTGTTCTTGTTTTGTTGAACAAATTGTGTATTGTAGATGTAGTAATACAGGGATTATATGTATGAATTATGAAACTTTGTAGGATTTCAGTACACTAGTTTGTAAGGCATTGCCATTCCCCAACTGGATTATTTACAGACTGCTGTCATATAGCAAAAACATTTCGGAGAGTTGTAAGTCACTGTAACACGTTAGATGTTATTTAACTGTCTGAAATACTGTACGTGTGATGTTGTCAGGCCTTGGAGGAGGAGAGAAGAAACCTGGCCGTGAAGAACACTGATTTCTTGGCCGAGAACAAGAGACTCCACGCAGAGATCAAGTCCCTTCACAAGGCAGTCAGGTAAACATAGGAGAGGAGGAGAGTTGGGTAATCATTGGGAGTATTACAACTGCGCTCTGTGGGGTTATGTATTGTGTGTTCCTGGTCCGGCAGAAGCTGACGGTGTTGTGTCAGGTTGTGTAGTGTTGTGGAAGGACTGTATATATTCCAGATGGATCAAACAGAAGCTGATGGTGTTGTTACTACGTTGTGTGTAGGGCTGTGAGTGTACTGTATGTATTCCAGGCAGGTGCAACAGAAACTGATGGTGTTGTTACGGTTGTGTAGTGTTATGAAAACACCTGTATGTGTAGGTGGGCCGCAGCAGAAGCAGATGGTGTGACGGGTTGTGTAGGGCTGTGAATGTACTGTATGTATTCCAGGCGGATGCAACAGAAGCTGATGGTATTATTCTGTGGTTGTGTAGGGCTGTGAGTGTACTGTATGTATTCCAGGCGGGTGCAACAGAAGCTGATGGTGTTGTTACGGTTGTGTAGGGCTGTGAGTGTACTGTATGTATTCCAGGCGGATGCAACAGAAGCTGATGGTGTTGTTACGGTTGTGTAGGGCTGTGAGTGTACTGTATGTATTCCAGGCGGGTGCAACAGAAGCTGATGGTGTTGTTATGGTGTGTAGGGCTGTGAGTGTACTGTATGTATTCCAGGTGGGCGCAACAGCAAAGCTGATGGTGTTGTTATGGTTGTGTAGGGCTGTGAGTGTACTGTATGTATTCCAGGCGGGTGCAACAGAAGCTGATGGTGTTGTTACGGTTGTGTAGGGCTGTGAGTGTACTGTATGTATTCCAGGCGGCAGAACAGAAACTGATGGTGTTGTTACGGTTGTGTAGGGCTGTGAGTGTACTGTATATGTATTCCAGGTGGCGCAACAGAAGCTGATGGTGTGCAACAGAAGTTGACGGTTGTGTAGGGCTGTGAGTGTACTGTATGTATTCCAGGCGGCAAACAGAAGCCTGATGGTGTTGTTCCGGCTGTGTAGGGCTGTGAGTGTACTGTATGTATTCCAGGCGGGTGCAACAGAAGCTGATGGTGTTGTTACGGTTGTGTAGGGCTGTGAGTGTACTGTATGTATTCCAGGCAGGTGCAACAGAAGCTGATGGTGTTATTACGGTTGTGTAGGGCTGTGAGTGTACTGTATGTATTCCAGGTGGGTGCAACAGAAACTGATGGTGTTGTTACGGTTGTGTAGGGCTGTGAGTGTACTGTATGTATTCCAGGCGGGTGCAACAGAAGCTGATGGTGTTGTTACGGTTGTGTAGGGCTGTGAGTGTACTGTATGTATTCCAGGCGGGTGCAACAGAAACTGATGGTGTTGTTATGGTTGTGTAGGGCTGTGAGTGTACTGTATGTATTCCAGGCGGGCGCAACAGAAACTGATGGTGTTGTTATGGTTGTGTAGGGCTGTGAGTGTACTGTATGTATTCCAGGCGGGCTGCAACAGAAGCTGATGGTGTTGTTGTGGGTTGTGTAGGGCCGTGAGTGTACTGTATGTATTCCAGGTGGGCAGCAACAGAAACTGATGGTTGTTACGGTGTAGGGCTGTGAGTGTACTGTATGTATTCCAGGTGGGTGCAACAGAAGCTGATGGTGTTATTACGGTTGTGTAGGGCTGTGAGTGTACTGTATGTATTCCAGGGGTTGCAACAGAAACTGATGGTGTTGTTACGGTTGTGTAGGGCTGTGAGTGTACTGTATGTATTCCAGGGAGTGCAACAGAAACTGATGGTGTTGTTACGGCTGTGTAGGGCTGTGAGTGTACTGTATGTATTCCAGGCGGGTGCAACAGAAACTGATGGTGTTGTTTATGGTTGTGTAGGGCTGTGAGTGTACTGTATGTATTCCAGGCAGGGGCAGCAGAAGTTGATGGTGTTGTTACGGTTGTGTAGGGTTGTGAGTGTACTGTATGTATTCCAGGCGGGTGCAACAGAAGTTGATGGTGTTGTTACGGTTGTGTAGGGCTGTGAGTGTACTGTATGTATTCCAGGTGGGTGCAACAGAAGCTGATGGTGTTGTTACGGTTGTGTAGGGCTGTGAGTGTACTGTATGTATTCCAGGTGGGTGCAACAGAAGCTGATGGTGTTGTTACGGTTGTGTAGGGTTGGTGTTGTATGTAGGGCTGTGAGTGTACTGTATGTATTCCAGGCGTATGGGGTGCAACAGAAACTGATGGTGTTGTTACGGTTGTGTAGGGCTGTGAGTGTACCTGTATGTATTCCAGGCGGGTGCAACAGAAACTGATGGTGTTGTTACGGTTGTGTAGGGCTGTGAGTGTACTGTATGTATTCCAGGCGGGTGCAACAGAAACTGATGGTGTTGTTACGGTTGTGTAGGGCTGTGAGTGTACTGTATGTATTCCAGGCGGGTGCAACAGAAACTGATGGTGTTGTTACGGTTGTGTAGGGCTGTGAGTGTACTGTATGTATTCCAGGCGGGTGCAACAGAAACTGATGGTGTTGTTACGGTTGTGTAGGGCTGTGAGTGTACTGTATGTTTTCCAGGCGGGTGCAACAGAAGTTGATGGTGTTGTTACGGTTGTGTAGGGCTGTGAGTGTACTGTATGTATTCCAGGCGGATGCAACAGAAGTTGATGGTGTTGTTACGGTTGTGTAGGGCTGTGAGTGTACTGTATGTATTCCAGGCGTGCGCAACAGAAGTTGATGGTGTTTTTATGGTTGTGTAGTGTTATGAAAACACTGTATGTGTTCCAATCAGACGCAGCAGAAGGTGATGGTGTTACCGGTTGTGTAGGGCTGTGAGTGTACTGTATGTATTCCAGGCGGGCTCAACAGAAGTTGATGGTGTTTTTATGGTTGTGTAGTGTTATGAAAACACTGTATGTGTTCCAGTCAGACACAGCAGAAGGTGATGGTGTTACGGTTGTGTAGGGCTGTGAGTGTACTGTATGTATTCCAGATGGGCAGATCAGAACCTGATGGTGTTACTGCGGTTGTGTAGAGTTGTGAGTGTACTGTATGTATTCCAGGCGGGCGCAACAGAAGCTGATGGTGTTCCAGTCTGCCATAGAACAGTCCGAGGACAAGGAGCAGTCCACCCAGGAATACCTTGCAACTGTCATCAAGCTGGTCAGTGTTGGTTTACATCTTCTTCAAACTAATAACATCTACAGATTCTGTGGTACACACATGCCAAGTCTAATCAAAGTTCTGACTGCTATGTAGAACTGTTTGCAGAAGTTCTACTAAATATTATACTTACGATTGTATCTCTATGGTATGGAATGCTCTTATCAACCACTGGCTCTGACTTGATCATTGATGTCTAGTTACACAACAAACTAGATGTACAGAGGGTTGTATCATTCATGAAAATGTGTGTATGAGGATCACTAATTCATGGATTATATTGCTTTGCAGGCTGAAAAAACTGCAGCAGAACGGGATACCTACGCAAAAGTTGTAAGTATTTTTATCAGTATTTTCATAAGTATTTTCATAGTACCTACGTCAAAACCAGGTTGTAACAATATGTAATTCAGCTTGACCCTGCACTTACCAAGGGCCCTAGAGTATTTTAATCTTATGCAATATCTAATTTGAAATATGAAACAGCTAGATATGTCATGTATGGCATTAGGAATGTTTAAAACGGCCTTCACACGGCAAACTAAAGTTTGATGACACAAGTTTGAGAGTGTGAACACTCCAACATCTCACCACCAACACCAATTTCAGAGTTGTTAAACTGTGGTCGAGAAATAGCATCAGCCTCTATATATATTTTCCATCAAACTTTCGGTGTTGTCAAACTTGAGTTTGACGTGTGAAGTGTTGTCAAACTCATGTTGTTCATAAACAACCAATCGCAGTCAATGAAATTGTCACGTGACCGGTCCGATAGAGACATGGTGCTCAAATGACACCAAAGTTTGACAACATGTGTTTGATGTGTGAAAATGCAAGTTTGACAGCTTATAAAATGTGTTGTCAAACTTTAGTTTGTCGTGTGAAGGCTGCTGAAGACCTGCTTTGATGATGGAATTCAAACTTACAGAAACTTTGTGTTTGTCTTAAAACTCAAATGTTCTTGAGTGTATTGTACATTATTAAGACACAGGAACCCTGCCTATTTGATGCTAATTTCATCAATAATATTTCTAAACATATTTCCAATGAGTTGTGTTAGACACAACATATTTTTGTGAGTCAAGGCAAGGTCCCACAAAAACAGAAGAGGCTGTAATATTTCTTTTTTTTTTGTCCCCCACCACAACGCAGAACAGGGGACTATGTATTCAGCGGCATCCGTACGTCCTGATTCTTGTTAACACGATATCTCACGAACTGTTGTACCCAATGTCTCCATATTTGGTGACAAGCCTACATTGGGGGATTACCCAGACACCAGACGATTTTGGTGACCTTGACCTTATTTTCAAGGTCGCCACGACACTTTGACCACATTTGGAACTCTTGTTAATGCGATGTCTCATGAACTGTTGTACCCAATGTCTTCAAATTATGTCGACAGCCTACATTGGGTGATTATGCAGACACCAGTCATTTCAGGCATCTTGTATGTGACCAAACAATAAAAAGTAGTAAATGTGTTACAAATATTCCATTCTTTAGCGGCGGGGGACATTGCCATATCGGTGACAAACACTTGTTTTAATTGTTACATTCTTTGTCAGCAGATTGTTCTGATCTTATTGTTATTATATCCTGTCGACTAACAATTAATTCATGACTCTAAACGGAGCTCTTGAATGTCCCACTTAGTGAGTTATGATGACACCAGTTAAAGTACTGTCGGAAATGCTAGAAAAATGTTTTGACTTATATTTAAAATTCAGAGGTACTACAGTTACTTAAATAACAAATATCACTTTAAGAAACATCTACCTAATGTAGACCGAGGAAATAAATTTTGAGACATGCCCTAAAATGTGTTTTTACTGATGAAAATACCAAAAACTTAGAAAACTAAAGGGGTAGGGGGACGTTATTTGATACAAACATTAACTGCCTGTGTTACGTCATCAGCATGCACGGTATCGACAGGTAAAATTGACACCTGAGCACACACGCTCGGGCGAGGGGTTATCTCAATAGATGTTTTCTTCAAAATGTTGAATATGTGTACGTATTGTATATGTATTGGTTATGTAAGGGATCATTTGTGTATGTGTGTTTGTTTTGAAATAAACATACGAATTGATGAACATTTTGAAAGAATCCTGTCACTTGTGTTATCTTATCCATTGATTGTAGAAATGTGCAACGTTTTAATAAATGTTTTGCATGTCAACAGTATATTTCATTGCAAAAATATGGATGTAATTCGGTCAGTTTAATCTAGTTGTGAACATTGGCCAAAGATTTAACGAAGTCACTGGTGTCTAAGTACTCCCTTGTCAAAGTTGTCAAGAATGGTTTTACGTCCCGGTTTTGCTTTTGAGACGGTCCCTGTCTTGTCTGATTTGTTTACAGTATTGTAAACTTGTTGGTAAGACATACCAACAGCTCTACAAGTTCTGTAATAAACCCTTTCTAAACTAATGAAAGGTTTACCTCTGTCTTTTCAAGCACACAATAACTGATAAACATTTGCAAAAATCTACTGCAAATAGTTGGCCATAGTGGACGCTGTGATAAAGATGTGCATGCATGACGGGAAACTTATTTATCAAGCCTTAACATTTATAAATAATATTTCTTCAATAAAGAAACGATAATTAAGTAAAGTAACACAAACATTCAACATTTATTTGTTTAAGAAAAATGTTAATTCATATTTTTACACCACCTGTATTATTAGCATAAGTGTAAAGACTATTTCAGATTTCTGTTGTTGAACTCAAATTTTCTCCTGTAAACTGCCCTTCAAATGCATGGGAATGTTAAATCAATTGAAATAAAAATTAGGTACACTATAGGTGAGTTGATATATTGACAACATAGTACATTTATCACCATTCTAAAGATATCAAGGCTAAAAAGCATTTTTCTAGCATTTCCGAAAGTACTTTAGTGACAACTTATTAGAGAGAGGATGTTTATGTCCCCAGGCTAAGGAGCAACAGAGTGAGAGTAAGCGAGCCATGAACAAGGTATTGTCCAGGACTGTCACAGTCGGCAAGCTGGAGGAGAAGCTGAAGGTACCACTCAGGAATATGTCCCCATTTTGTCTCTGTCTACTGGCTTCACATGTGTGTGAACACTCTCACTGTGATTGTATCTATTTCTCATGATTCACTTCTCTCCTATATATCTGTATGGGGTGTTAGATCAGATCAGGTCATTGTTTTAATCATCCAATCAAAATGGAGGTTTCTACTGTCTTAGACCTCCAGTGTGATTGTGTTGTGTTAGTCTAGAAGACTGACATTTGATTGACTGAAAACCGACTGTGCCTGCACTGAGCAGTCACATGAATTCAGGGTTCAGCTGATCTGAGGTACTATAACAAATCACTTTAATTTATGCAAAAGCATGATGTTGATAACTTCTTTGGGTGGCATTTTAAAAGTTGGGAAGTACAATATAGAGAAATAAAGAAGTTGTTATCCACACAGTTTGTCTATAGTGATGTTTACAAGTTTGAAGTTCAGCTGGATTAAAGCCCGTTTTGCAGATTTGAGTTGAAGCACAGAGCAGTATTTAATGCTTTCAGTGGTTCTCTTGTCAAATAGATGTCTGTTGCAGTGGGTATCCCTCAAGATCTTTCCTGTCCATTTGAAACAGCATAGGTTGCTGTAACTGCATTTGAGAAATAAATGATTTATAAGTGATAAATTATTTTCCACTCCATTTTTTTCAGCTGCACAAGATGAAAGCAGCAGCTAAGCTCTCTACTGCAGCTGACAGGTGGGTTCTAGACTCCAGCACTGGTTGGTGATTCACCAGACAAACAAACTTCTGTAATCTGTTAGACTCAACCCACATCCTGCTTGTATGAAACTTTCATTAGTGTCCATTTGATAAAGGCACCACACATTTGCTGTGAAGTGTTATGATACTTAATTTGTCAGACATTGTGCATTTGATCATGACCTACATACATAACTTAAGTATCACGGTCAGTGACATCAGCCTTCTGTTGAATTCAGATATATTATTATACTTGTATCTTCTGACGCTGGAAGGTATGGGCAGTCCCATCACCTAAGGTGCTGCAGTTTTTTATGCAGAGTTGAGTCACTCCTGAAAAGTACGATCAGAATTCCTGTTCCCTCAAATTGTTTCAGTTATTTCCATAGACTTGCATCACTCTGTACTTTTCTCTCACGTTTAGCTGATGTTTGTATTTCTGCTCTGTATTGCAGGTTGAAGGAACAAGATGAATCCTTCAACAGCCAGAAACAAGAGTATGAGCTCGAGATCAAGCACCTGCGTCTTGTTCTGCGACAAGGATGGGGTGCTGCACAACCTGGTTCATGACAAGAGGTGGGTAATATAGGGTGCTGCACAACCTGGTGCATGACAAGAGGTGGGTAATATAGGGTGCTGCACAACCTGGTGCATGACAAGAGGTGGGTAATATAGGACAACCTGGTGCATGACAAGAGGTGGGTAATATAGGGTGCATGACAAGAGGTGGGTAATATAGGGTGCTGCACAACCTGGTGCATAGGGTGCTGCACAACCTGACAAGAGGTGGGTAATATAGGGTGCTGCACAACCTGGTGGTGGGTATGACAAGAGGTGGGTAATATAGGGTGCTGCACAACCTGGTGCATGACAAGAGGTGGGTAATATAGGGTGCTGCACAACCTGGTGTATGACTAGAGGTGGGTAATATAGGGTGCTGCACAACCTGGTGTATGACTAGAGGTGGGTAATATAGGGTGCTGCACAACCTGGTGCATGACTGACAAGATGACTAGAGTGGGTAATATAGGGTGCTGCACAACCTGGTGCATGACAAGAGGTGGGTAATATAGGGTGCTGCACAACCTGGTGTATGACAAGAGGTGGGTAATATAGGGTGCTGCACAACCTGGTGCATGACAAGAGGTGGGTAATATAGGGTGCTGCACAACCTGGTGCATGACAAGAGGTGGGTAAAATATAGGTGTGCTGCACAACCTGGTGCATGACTAGAGGTGGGTAATATAGGGTGCTGCACAACCTGGTGCATGACTAGAGGTGGGTAATATAGGGTGCTGCACAACCTGGTGCATGACTAGAGGTGGGTAATATAGGGTGCTGCACAACCTGGTGCATGACAAGAGGTGGGTAATATAGGGTGCTGCACAACCTATGACAAGAGGTGGGTAATATAGGGTGCTGCACAACCTGCACAACCTGGTGGAGTATGACAAGAGGTGGGTAATATAGGGCTGCACAACCTGCTGCACAACCTGGTGCATGACAAGAGGTGGGTAATATAGGGTGCTGCACAACCTGGTACATGACTGCAGAGGTGGGTAATATAGGTGTGCTGCACAACCTGGTGCATGACAAGAGGTGGGTAATATAGGGTGCTGCACAACCTGGTGTATGACAAGAGATGGGTAATATAGGGTGCCTGGTGCATATAGGGTGCTGCACAACCTGATGACTAGAGGGGGTAATATAGGTGCTGCACAACCTGGTGTATGACAAGAGGTGGGTAATATAGGGTGCTGCACAACCTGGTGCATGACAAGAGGTGGGTAATATAGGGTGCTGCACAACCTGGTGCATGACAAGAGGTGGGTAATATAGGGTGCTGCACAACCTGGTGTAATGACAAGAGGTGGGTAATATAGGGTGCTGCACAACCTGGTGGATGACAAGAGGTGGCTAAAATAGGGTGCTGCACAACCTGGTGTATGACAAGAGGTGGGTAAAATAGGGTGCTGCACAACCTGGTGTATGACAAGAGGTGGGTAGCGTAGGTTGATGGCCAACATTATCCAGGTTTATGAGAAGAGATGGGCAGTGTAGGTTGCTGTACAACCAGGTGTGTGATCTAAAGGTTGGTGGGGGAGGTTGCTGCATAACCAGGTTTCATAATGTCCAGCTTTATCTGGCCACTGGAGGAAGAAACTTGGCTATAGTGAATCAGGAGACTGTTGAATTAGAGTCCTTCCTTCCACCATGATTTCATGAATCTCTGCTCCTGTTACAGAGAAGTGGAGAGGGACCTTGAGCATGTGTGGCAGGCTGCCAACTCAGAAAACCTACGCATGAAGGATACCATGAAGAAAAGTTTCCGCAAGCTCCGAGAACATTCTGGTCTGAGAGATGTTGTAGAAGATGTAGATAATCAGGAACTGTTAAACTTGTCCAGTGATGAGGACCACTGAGTGCCTTACCAGTACCTTGCCAGTCTGCCCCGAACTTCAGGGAGGCCAGTTTCTACCAACTCACAAGAAGCAGACGTGTGATTCTTTCAGCCATGACTCTTTGTTCCTGAAGCCCTTGCTATGAGAAACAACCCCATAAATCTCGGAAATTATTGAAACACGATTAGATTTGTTAAAGATAATATTCAAATATTCACATACATTTTTATACATTTTAGGAAAAAGTGGCTTTATGTTATTTTATGTGTTTTTTCAAATGGCATTTTAGGATGAGTAGTAGTTTGTTCATTGTTTGAAACAAGACTCGCGTTTCAGATTAAGTTTCATGATTAAATGTTTTAGTAGGTATTTATGAATATGTCAAATATTGAGAATCTTCTGTTATCCATTGTTGACAGTGTCTGTATTATGTCACTTTGAAGATCCAATTGGAATTTTGAAGATCCTGTTGGAATTGGACTTGACCAATCCATGCTTGTTGTAAGAGGTGACCAACAGGATGGTCAGACTCACTGACTTGATTTATGCATATCATATATACCAATTGTATAGATTAATGATCATGATTTCAATCACTGGATTGTCTGGTCCAGATTCAATCATTTTCAGACCTCTGACATGTAGGTAGAATATTGCCCTGTGTGACAGTACACAACAAACCAATATAAGAGGTGAGGTGAGGTGAAATTGGGTTTTACGTCTTACTTGAGAATATTTCGCTCATATGACGACGTGCATGCGTGTGTATGTGTATGTGCGGCTGCTTGTACTAGCCCAGACTGAAGCTGGTTTTATAGTGCTAGCCCACTGAGATATCATGCCGCAGTGAAGCATGAATACCCCACTCAGACACATTATACTGACTCCGAGCCGACCAGTCCTTGTTGTACCCATTAATGAGGCGCGCCAGGCAGGGACCAACAAGTACCATATTTTAACGTCTTTTGGTATGACATGGTCAGGGATCAAACCCACGACCTTCCGTCTCTGGGCGGATGCTCTAACCACTACACCACGGAGGCGGTCACAAATATAAGAATGTCAGAGTTACTATTTCACATGCTGTCTGGAGAATCACACCTTCTATAGTAACAAGATTTCCTGAACCACTCCATGACAGCATTACGAAGCTGGATGTTTGATTATGTTATTGGCAGAGTTTAATGTTGATTTAAAGGCCAAGGAGCTTGTCAAAAGTACAGACTGGAGAAAAGCACAATTTAGGAAAAGGTGCTTCAAATTTTCTATTTATGCTGCATATTTCTGTTTACATGCTTAAGGAACTGTTATCATCTCATTTTAGCTTATTGTTACTATGTCACGACATGGCTGCGATATTGCCGATGTGATGTTAAATATTAACTCACTCACTTATTGTTATTAGAATTAGACTATGCATAGAATGTGTGTACAAGAATTATGATAGTATTTCATTTATTAGAAAGCCAGGGCCCCGTTTCACAAAGCTCTCATAAGCCTAAGATCTCGTAACTTTTCTCGTAGCATTCGTGCCTCCTATACTGTAACATATGAGGTATTAGTGCTACGAGAAAAGTTACGAGAGCTTTGTGAGCTTTGTGAAAGGGCCCTGGTCTATTAAAAGTATTGTGTCTGTTCTGTTTATTGTGGACATTGTGAAAACTCACTACCTTGAGGAGTCCCACATTCTACAGTGGTAAACAAGGAACAGTTGCAGGACTTGGTTATTGTAAATCACTAACATGTCCCAGTATCAGGGAATGAGCGTCTAATACTGGCCAGGGACTCATTACAAAGGGATCATAACTCTACGATGGTCGTGAGTCTATATTATGGTATAGGAGTCACGATGATTGTAGTTAAATGGATCTTGGCTTCTAGTTACTGGAAATAATGACCTGTATAATCCAATGTATATTTGAGGCCTGGCATCTCATAGAGTGAATGAAATACAGTAAACTATATATATAACAAACACGGTTATAACAAATTGATGAACTGGTCCTGACTAAGAATACACAATACCATTTAGAAAGTCGTCAGATGTAACATATACTACCCATCAACAATTTAGACTCACTAGTGTAAATGTAGCCACTTACTTGTCCACTGTTCTAAACTAGCTTTTTGCAAAATATTCCATACTGTTTAAAGGTACTGTTTAGTTATGAACTGGTGTATTGTAAAACATATTCGTAACATTGAAAAGATTATTGTCATGAGTTCAGTAAATGATTAAAATCTGTGAAAATTGGCTAATTCTTAACAAAACTTTACACCAAAACGAATCTGTTCACATGCACGACATTTGCTCATGCCTTTCGCAATTTGAAGCATCATCCTTGTGCAATTCATCTGCATAAGGTTTTCAGTTGGTTCCCCCAAGTTGGTGGAGAAATTCATCTTCGATGTAACCACATACATATACATAACATATAGTGAGTGCTTTAAGTGAGTCTAAACTTTTGATGGGTAGTATATGTTATATTTGGGATGACACTTTCTCAATAAAGTACAGATCCTGGTACTTTTGTTAGGTTGAGTTCCATGTAATTAACTGGTCCTGATTGCTTGCTGTATGTGCTTGTCAAAAAGCATGTTATAAACTACAAACAGTGATCTGTGAGTCTGTTGTTACCATAGCTACTGTAGTTAGATTTTATCTGTTTATAGCAGGGGCAGCAGTTCCATATGGAGATATTAGAGGTCTTGTGAAGACTACATTGCAATATATGCTTGTGATATTACATATTTATGCTTATACATTACTGAACTATATTTGCTGAATATATCCTGAGGTGTAAATTCCGTCCGTGAATACAATTGTCCATATCATGTCGCCTTATTGCCGCTATATTAGTAAAATTGTATTGTTTTTTTTATGATTATATCTGACTCAGTCCAGGTGTGTATTTAGAAGTAGAGTCGACTGATGACATATTGACATGATGGAGAAATATGGGAAAAGTCTTGAAAACATGAGTCTGGTTCTCACTGCATCCCTGTCCATGAACCATGTACTGCCTTCACCACATACTGACACAACTTGTGTTGTCCTGCTTCACCTGTACTTCACTAAGTCTGTCAACAATGATGTATACTATGTAGCATGTGCTGTTCCTCCTACTGCTGTGCCCCCTCTGTTAAAGATGTCAACTTGTACAAATAACTACATGATAGTTTCTTAAGAACTGTTTCCAGTGACAGGTATAACGAAGGCCATCCACATTTTTTATGTTTCTCATCTCCAAACTGGTGCTGATGAGGGGCGGGCGGGCGAAAAAAAAGCCCCCCCCCAAAAAAAAAAAAGAAGCAGTTTGCCATTTTCTTTTCAAGCTGTTGACAGAAAATGACCCAAGAGGATGTGTATGATAGAATTATGTGTGTATAGAATGACATACGTATCTTGTTTTAGTAACATTATGTTGACAAAACATTTCACGTGACAGACCATACACTATCTAGCTATAGCTTTATATTCTGATTTACATTCAACGGTTCTGAAGAAAACTTTAGTGTTATGTCTGTTTGTTAGGAATTAACATAGAAAATGTGTTTAAAATCAAATATGTTTTTGATGACATAAATTCCATGTAGATATGTGTATGCATTATTTATTTATTTTACAAATTTAACAGATGAATAAAGTCATGCATGTGTAATGTAATATTAAAGTACACGCACCATCAGTACAAATGCAAAAATACACTGCAGGCTTAAAAGTGTGATATTCAGACATCTAGTGCCAGATTTGAATTACCGATTGCAAAACGTCAACAAAATGACAAAATGACCTGAAAACGATCAGCTGATTCCACCGCCTCGCTTTGAATGGCCTTTTTGCGATTCATTAATGCAATATAAGCAGTCACGTTGTGTTATACAATAAACAAGAAGTTGCCATCCATATGCTCGTCTTATAAACAAACAGCAGATTGTTGGGTACAGGGTCTTCATTGCTGTGTACTGTATTGACTTTTACAATTTTTGTTGCAATTCATCATCTGGAGACAGAATGTAACTGCATAGGGAACCGTCAACAGATGCTTGTTCGTACAGGGTTGGAAATGTCTACATAGAACAGTGTGATGACAGGTTGCCTTGAGCTGTTGTTTTTAATTAGAATGAATAATACACTAAATACACATGAAGATCCGGGTTAGAATTGGTCTTCAGTAACCCATGCTTGTCATAAGAGGCAACTAATGGGATCGTGTGGTCACATGTCATTGTATCCCAATTGCGTAGATCGATGCTCATGCTGTTGATTCCTAGATTGTCTGGTCCAGGCTCGATTATTTACAGACCACCGCCATATAGCTGGAATATTGCTGAGTGTGGCGTTAAACTCACTCACTCACTACAACAGAAACTGTAAGGCTATACGAGTCAAGACAATAGGGTGTGACTCCCCACAACACATAGAATAGTTAGTCCAAAAAGGTTGTGCACGGCTGTGTGCCACCTGTGTTGACTCTGGTCAGCAGCTCACGATGTGTAGTTTGTCGTGGTCTTACAAGAAATGTTATCATTTTTATTTTAACATCAAACAAAATGAAGATTAGAAGCAGCTGTATATACATATCATACTTCTCCAAGTTCATGACTTCGTTTAGTAATAGGAAGGTTCAGGAACTGTCCTGTACTGTGTTTACCTCAGGGACAGCAACAAAAACCCTTCTACTGCATGTTTCAAATATATTTCAAAAGATATATGACAGAAAATGATATCATCTAATGTCATCATCTACAGCACTTCCTGTAATCATGTTTTAGGATATAATGGGATAGGACTCTTGTAATTTGGCTTGACCTAGTTCATTCATGACTTCAGCAGAGTAGACATCCTCCTACTGCCAAACTCTCCTCCTTAGGTGCTGATGTAGATATACTGATGATCTCAACCTGTGGTTCATATCTACTTGTCGTGCATGTTTTGGAAACAATTATCAGAAAACAAACATGTATATAGTTGCTTGTTGTATCTGTAAGTTGTTTTCTTGTTTCACAAAATCAGGAATATTTCGATTGTGATAATTCAGGAGCAATATCTTTCAGAAAATTATTAGGATTCTTGTAAAGAATGGTGTTAAACAAGAAGTATCTACAACCAGCTGTTCTTCCTAAAATAGTATTTCTCATGACATTAGGACCATATTTATGAAGTTGTGTGTCATCTAAAGTCTATGTGTACTGTGATATTCAAGTTGAAACTTTATGTTATTATATGTTTGTTATATTTTTTAAATCAATTTGAAATAAAGATTCTATGTAACATGACTTAGTCGTTTGTGTTTTAAGGATTGGAAAGATTCTTGCCAGAGAGTTTATTTTATCATGGTGTATTGTTATGTTAAATAGATTAACACCTTAATTTGGTGGAAAAATAAAGGATTTTCCAGTGAGCACAATCCTCTGGTTCACTGACAACTGCTGCAGTATTCCATGTCACGACATCCTGTGTGTTGTCAAGGCAACAGGAACATCTCTAAGGGCAGGCACTGTAGAGACTTCTGATGTCCTGGTTTGGTTTGACCCTGTGTTGAGCAGCGTTTATAGAAATTCCAGAGTGTCAACTTGTATTCGGAAAGCCTGAAGTAATGCATATTCAGATATTCACAGATGGGTGTTTCTGGCACACCCAAGGGATGGAACACAAATTAACACTCAGAGCTACAGATAACTTTATGGGTCATGGAGTTATGTACTTGCTGGTATTCATCTCAATTGGGTATCCTAATTTTCCTTTGAGTAACCAAATAAATTGTACCCACCTCACTAAAAACTCTATTGGGTATTTTGCCATTTTCCATTAATTGTCAAATATAATATAGTATAAACTTTTGTTTATATGTTTGTTATTTATATTTGATCTGTAATATGAGAAATGACTGCAAGTTGCCAAGTTCATGTGCTGAAATAGGACCTCTCAATATACCTTAGTTCTATGTATATACGCATGTAAGATAAAATGTATTGAGTATTTACAAACATTTAGGCGTACTTGTATGCAATAGGCTTAATAGGAAGTGAGATTTTGACATAAATATTTGCGTAATTTATGCAGATACGCAGTTCATCTGTACTTCTGGACACTTTAGACAACAGTGGTCAGTTTGGTGCAGATCAGGTGCATATCATCACATGGCTGCCTTGATAATAATTTGCCAAGCAGAAACTTAAGTCAACTGATCTTATCTTTGTTTTTTAAACAGCTGACACTGACATGACCTCACCCCCAAAACTACAGAATAAAACAGAAATCCTGTGTTAATGAAATTTTTTATTTCAGAGCTTTGCATAAAACTATACAACAATATGACAGCATAGAGAAAGCCTATGAAATACAGAGCATGTGTATAAAAGACATGGGAACATCACACACGCACGCACACACACACAGTGGAGTAAGTCGAAAAACAAAATCTTTCACAGATAATCAATTTAGTTCTCCTGATACAGCCAAAATCAACATCACAGCTCGTGTGGCATTATTTTCTAGATTACAGAAGCAAGCGTTCAGGCACACAGAAAACACAAAGATGAAAGAATAAGCTGTTTCTCCATGCTGCCATGCTACGATCTCTGCACCGGTTGTCCGTCCTTAGGACAACAGTGAGAGTCTTATGCTTCATGTATTAAAATATGAGAAAATCAACAAATGCTGTGGATGCTGTGTCAGATCACATGAAACACTCACCACTGATTAAGGACAGAAACCAAATAAATTACTGCGAAGGAAAGGATCCATGAGCACAAATTATCTGAAATTTCTGGGAATATTATGATCACGACTGAATAAACTTGAACAGTTTAAATGAATGCAGTTACACCTGTCTGAAAACATATTTCAAAATGACTCGTGAGGTTATAAACTAATTAAAATAGTTGATTCTACTTATGTTTTTAATGATATGCCAGTCACAAGTTTTTAAAACAATGGTGCCATGATAATGATAATGATGGGACGAACCCTCAGGAATGAGGTGTTAAACAAGTATGGAGGAGTTGTTCAACAGGTGTTCCAACAGCGACTAGAACCATCGAATATTGTACATCTCAAGATGGCAAGGTGAATTTCCCGGGCAATTTACAAAGAATCCGTTGCATCAATTTTCACAAATAGCTGCACATAATGAATGCAAAACATCTCTATTCACATGGGTTTTAAAACTGAAGATTGACTGTACATAATTACATGACTTAAATAATAAAACTATAAAACATGATTGTGGTGTGTGAACAGTTGCATACCCAACTAAAACAATGCTTCTTGTAGGGATGACCATACAAAATGTACATTATACTAAAACACATAACTCATCGCCGCCTTCTATTCCTGCCGACACTGGTGCTTCTACTCCTGCCCCTGACTGGACGAGATCTGCTGCGACTGTCACTGCGCCGCGGGGGTGGTTGGCGCTCTCGTTGCCTCATACGTTCCCGGTCACGGTCCCTATTTCTGTCTCTATCCCTGTTCATATCTCGATCTCTTCCAACAACTTCCATAGGTTCCTGAGAGAAAATGTGCAACATTTTGTGAAAACGTGGAATAAACAAGAAGGGTGGAATGACAGAAGGGAGATAACTCTTATTCCAGAAGTAAAAATACAGAATGTTTGATTGCAACATGTTTTGTCAGTGTTTTTGGAATGTCTCTTTTTATGGAAATGAGCGAAAGTTGTACAATGAATGTGAAAGAGTAACAAATTTTACTTGCACAGAAAGGTCTACTGCAAACATGACACATAAAAAGTGTGTGCATGTTCTTTATGTTCATATGAGTAGAATATCCTCCCGGAGTAAAAAAGACTAGGACTGGCAGTTTGTATAAGAAAGCATGTTGTGTAGATGTTAAAAGTTCAGGGAACAGAATGCTGACAAAACCCCTGATCACATCTTGATAACACAGGTGACTACAGATGGTACATTAAGTAAGTGGCTACCTTCCGTTTAATATCTGCCTCTCGGCCTGCTCTGTGTCCCTGTTCTTCTTCCTCCTTCCGGCGTTTCAGTCTGTCATCCAGTCGCTGTTTCTTCTCACGCTGACGCAGTTCAATCTGACGAACAAACGTGTTATATGCATAAATTCATACTGTGTAACAAAACATTATCAGTAAATGAGTGTAGTTTTACTCTTCACTCAGCAATATTCCAGCTATATGGCAGCAGTCTGTAACTAATCAAGTCTGGACCCAAAAATCCACTCAGTCGTCTCTTACAACAAGCTGGGTTACTGAAGATCAATTCTTACCCGCATCTTCACGGGTACAAAATATTATCAAAGTATAACATAAGTTCAAAGATATGTCAATTAAACAAAAGGCAATGACCCCTTGAAATTTAAAATGCACTAGAGATGATGCATCTCTTATACATCTCTGGCACTGCTTTAACAGACATGAGAACGGCAAAGCACAAAAAAAACACTGAAAATTTAACCGGGGGTATTGGGGGTCTTTTAATGCAGATTTACATTAATCTCAAAAACATTCAAAATGAAACAAAAATCCCGGAAATATGCAGATCTGCAGAAAATTCTCTTGTCTTTTTTAAGTAAGCACTGAACATAGCACAGAATTACTCAGGAACATATACATAATAAAGTCAGCATGTTGGTATTTCCTTTGAGAATTATAAAAAATTTTTTAGAGTAAAATTGATATTATAAAATATCAATTTTACTCTAAAAATTACATATTTTCCCTTATCCTGACTCATGCTCTTTTGTTTGTAGCATCCTACTGGAACGGAGGTGGGTAACAGAATACTTTGGATTTATAATTAGTGATTTTGTATAGATATACTGTAATATCCCCTACGGAACTTCATGAAGTCTTAGATTTAGGATGTTTCCTGTATAAAGAAAACCATAGGTTATATAAAGCCATTAAAGGGGAATTACATTATGAATATATTGAACAATACATATAAATTATATATATATATATATAGGTGACTCTGATAGAGGCACTGAAATTGACTATATCCAAGTATATGCTTAAGGTAGAATACTTAAGCTGAACATATATACATAGCCCTAAAACTCCGTTAGAGTTATAAGCTAGATGAGTATGTATAAAAATACATATTAATCTTGTGAGGCTAATATTTTAACGCCTACGAGGGGACTGTCAGTTGCTGAGCGGGACCAGTGGTCCCAATGGTGAATGCCAGAGACATCTTCTGTAGTGATGTCTCTTAGGTAGTGATTAGCAAATACCATGTTAGATTTCCAATAGCATCCTTCCATAATCGTGTTCAAGGAACAGTTACCGTGTAGGGCGGCAGGGTAGAGGCCAGTGCCCTGATCTCATGTGGATTTGATGCTGTTGGTGGGTCCAAGCCTGCTGCCTTGTAGGCACGGAGAGAATGACAGTCCTTATCCAAATAGATATTGTGGTCCGTGACACTTCTGTTTGATTCGTAGGCTTATAATGGGATGAATAAACGCTTGAGAAATCTTCTCCTTGTTTTGATCGTCGTGAAAATAAACTTTGAGCTTCTTACCGACACAGTGATAGGTCTTGTGTATCTTGTGATCCGAGAATAGAGGATAGCCGGGATGTGGAATAATCTGTCTGGTTGACCTGGCAGTTGATTCTTTGCAATGAAATCCCATCTTAATCCGAGGTGCGCCTGTGTTATGATTGTCATCAAACTGTATCCTCTAAGTAATCCAGAGCGTGAATTTCAGACATTCTTGCTGCTGTGGCTAGCTGATAGCAGAAACAATGTTTTCTGTGAGAGAAATTCAAAGTTTGTCGATTCAAGGGTTCATAGACCTCACTGCGGAGGTGTTGTAACACTACATTCAGATCCCAAGCTGGGGCGTGGAACTTCCGCTTTTGGTCCTCCAATCGAAAGCTCGTAGTAAGGCCAGTAACTCTGGAGATCTTGTCAATTTGACACCCGTTCTCATGGTGATTACAGAGCTAAGCGCCGCAAGATATGCTGATATCGTTGAACCTTTTAAATGTTTGTTTTGGCGAGGTAACACAAATAGTCTGCCACTTGAGGGTTGTGAAGCCTCTCTTGCTGTAAACCCTTTCTTTGTTGCATAATTTTCAAACTGTGCCACTTGTCGCCGCATTGCCACGAAGTTGAGTAACGTAAAGGCAAAGCGTGACTGCTTTTGCCGCCCTGGCAGAATATCCTCTCTTGTTTAAACACATTTGTATACAGTCCATACGCAGTAGTTGGAACATTGCTGGGTTTCCGTGCACTTGTTCTGGTGTGAGGATGAATTAACAGGTTTGGCGCCAGCTTTGGGTAGCTCCAGTGTTGGTTGACCCGATTTCTTGAATTAGTATGGGAAACCACGCTCTGGCCGCCAGTAGGGCCACCAAAGTGAGTTGTAGGCTCTGTGTTTGTCTGATTTTCTGTAATACTTGAGGTATTATTGCTGGCGGCGGAAACGCAGCGACGCATTGAGGCCTTCCCATGATAGACTTAGAGAGCCCGCTGCCCGCGCTTGGGGGGTCTGGGACTGGTGACACACGAATGTCGGTAGCTGATTGTTGAATCGCGGGCGAATAGGTCTATTAGCGGCCCTAATTTGCTTGATTATCTGTGCAAAAATTTCCCTCTCGGTTGATCATCCACTCTGTCGGTGATGGTAGATGAGGCCGAGAGAGCGCCTGCTAGTATATTTCTGGCTCCGGAATGTGCACTGCTTTGACATGTAGATTTAGATCTTGTATTAAATCCCGAACAGTTGAAAGCTTAGGTTCAAAAGGTTCATCGATCTCGCTGAGCCTTGCTTGTTTATGTAGAACGCCACTGTCGAATTGTCTGTATGGATCATTAGGCGCCGCATTTTGTAGAAATGTGCTCCAAATGTAGAATGGCGCTGATTACAGCTTTCATTTCTAGACTGTTTATATGGAGTTTGCATTCTTGCTGATTCCATAACCCTGATATCGTGTGGTTGGTGAGATGAGCTCCCCAACCTTGGAGTGACGCGTCTACATACAGATGGGTTTTGTATTCCTGCTCTGCTAAACAAATCCCTTCGCAGACATTCGATTCTTGGTCCACCATAGTAGATGTGGTCTGAGATGTTTCGGTAGACTGAATGGTTGTACATCGCTGAGATGTGCGCTGATGAGGACCTGTAGGGACGTGAACTGTAATCTGCCTGTGACAGTCATGTCTTGGGCTGATGTGAGAAGACCTAGTAGGCTCTGCCATTGTCGCAGAGTGGTAACGGAGAGAGTAGAGCTGGTGGAATGGTCTGTTGTATCTTGAGCCAACGGTCTTTGGTACCATAATACGGTTATGCATTTGTGATGAATCGAATACCTAGGAACTGTAGGTCTTGGCGATGGTACTAGGTCCGACTTATGTAAGTTTACTAACCAACCTAGTTGTGTTAGTAGCTTTATGATGTAATTTAACTGTAGTTTGAGACGCAGTGGATCTTGATCTACTTGTATCCCGTCAGTCGAGGTAAAACGCACTGGCGTAGCCCTTGACGATGTAGAAATTTGATAATCGGTTTCAAGTTATCCTCGTGGAATAGCCAGGGGGCTGATGATATTCAATGGGAGTACTTTCCACTGGTAATGTAGCCCTTCTAGAGTAAATCGTAGGTATTTCCTGGAATCGGGATGAATGGGGATGTGCAAGTAGGCATCCTGTAGATCTATGCTGCCCATGTAGTCCATAGGATCTAATCATCTCTGGCGAACTGAGGTAAATGTATCATGCGAAACTCTCGTGGTTTGCGAGATAGTTCTTGTTGAAAAGCTCATGTTGTAGATGAGTCTGTATTTCTCCGTGGAGTTTTCTCTGGGAACTAGGAAAACTGGGGAGTAGAAACCTGGTTAAGACGCTTGCTTGATCTATTACTTCTATGGCCTGTTTGGATAGGAGGATGAGACAGCCTCTTTTATCTTTGGTAGTTGTTGCTTTGTAAATCGAACTTGGGGGTTTGATTGTCAGCGGAGGCTTGTCCTGTAGAGGGATAATAAACTGCGTGTTGAATAATGTTGGAGACGTGAAGGATCTTGCAGTATTCCCCAGTTTTCCCAGTGTAGTTGGAGGCCCACCCACTTGAGTTGGTTGTACTGGAACGGCTGGGGGTGGAAGACTCCAGTCGTTCCAACCTGTGTTTCAGCTGCCTATAATTGCGGAACCTCTGGGTGTCCTGCCTCTTCCTGATCCTCCTCTATAGTTGCCATATGGGCTAATTAAAAGAATCTTTACCTCTAGAGCTGGCTATCTTCCTGTCTCTTGCTCTTTGTAGGCCCGTGAACTTAGATCTGCCTGAGTATCTTTGTGAAGTCTGGCCGAATGACGCTGGCTAGTGTGTCCATCGATCTAATCATAAGGACTTCCCTGGAATCCTTAGAGACTTCCTTGGCTTAATCTTGTCGATTTCTCCGTCAAAAGATGGATGTTGTCGACCACGGGCTGTATAAAGTGGGGCTGTAAAGTTCTCCCCCAATTACAGGAGGCGCAGGAGGCCTTGACGACGAGCTAAGGTCAGTGCTGCTGAAACAGATGTAAGATGATCCGCTAAAACTGCTGATCTTTCTTTTGCATAAGTAAGGCAGAATAAATCATTCTATCATCTTCCGTCAGTGGAATCCCTCGAATCTAGTAATAAGAGTCTCATTGATCGTCCTAGATCTATTTAACCCAAAGAACATACCGTCTCTCGGCCATGGTTTCTATATGAGCCAACTGCGATCATCCATCTTGTAAATCTTGTTCTTTACATCGCTGATGATCTTATAGTTCTCATCGATGTCCTGGGCCTTGTAGAAGGAGTCCATGTTATGTGGAGAACTTCTTGGCTTGAAAGTTGGGTAGATGTGGTATCTGAACTTTCGTAGCTTTCTGGAAAGCTGCATCTAGATTCTGTGGCACTGCCGCAATCGGGTCGATCGGGGTAGAGTGATTGCATCTGGATCATCTTCCTTCATCAAATACGCCTGAGCTGTATTGCCACTTTTAGATGGTGATGTGAGATCTAGGTTATTGACCATCCAATACCGTGATCTCTGCATCAGAAAATATGATTCCTCCATCATCCTCAAAATCATCATCATTAATAAATTGTAGATGCTCTTCGACTGCGCGTGTAGCTGTCTGAATATCTGATGAGGTTTGTATGCGATCTAGTTGACTTGTCGCCGCTTTCTATGTGGAGATCTGATGGGTGATCGACCTGGTGATGAACGGAGTGGAGATCGCCTATGGGATGATCTTCGGGAGACTTGTGAGGTGAATGTTGATAGCCCGCTAAGCTCTTCGGCAGTCCCTCGATGTTCTTCTAGACGATGAAGATCTGGAATCATATGTCTTTTCGCGAATGCCTTCGCTTGGCTTCATTTGCGTCGGTCGAGGGGATCGATGATATGACCTTCGCTAAGGCTTCCGTTGATGTCTGATGGTCTGAGTCCATATCTAGAGATGAAATCGAAGATGGTGATGATCTCTCCAGCGCCTTAGCGAAGGCCTTTCGCGAAGGCTGTACATCTAGGTCCTTCGTCAAGGTGGTCGCGGGACTTCCTTCGCGAAGGTGACATCGTCTTAGCTGCTACGTTGACGGGGTGCCTCTGGGGTGCTGTCTACGTTTGGAGCCTTCGGCGAAACTTTCGGACCCTGCTTGCGCCAGTTGTGTAGTGGTCCTCCATGATGTTCATAATCCTGCGCATCATGTCTTCTGGGATGATCTGTGACGAAGTTAAAATTACGTCTTTTTCTGCGATGGGGTTCACATCAATGGCGTCTGGCGATGGTGTAGAGGCATCAGGCTGCATGGAGATCTCTGCAGAAGTCACAGTCGCTGACACCGGTCGGCTTCTTCTGCGTAAGTCGGGGATGATTATCGGCTGATCATCGTAGAGGCCCAACTCTGCTGCTGGAACGATCTCGGCTGAGAAAGTTCTTGCTGTCTTCGTAGATTTCCCTTTGGAAGTCTGCGCTGCCCTGGGTAATCCTCAATCTGCGTTGAGACGGCGATGAGGCCCTCTTAGACTTAGTCTGCAATGGCGGATGTCTGGGGAGGCCGGTCGTTTCTTGAGGTAACGGACTGCGTCCCACGTTCCTCTGCCGCAGGGGTCTCTAGCAGAACACCAGACGGAGAGAGATCGATGTCGCTAGCAGCTGACTGGAAGGAATATCTGGACTCTCTGCCATGTTTTGCCCCTGTTTGCGTGATCTATCTGCAGCGAAAATACAGTAACATAAATCTATATGACTCAAAACCTAAGGTAAAGATCACCTGCCACATCTGGCTCAACTAAGGAACAAAGGAGTGGTATTTTACTTCTTTGTTCCACTATGTAGAATACATTTGTTAAGAGTTGACAATTACATACAGCAGTTCAAAGAAACTTACAGTAGGACAGTCATAACTAAGGAATTGTGGAAAGCGTGAACCATTTCAGATTATATTTCAATTTGAATGTTTTCCCCTCCCATTGTTCATTATGCAGTGCGGTACCATGGGTACCTACCTGTTCTTCTGTAAGGGGCAGCCAGTATATACAAGGTGTGGCTTTGGTTTTGCGGAACAGATCATCCAACAATTTAGCTGGTGCTTCTTCCTCAACTTTCTTCTCTGTGGAGCAGAAAAACAAAACAAATAGAAGATAATGAAAAACATTCTTTCATGCAGGGTTCATACAGCCATGAGCCCATGAGATTCAAGGGCTTTTCAAGCACTTTTCATGGACATATGATGTGTTTTCAAGCACCACTCTTTTTCCCAGAAGTATCGCAGAAGTTTCACTTTCGGTTTCGACATTGCTGCTTCCAGCATTAACAACGATCTATCAGAACGCAGCACAAACGCCCGATTTCTTTGTTTCTTTATGACGTAAGGAACCATGAAATAGACGCAATTTAATCAAAAGATCGATGGAACCACAACAAATATTTTAATGAAATTTCAAGCACTTCTTAAGGACACGTTAAAAAAATCCAGCACTTTTAAGTACTTTTGCAGTAGATTTTCAAATTCAAGTAATTTTCATCGAACGTAGTTAAATTCAAGCACTTTCAAATCTGAGCAAACCCCGTCATGAAATTCCTAATCATCTGAAACAGAATACCAGTTTTACTTATTGTGTGCCCTGCAAGATGGATGGGACCAATATATGGCTTACCTGGACCCTTCTTCCTCTCCCGAGGCCGCTCTTCTTCCTTCCTTCTCCTCTCCCGGTCTCTTGATCGGGACCTAGTTGACTTCCGCCTCTCCCGTTCTGGTGGTGACCTGTCCCTCACCTTGTCCCTGTCCCATTCTCGGACAGGCTTGGGTTCTTCCTTCCTCCTCACTTCCCTCGTTCCATCCTTCTTGTCCTTCTCCTTCTTCTCTTTCTCAGCTTTTTTGGGCTTGGCAGACGCGACCTGGCTCTCCTCCTGGGCTCGGTGAAACTCAATCTGGAGAAGCAGTGAATCAAAGGCTTGACGAATTTGACAACTTGAATAAGAAATACAAAATATGGGTCCCTCAGTTATAAATATTAAGATGGTTAAATAGAATACATTTGCGAAAATCTACTTTTCTCAGTGATCTCTTGAAGGTTGCCAGAAATACAACCTGACAGCTGCTTGAAGAGAATGAAAAGAGACAGAGTTACTTCCCTTTATCCCGCCACTAAATGGTTTTACTAACAGTTTTCTTAGAAATGACAGAACGATTGTCAATGTTTTATGTCACATATGTTGCATTAATTCCGATGTGGATCCACAAACTATTGATGTGGGACAATAGAGGTATGCATTAAATTCAGCTTCCTCAAAAACATTTGCAACATAAAAGTCACAGATAATGCTGAAGGTAGTGTCACATTATAAGCATATGAATGTACAAGCCTTGTTGAAGCTGAAGCTATTGTTCACACCTACCTCATCCTGTGAGGCGTACTCAACTCTGAGCACCTTGGGGTTGGAGCCGGGCCATCGAGTTCCATGAAGTGCTTTGCGTGTGGCTACAGCCTGTTCGTCATCCTCGTACTGGAAGGACATGACAGTATTACTATTTGTGTTATCACTGAGATCAAGGAATCTGGTGATGGAGTAGACTTATGGTGGAAGTGTTTGCTCATCATAACCATGTCCATTTCTTAAGTCAACAGCTGTAATATTGTTGGAATATTGCCAAGACCCCATGAAAACACTCACTCACTCGACACACTATTCAATCTGATGGGGTAAATGGGGTTTAATGGAAATATTCGAGGTTATTGCTTATATAGGGATGTGTTCTTATATGTATGTGCTTTTATGTGATTGACCCCGAGAAGATCCGGGTTAGAATTGGCCTTCAGCAACCATAAAAGGCAACTAATGGGATCAGGTGTCAGGCTTGCTGACTTGTTTGACATGTGTCATCGTATCCCAAGTGCATAGATCGATGCTCATGATGTTGATCACTGGATTGTTGGATCCAGACTTGATTATTTACACACCAATGCCATATAGCTGGACCATTGCTGAGTGCCACGTTAAACAACAAACCAACCAATCATGATGAAAACTAAAGACAAATATACTTTCTGTGAAATCTGTCAAAACAAGCCTCTCTATTATCAACCTCAGTTAAAACTGAGTTCAAATTTTGGTCAATACTATGTCAAAACAAGTCAAATGAATCCAAATCAAGGGCTTTTATCTATAAATATCTATAGACCATTCAGGTGATGGGTGCCATACCAAATACTTTAAGACACCAACATCCTATAACAGACTCTCCAAGCAATCTCATAAACGACAATCCTAAAACTATCACTGGATCTTTTATTATCTGACTCACCGTCACATAACAATGAGACTTGATCTTGTCAATCCAGAAACCATTCCCATCCAGGATGCTGCCAGTCCTCTTGAGCAGTTCTTTCAGTTGTCCCAGTGTGAAGGGGCGTACGAGGTTGCGGATGTGGATGATGTTGCAGACTGGATTCCTTGCTGGGGATGGTGAGCGGCGGGCAGCTTGGGGTTCGTCGGGCTCCTGGAGTGAGGCCTGGTTTATTCGACGAATAATCTTCGGCTCTAAACCAAACAAAACAAGCATTGTTACTAAGGTGACATAATCCCCCGCCACAAATTATCAAATCAAACTTAAAAAGTAATGAAAGTTTAAGATGAAGTTAAATCTCAACAAAAACATGACCAGTCAACCTCTCTTGATATCTTCTCTTTAGTTGTTCAAACACACAAATATTTCCAAGACTGACTTTGACTTTGACCTTGACATGAATGTCATAGTGTATGAAATATGTAAAAATGGTAATACAGAAATTGCTTATTGAAAAACATTCAAGGAAAGTCTTGAAAGTCTATGAAGAAAATCCAGTGAATTCAGGTTAACATGCTGAAATCTTCAAAGTGTCTCAGTGACCTTGAAACTTATGTGAAGGTCACCAAAATTGACTGAGCCCTGCGCCTTCATTAGATAAAGGTTGGTGTCAAATATGAAGAAAGCCCAGTGAATGGTTCTTGAGATATCTCGATGACCATCTTAACATGCAGGTTAACATACTGAAATCTTCAAAGTGTCGCTGTGAGCTTGAAAATTAAGTGAAGGTCACCAAATTCGACTGGGCCCTGCACCTTCCCTAGATAAAGCTTGGTGTTGAATATCAAGAACATCTAGTGAGTGGTTCTCGAGATATCTCGCTGACAAGAGTAAAACGTTAAGTCCCCTTGCAAACCTTGAAATGAAGGTCAAGGTCACTAAATCTGACTGGGACCTTTCTTATACTGTGATAAACCTAGGTACCAAATATGAAAAGAATCTAGCCAACGGTTCTTAAGATATTCTAATTCATACGTATGGATGGACGGAGCCTAATACTATATCCCCCGCATCGCGCTAAACGCACGGCGGGGGAAAAATATGGAATTTAATGCGAGTCATAATCGTGATTAATATTTGTAACATTCACAAACATAGCATGATCTCTTCGACTGTCATTCTAGAAGATAGTATCCTCATGATACAGGTTCTTGTCACACTTATAAACTATTTTAATCAGCAGAGTGGTCACAATGTCCGTGACGCAACCTTGTTATACCGTCAGTAAACACTGCTGTCCGAAAACATATAATCATACACTCAGAAAATATGTTTACAATACGTAAATAAAAATACATAAAAGGTTAAGAACAACAACTTCTGTTTAATTGGTGTATATCCTTGTAAAAATCTTCCGTTTAAAATTAGAAATACAAATCAGGAGGAAAAGAGAACGCTGACAGACATTACTTCAAGGGCAAAACATTATCTAACAGGACTTAGTGAAATAAGTTCCCTAGGGCAGTCTGTGGGTGTGGCATGTGTGAGTGCAGGTAGCAGCACGCCATCTTACCTGCTTTCACCTTCTCTTTCTCCTCCTCTGTCCTGTTGTTGTCCGTCTCCAGGAGGGTGTGCCGTGTGTCTTCCCCTTTACCATCCTCATCCTTCACGACCTGCAACACCAACCAAAACCAGAGTTAATCAAAATATCACCACACTTTTCCTTTAAAAAAACAGAGACCTATGAATTCCTGACACAGACAGATGTGCATCAATAGTCATTATTATATCTCAGTCTGATCTGACAATAGAATATGATTGAATCATTAGACAATGCAGATCAAATGCTTCAAACTATTGCAATTTGTCACAACTTCCTCTTGGTACAATAGTGAAACGTGAAAATGAAAAAGCATTTCTCCAATATTGTTCATTTGTGTCAAAATGATTCTCTAAACTAACCTTCACCAACAGATCCCCATTTCAGTCACTTCTTACAACAAACTAACATTGCTCTAAATGAACATTGATTGGTCTATTCAAGAACCCTGCTGCATGAGCTACCTGTACAACTGTTCTCCTGATCTTGATGTCACGCTTGTCCTCCTCTGGCTCAGACCCATACTCCCCCTCTGCTTCCAGCTCCAACACCGGCTCATTCAGCGGCTTCACGTCATCAATCAGACCCTGAAAAAAAAGGACAGGTAAATAATCAAGGGTGGAACATGTTTTTGATGTGATCAAACAAATCAGCTGACCACTTGATCCATACCCATCTATGACCAGCCTCAGTTAGTGGGGACCAATTCAAACCGTAATTTCCAACTGGAAAAAATAGGTCATGGATGCTTGCCAACTTGTGAAATCTGTCAAATGTGATAGTTCAAACTAAGGATTGTCACCAGTGTGTGAAATAGTTTCTAATTTTTGCTAGGTCAGGCTAGATATGCCTGAAAGTTACTAGCCCACAAAACAATTCACTGGCCCAAAATTTGAATGTTGACCCAGGTTTCATCATTAAGCTGCTAATATGATGAACATTTTTACGAGGCCATAATCTTGCATGATTTAAAATTCTATTATAACTTAACGAGTTGGAGAGAGTGATATATTTACAAAATGACCCCATGAAAATTCATTAGCCAGTCTGACCAGTTATTGTGGAGATTTACTGGCCCAACTGGAGTTTTACTAGCCACAGGCTAGCAGGCCAGTGGCTTTTTCACACACTGATTGTCACTATTGATGAGTAGATTTAAAGTTTAAGGTCCACCTTCACAGTCTACTTGATCACTGGTACACACTGGCACACAAAACAAGAAGGAATATTCCTAATAAAATGAACAAACAGTATCCCTGAAAAGGACACCTACATGCACCATCTCACAAAAATAAACTCAACATTCTTCAACAGTAAAACTTCAAGTTACCTTGAGTGAATCTGTTGAGATCTCAACACTGGTTGACTTCTTGGCATACTTTGCACTCGATGATCCCCACTTCCTCTTCTTGACCGGGCGGTCCTTCTTGTCCCCTGCCATGTTCTCCTTCTCCTCCGACTCGTCCTCCTTGCCTGTAACAGAACACCATCATTACACCAACACCAGGCACAACCACGTTATTGTCATGCTGTCTGAACCAGCCACAATATCATGGGAAACCTGTCATTATATACCAATACTGGAAAGGCAAATTGAAATATTTAAATAAAATGGACTTTGATGCATTGGGAATTTTGTAATTCAATTTGTTATAAATTCATATTTTACAGATATGTAAAATGAAACCCTATAATTCATGAAAGAGTGAGGAGTGAGTAAGTGAGTTTAGTTTTACGCCGCTTTTAGCAATATAACAGCGGAGGACACCAGAAATGGGCTTCACACTTTGTACCTATGTGGGGAATCGAACCCGGGTCTTCGGCGTGATGAGCCAACGCTTTAACCACTGGGCTACCCCACCACCCTAGTCCTGTAAGATGCTGATAACCAAGAACTGTAATCAGCACAAATCTTAGATTGCATCCTGCAGTGACTCAGGGAAGGAACTTGGCACCATGAGTTGCAGCATCTTAGAGAATTGGTCCACTCAACACTAACAGTGAATGACTGATTTAAAGTAAGAAGATGCACTAAGGGGCTAGTAAGAACCTTTATTAGAGCTGGAGAGTAGATTTCTTCGTCGAGGGGGTACCACCACTTCTGCTACGGCTGCTGCCTTCCTTGCCTCCTCGGCCTGTAATATCCAGCCAAATGTTGAATCACTGGCCCGTTACTGGCGTCAAACCTTCGTCTGTTCTATACACTATACGCTTCAGACAATGCAAGGAGTTGACAGAAACCGCTGATGTACTACACTTACCAAATGATTAGTTAATAAGACGTCTTTCTGTCTCTTGTGATTTTTGTCAGATCTCTGTCGAAAAATGATTGCCATTCTAAATGTAAGATATTATTTTAAGGGATTTTTCCTTTTATTAAACATAAAAACACCTTGCAACATCTCTGTGAAGCAGCTTGAATTCCTTATCAGGTCTCACAGCTTTCATTCTGAACATATATGCCCAGTAACATTCTACTTTTCTTTGGGAACTGTTTCTATCATTATCTGACTTCATCTTACAACTGTAGGTATCACTTTTTAAACAATATTAGACTGAAAAAAGGAATTTCCATACGGCAGCTCTGAAAGAAGAACTCTGATTACATTTCATATTACATGGCAGGAAATTACGTTTCTGAAATTACAAAAAATTTGGGGAGCTTTGTGAATTAAAAGCTTTTCATTACTCAAAACTGTTGCCAAATATTTTGAGCGTAGCAATATGGTCAAAGTTGTATGCTTCCACCATGTAAGTATGACAGTTGAAAGAGCTGGACTGTACGTAATATCTGAACGTTCAAATACCAGTGGTCACTTGTGATGGCTGTGTTCTTGCCCACATATATACTGAGTGATCTCAAGCTACACACAAAACATCAAGGGGTTAGGGGCAAATGTTGGTTGCCAGACTCGTTTTCTGCGCCACGTTTTTCTCGCCTTGTAGGTTAAGACATCAATTAGCTGCAACAGCTCTTCTGCCATATTGGTTTCAACAATGGAATCTTTCGATAAAGTTCAAGTATTGTCATGAAGTATGACAAGTATTATATAGTCCATTGTTTAACATCAGGATCTTCTTTTTCACAGAAATGTTCAGGAACAATTTGAAAGTTTCAGTTTATCAGTTTCATTAAACCAGTTTTCTTTTCACTTTTCTGTGAGACGAAGCATCACTCTCCGCAGGTGAATATTCTTTCCACCTCTCTCACAGATGAAGCAATATTTCGATAGGTGAGGCACTATTCTTTATGTCCTAGACTTGTGAAGCAGTATTAAGCTTTATGTCCACAACAGATAGGCAATGACGTGTCACACATTGTATCAGCTGTTCTCTTTGACACCAAGGCCCTAGTTCTGGCCTGTTATAAAGCACACACCATGTGAAATATCCACCTCTACATATGTCTACACAGTCACCTTGGTCAGAAACAGTCTTTCACACACTGAAGGACATCACAAGCAATCTGTAGTCGGTTCACAGTAATTGCTGTGTGTTCACACTCTCATCATATGTTGTGGGTCTGCAGATGTATGTATGGTAGTATCTGTACTGTGTGGCTTGTCAAAGTCTTTTACTCAATGTCCTCCAACAGCTGCATATCTCAGGCGATTGGTCCAGCTATAACGATTCAGTAGAGACACCACTTTCAACTCTTTCAAGACACATTAGATCCAGTTCAACACCTTCACAATCTTGCTAGATCACTGTCTTTAGAAAGTGAATCTTTTTCTTCCACAGTTTTCAGTCACTTGGCACAGTCTGCTACTGGCTTTTCCAATATTGCTCATCTTGTGTATCACAAAATTCTTGTGGCAATTGAGGACACGACTGAATTTCACCCTCGACAATTCTTCTGACATTTGGATGTACATGCCTGAAGACTCAAGGAATACTTCAGAAAGAGTCCTGTCTTGTAGTGCCATAATCCTACATGTATGAATGATCTTTGCCCACTGTCAACAGTCCTTCAATCAGCTCAAAGATACAACCACACCTTCAGCACGCTTGAAGACACAGTATTAATCTTTGAAAACTGTATATGTTTTCCAGTTTTCTTTTCACAAGACCTGCTACAAACAGTCTTTCAGTTAAAAGCTTAAAATATTGTTCAGTATGCATGTTTGGCAAAGTAATGTCAGCTTTCAAGCACAAGGATTTCAGAATCCTCAGCTGCAACTTCAATATAAGATCATGGGCTTTTGTCAGGAAGACGAACTGGACTGTCACTTTTCACACCACATCCACAGTCTATGGTCTTGTAACACCGACCATTCAAGCTATTTCAGTCACAAAGTTCAGCATAACAACAACCGGTGACGGCTTCAGGTAACCATGGCAACTATTAGGCGGTAAAGGTCAGGGACGAGGCCAAAGAGATATGGGAGTCTGGCATCCGGGCGCAATGTATGTTTGGCAAGCTGCATCATTCCCCGTGTCTCCCAGTTGGACGTAGTTACCTCCCTTTTCTAACGTACACGTGAGACAGCAGAGGTAATAGTATGTCATTAAATCATGGGAGAGGCCTAATAACTTTAAGTTTGACAATAACAACTTACAAGCAACTCAAGTCCATTACACAATGCCCAAGCAACATAACTTCAGAGAAAATGTTAGAATTATACAGATAGATGGTAAAAAGTTACTCAAAGTATTCCTAGGCATGCACTGAATCACAGATGGAATTCAAAACATGCCAAAACATTTTAAGATTATAAACAGCTTCTTCCAGCAACTGCATCTGGCAAATACAGAATGGACAGCAGTTGCTCGCATTGGGAGTGAAATCCTCATATTTCACATCCGAGTAACACCTCAAGATATTGCCTTTCCTTAAAAACATTTCAGTGATATACAGCCATGAAGAATAATGCAGTTCAGGTGAAAGGTTTCAGGTGAGAACTTACAAACAAGTGGGCATTGTGTCTGAGCAACTAAAAACACCATGACAGTTCTGACAGCAGATTTGCCTCTCCCTCCCACTTGATTTACTCCCATTTCTTTACCCCATTTTGTACCCCTTCCTCTTACCTTGTCAGCTTCGCGTTTACTCTCAGAATCTTCAGTCTCCTCGGCATCCCTTTAAAACATCAGGTTTAAAATACAGTTGTTGTTATACAGTGTTACAATGTGACAAATATTTTGATAACAAGATCGGATATCATACATATCCTGATGCTTAGGTTTGGATACTATACATATATAGCTGACTGACTGACTGAGTTTGGTTTTTCGCCGCTTTTAGCAATATTCCAGCAATACCACGGCGGGGGACACCAGAAATGGGCTTCACTCATTGTACCCATGTGGGGATTCGAACCCGGGTCTTCGGCGTGACGAGCCAACGCCTTAACCACTAGACTACCCCACTGCCCTATACATATAAAGAAATAATGGCTGGGACAGAATCTTTCTCTCAATAGTCAGGTCAGGACAAGATACTTACTTAAAGGTCACATGCAACCAAAAAATCAAACATAATTAAAACACAATTATCACTTATTCATGACATATAATAAACATTGCTGGTTATGAAAAAACATAAAAACAAAATTATAAGCGTACAATCGCAAATCAAAAGTGCAATATTGTGTACTTCGGTTTACTTCCCAAGAAACGAAGCAGCCGGGATACCGAATCCAGTCAGAGCGGGTGGGTGTGCACTCAAGTGTAACGGCTGGTTCATTTGCAGATGACTTCACGGGTCATTGTGTGTGTATATATAGAGATGTTGGGTTTTGTAAATACATGCTCATTATTTGTGTATAACATTTTACAATCAACAGACATCATAACATGTCATGTGTACCAAGTATCACACCTGCCTGTCTGTGTAATTACATAACGTGACAGAGACCGAACTCGGGCCATAAATCAATGCATTTTGTTTAGGGTGTATAGCCTGATTGGTGTTAAGTTCAAATTGCATGTGGTCAGTGATAGCAGCTGTGTATTGAATATTGTCATTAGCAGACAGGCAGGCAGACACACAGGTGTCAATAAAACAAGACATTGAGTTTTGTCTGTGACAACGACATATCTATATCACAGTTAGAAATTCTGTCAACGCTAAATAATGACATTGCTTTTAAGTATCGAACTGAGAAAGTGTCTCGTAAGAAGAACGTGTGGTGAAATAGACAAATGAAATTATATAAACAGTTAATTTACTGTCATAACATATAAAAGCTCGCCTGTGTGATATCAACAAAACATTAGAAAAATAGCTTACACCAAAGCCTTCACCGAGTATTCACCCGACAACCCGCTTCCAAGCTGCGCTTGAACCTATTTACTTGCGCGCGTGCATATGAGCGCAGCCCAGCTGTTGAAACCCGCTTTTCCCAGAAAAGTCTGGGGAAAATTAGTGAAACGTTTGAACTCCGATTTCGCGTGGTTTTTTTCATCGCGTTATTTTTCAAGTTTATAAGTTGAATTTGCATTTTTGACGATTTGTTTCGGTATGTCCATACCGAAAGGTATCAGAATCTGCAAAGTTGTGTTTTACGTTGCATGTGACCTTTAAATTATTGCCAAATTAATGTTTCACTCAGTTAAAGATAAAACCCCTAATATGTTCACTTGAAAATATTATATAATGCATTGTTTACATTTATCTGTGCCATCTGGTGATATAGCAAACTATACAACATCCACTAAATAGTAAACACTCACATGGCTTTACTACGATCATCATCATCATCCTCATTATTATCATCAGCATCAGACTCCTCACTCTCAGATGATGACTCGGATGAGGACTTCGCTGAACTGGATTCCCCATCCCTCTCCTTCTGCTCTTCATCCTCAGACGACGACTCTTCCGATGATGTTGACAGGCGTCTGTTGATACTACTCTGTACAGACATAGGGACCTTCTTAACTGGCGTCTGCTTGTTGTCCTTTGCCTCTGCTTCTTTCTCTTCTTCAGCCTCAGAAACAACTTTCTGTTGGCTCCTGTCTAAATCTTCTGTTGAATCTGGCTTGTCTGATCTGGCTTCAGGTTCTTCCACCTTTTCCTTCTTGGAATCATCTGCATCCTTTTCTTTTGGTGTGTCGTTTTTCTTGGCACCCCATCTCCTACCCCTCCTGGGTGGGGAATCGGCTCTCTTTGGTGAAGTGGAATCGGCTGGTTTGTCTTCAGGTATCAGTTCTGCAGCTTTGGGTTCAGTCTTTTCTGATTCTTGGGTTTTCTCTTCAGTTTTTGATGAATCGGCTTCAGCAACTGTGTCTTCTGACTTTGAACTGGAGTCTTTAGAGGATTTTGATCCCCATCGTCTGGTTTTAGTTGCGGGTCTTTCTGTGTCTTCTTGATCCCTGGTTTTACTCTCCTGAGATTTGGAATCATCTGATGACTTCCTGGCACCAAATCGCCTACTTAATGACACTTCCTCACTTTTCACAGTCTTGCTTTCTTGCAAGTCCCTTGGTTCTGGGATTGGAAGTTTTTCAGTACTTTCTGAGTCTGGTTTTTGAGGCTCTGCACCAGAAATAGTGTCCTTTACATCTGATTTTTTAGGTTTAGATGATGTGTCACTTTCTACTGGTTCAGGTTTTGAAGATGTGTCACCTGTAGGATTTTGGGCTCCCCAACGATTTCTCTTTGAAGATTTCTCAACTTCTTCCTTCCCCTCTTCTTCTTCAGGTGCCTTAATACCAGGCTTAGTGGTGCCTGAAGACTTTTCAAGTTCTTTGTCACCTTTAGCATGTTCATCTGTCTTGATATCTGCAGTGTTCCTGGTTTTGAGACAGCCTCAGCTTCCACAGAATCTGTGTCTTTGGAAGATTTACGACCCCAGCGATTTCTCCTTTCTGGCTTGTCACTGCCTTGAGATTCTGCCTTTTCTTTGGAGGTATGATCTTGCTCAGACTTGGAACTGTATTCTTTCTCCAATTTGGAGTCAGGCTCTTCTTTTGACTTAGAGATTGGGTCTTTATCTGATTTAGAATTGGGCTCTGTTTCTGGTTTTGAAGTACTCTCTTTCTCCGTTTTAGAACTGGGCTCGTTTCCAACTTTTGAAATTGATTCTTTCTCTGCTATAGAACTTGGCTCATTGCCTGGTTTAGAACGGGGTTCTTTCTCAGATTTAGAGCTGGTCTCTTTCTCAGATTTAGAGCTGGTCTCTTTCTCAGATTTAGAACTGGTTTCTTTCTCAGATTTAGAGCTAGGCTCTTTCTCAGGTTTAGAGCTGGTCTCTTTCTCAGATTTAGAACTGGGCTCTTTCTCAGAGGTAGAACTAGGCTCTTTCTCAGATTTAGAGCTGGTCTCTTTCTCAGATTTAGAGCTGGTCTCTTTCTCAGATTTAGAACTGGTCTCTTTCTCAGATTTAGAGCTGGGCTCCTCAGATTTAGAACTGGGCTCTTTCTCAGATTTAGAACTGGTCTCTTTCTCAGATTTAGAGCTGGGCTCTTTCTCAGATTTAGAACTGGTCTCTTTCTCAGATTTAGAGCTGGGCTCTTTCTCAGATTTAGAGCTGGGTTCTTTCTCAGATTTAGAACTGGGCTCTTTCTCAGAGGTAGAACTAGGCTCTTTGCCTGATTCAGAAGTGGTTTCTTCCTGTGATTCAATGCTAGGCACTTTCTCTGATATAGAAATGTTCTCTTTCCCTGATTTAGAACGGGAATCTTTCTTCAATATGGAACTTTGGTCTTTCTCTGATTTGGAGCTAGGGGTTTCTCGGATTTGGAGCTAGGGTCTCTTTCTGATTTGGAACTGAGGTCTTTCTCTGATTTGGAGCTTGGGTCTTTCTCTGATTTTGAATTGGAATCTTTCTCAGACGTGGAACTAGAATCTTTGCCTCTTGAGTCAGTCCTTTTATCACTTTCTGCTTTGAGTTGAGTCTCTTCAGACTTTGGAGTGTCTATTACATCTGGCTTTGCCTGAGAATCTTTCTGTTGCCCCCATCTACTTTTCCTTCCTGCCTTCTCTTTCTCATCACTTTTTATTTCTTGAGCTTTAGTTTCATGTTCTACTCCTTTTGAACCATGTCCAGTATTGGATTTAGAGCTAGCATCTTTTTCAGGCTGCTGTTCTTTTTCTGCAGAAGATATTTGCTCTGATGGTTTGGGGGATTCTATTACTTCAGGCTTAGAAGATTCTTGGGAAGACCTCCCCCATCTCCTACTCCGCTTTTGTGGTACCTCTTTCTCAGCAGCATCCTCTTTTGGTTTCTCTTTCTCCTCCTCCTTTCTTTCATGATCTGCGGAACTTCCTTTACTTTCAGTAGTAGCTTCAACATCTACAGGTTTCTTGGTTTTTGCTGATGGTGCAGGTGCCTTATTTTCGGTCTCCTTCTTATCCTGGGGCACAGCTTTTGGCTCGGGTTTAGATTCTGGTTTCAACTCGGCAGTGACACTCACTTTTACTGGCTCAGGAGGAGGTGGTTCTGCAATGGAGCGTTTGATATAGTCCTTTCGAGACATTGGTCTCTTTTCTTCCACTGGATCAGATTTTTTCTCTCTCTTGGACTCCACAGTTTCTGCATCTTTTTTGTCTTTCACAGTTTTCTTGTCAGGGGTCTTTTCCTGGGGATCTTCTTTTGCTTTGGGGACTGGTTTATCAGACTTTTCCGGGGGAGGTATGGGCTCTTCCCTGGCTGGTTCCTCAACTGCTATCGCAGCAACAGCTACTGCTGCTGCCACAGCAGCCTTGCGACTACTGCCTCTACGAGGTCTCTTAGTTTCTGTCTCAAGGGGCGTTTCCTTTTCAGCTACCACTTCAGCTTTCTCCTGCAATAAAAAATCTAGCAATGACAATATTGGCAAGAATGTCAAAATATTACAGTTTGTTAATTTTTTTTGGTTCATTCTGATTCAGGTATATTTTTCATTTCTCTCATTGGGGTAGTGGCCCTTGGCATTGAAAAGTCATGTAAGTCATTATCAGTCTTGATTTAACATGGTGTTACTTATTCTTAACATACATTTTATGCGATCTTGACGACAAAGATCAAAGCATGTAGCATAACAAAGAATGCCAATGACAGAGATCACCCAGTCTCAATTAACCAACAGAGTGTGTGGGGCATGTATGGCGAAAAGCCATTGAAAATTATATGAATAGATCAATTGAATTAGAGATGACACCATTTGGTCACAAAATGGCTGGGCATGTTCTGCCCTGCTGACAGTGCTCACACATTTACTTACTGTATAAAACAAAAACATTCTATCACACTTTAAGTACAAGTGCAGCGATTCTCATGCTCTTCAGTAAAGAAAACACCTTTAAGGAAGATCTTCCACTGACCAACTTACATATAGGAATTAAACATTATCTGCCCCTTATTCATTAACTCTGAATTGTTTTGATTTAATTTCTTTGTAGCTCAAAATTTGATTTCTCCATCTGTCTCTGAACGGATCACTTCACATGACAAAACCTAAAAAATAACATTTGATACTTTAGATATACTGGTGCTCATTACCTTTGAAGGGGAAGGAGATGGTGACCTTGAACCTGAGACTGTCCTTGTCCTTCCTCTCTTGCTTGTACGACCTTTACCTCTTCCCCTTCCACGACCTTTGCCTCTGCTGCTTCTGACTGGAGTCTCCTCTGGTGAGGACTCTTCTGAAGCTGATGATGCTGATGGTGATGGCGATGGGGTGGGAGATTTCTTATGAGCGCGACGCAGGGATGACCTGGTCAGGGACTTGGAAGGTGGTGAGTCTGCCTTCTTTGTTTGACGTTTACGACCTCCACGTTTTCTTGGAGGACTGCAAGAAACAACAACAACATTAATCTTAGACTTGCATCAAGGTTGCCTTGATGTCTCAGACTTGGGTCAGGGTTGCTTTGATGTCTCAGACTAGGGTCAAGGTTGATGTCTCAGACTTGAGTCAGGGTTGCTTTGATGTCTCAGACTTGATTGCCTTGATGTCTCAGACTTGCGTCAAGGTTGCCTTGATGTATTTATATACATAACTATACGGTACACAGAAATGAATGAAACTAAGATTATCCAAACTATTTCTTTGAAATGAAAAGTATGCATCAGTGGATATGAAGTTTTATAACATGGTAAACCATTACTACCAGTAGTTACTGGTATTTCAATTAGATAATAGAGTTTCAGTAATTAATTCCAGGGTAAGTGAGTGCATACTTCTTTGCACAAGAGATCACTTGACAGAGCTGACAGTCATCAGTGAAGGGCCTTCATTCATCATCAAAGGGAATGACTAGATACCATAAAGTAACATTACACTGAATTATGTCAGGTAAACTAACTTTTCACAATAACTCAAGTTAGATATTGTGACAGTGGAAATGGGTTAATGCCTGTTTCTAACATTTCAATTACAGAGGTTATATCACAATGGTTCTCGGATCAAGTGGTCCAAGATAAGGGTTTTATTGTGCTGCAGAAATGTGCATCCAGTGCGCCCTAACATACAAAATGGATGCAAACATATTACAAAGAGTTTCCCAAGAAATTATCAAATCATATTTACAGCACCACACTCTTGACAAGAATGATAAAAGTTTTGATAGCCAATTTTTTCATGTAGGCCAGACAGGTTGCCAAGCCTTATATTTAGATAGTATTGAGTGCTTGTCCAACTTTTTGAGCAACATTCAAGTGTAAGCCCAGGCTTTTTTCATAATGCTAGCTACGCCCCAGCCATGAAAATAGTATTTGGTGTCATCTGTAGCCTTGTTATAGGACAGGTAAAACCTTGGTCCCTGAAGAAACATAATGCTAGCTACGCCCCAGCCATGAAAATAGTATTTGGTGTCATCTGTAGCCTTGTTGTAGGGCAAGGTAAAACCTTGGTCCCTGAAGAAACATAATGCTAGCTACGCCCCAGCCATGAAAATAGTATTTGGTGTCATCTGTAGCCTTGTTGTAGGGCAGGGTAAAACCTTGGTCCCTGAAGAAACATAATGCTAGCTACGCCCCAGCCATGAAAATAGCATTTGGTGTCATCTGTAGCCTTGTTGTAGGGCAGGGTAAAACCTTGGTCCCTGATGAAACATAATGCTAGCTACACCCCAGCCATGAAAATAGTATTTGGTGTCATCTGTAGCCTTGTTGTAGCAAGGTAAAACCTTGGTCCCTGATGCAACATAATGCTAGCTACACCCCAGCCATGAAAATAGTATTTGGTGTCATCTGTAGCCTTGTTGTAGGGCAGGGTAAAACATAATTGTGGTTTGTGAACACCATATACCTATGCTCATGGGATTCTTAAAATCCACGAAACCTTTAGCTATTCTCCCAAATCAGGCAGAAAGGTTGTGATAAAACTGAAATTGTGTTCAGTGGCATTGAACCAACGTTATTCACAAGTTCGTGACAAGTATTTTCTACCAAAGCAGTGAAAATCACAGCGGTTTTGAAAACTCAGGGACAAGACTTAAAACCATGGGAATGAATCTCGACTCATTCAGCCTGTATGGTGGCTACACACGAAACCCAGGCTACATATCTAGGCTAGATCTATGGGACTACAGCTCTGGTTTCTTATGGAGTGTTTTGTGTGAAAATAAATGTTCTATTCTTCCCTTGTCTATTTTGTGTCAAAAATGAAGTAACAAATGTTTAAGATCAAGTGGATATACATAAATTTGTGCTCTTTACATGATCTTTTATATATAGTTGGCATATTTGTTATTTTATTCGATTCTAAGGTAAACTTTGATGCATTCTTTTTGTGTTGTGAACTTGAAATATTTCTAATGCATGAAACTAGTTAAAGTGTCATGTATCATTTATTTAACAAGTCTCTGATCATGTGATTGTATGTATACCTGGAAGTGCCAGGTATAGTATCAGCAAGAACTATTTACGAACTATCAGTCCCATCAGGTTGATCTATATTTTTTCCTTACAAATTCACAAGTAATTCATATCTCATAGCTGTCTCTTTATCAGAATGATATAATATATATATAGCCAGTGTCATTCTCTTCCCACAGAGGTTACTTGTCATATCTTCCTACGTAACCTGTTGTAATACGGCCATATTTCCCGGTTCTCGTAAAATCCCCTAGCGGTAAAAGATCGCAACACGAATGATCTCCCTTCTTTCTATCCAATCAGAACACGTGTTACATTGACTTAGATTCAACTTGACTAACACAAGCAAATGTGGGGCCACATATATCCCTCCTCTGCCAGGGACTGGTGTTGATGTTACACACAAGACGTTTAATGGCTAGCATGTCCGTTGTCAACGAGGGCGATGGAGACGCCATTGAGCCGCCATAACATGACTGAGTTCTGTCTAGAAGAAACGTTTGCACATCTCGCTGGGGAAGAGGTTTAGTTTTCTGGAGACATACGGAAATTACCGAGGCCTTGCGAATGATCACTTTTGAAACAACGTCGCTGATTGCACAACTAAATCTGATTGCAACCAATCACGAATCATGAACACTCGCACCATGAAAGGGCCATATTAGAACAGAGGTTCGTAGGAAGATATGACAAGTAACCTCTGTGGGAAGAGAATGAGCCAGTGTATGAAAGAAGCCAAATATCCAGCCAGACAAATTGGATTTAACCAGACCAAATATGGTGAATTTACTCAGATGTATGGAACATTTAAAATTGTTACCAGACCATTGGGCTGGCTAGCTGTAAATTTAGACCGTCCGTCAGAAATCTAGACATACACTGATATAGCTATATATATAGTGAGTGAGTGTGGTTATACACCACTGTTAGCAACATTACAGCAATATGAAGGCAGGGGCACCAGAAATGGGCTTCACACATTGTACCCATGTGGTGAATCAAACCCGGGTCTTCGGCATGACAAGCGAACGCTTCAACCACTAGGCTACCCCCATCACCCCTATAGCTATATACCGGTATGTATAACTGGACCTGGTTGATATGTTAAAACTGGTTGGGTTTTTTCTGTTTAGAATTCAACAAAGCTGGTGGAATTTCTCTTCTGTATTATCAGGTAACCTTGAAACCGAGATGGATTACCCAGCCGGATGTTCTTCTTGCTATCTTTTGTATTTTTAGTGTTGTGTCACCTCCTAGTTGTGAATATGGGTGAGAAAGTGTGCAATGGCAACAAATATTCACAAAGTTGTGCTGATGCATAGAACAGTTACAGTGTTTACCTATGCTTGCTGACATACTGGTATTCATCTTCTTACAAATCTTTTGATAATAAGAAACGACTGATGGCAAAATAAGTAATGGGTCTATGAATACTTGGCCTTTAAATGATCCTTAAAACAATGTAGGGATGTGCAATTTTCTACATTAAAAGACATTTTGTCTTTATATGTTACAGGATACACATTTTCTTGGGGAAAAAAGAAAGAAATTACAGCCATGCAGAATGGGGGTTTGAATGCATTTTTAGCAGTTATATTTATAGAGTTAATTCAAGGTGAGTAGTAACATTGACAACTAATAACTTTGAATACAAAGTCATAAATATTTCGTGATAATAATGGTAATCTAATGATTATACATATCAATATTTGGTCAATAAATAACATTGGCAAATCTTTACGGCCCAAACATGTATGATACTAAATTCATTTAAGTCCCAGAAAATAAGAACTTCAATAATGATCTAATATACCAGCAGGTGTTTGGAACCTTGTTCCTCAAAAGGATACACTAAATTATTTACATGTTAATCATCTGAAGGGAAGGGAAATAGTATCAGACATGATTGGTGATTTAGATTTAGTTTATTTAAGGAGAAAAGAAAATACAGATTTGTAGCAGTTCACATGGCGAAGAAAAACAACTAAACTTTTGTTTCAGATTTCATGAAAAAATGGATGATGCATCATTCAATTTTTGAAATTAAAAACAGCAATGTCTCCAGCATAAATTGCTCAGAGGAGGGTACCACCAAATCTGTTACCATTGTGCAGCTGTATGAATGTGTTTGGTGGAATAAGCATGTATTTGTGTCAAGTTATGCATAAAAAATAATAATCAAACTTTGTTTCCGCTCATATTATTATATCAACATTACCGCTATTTAACATAGGTGTGTGTGCATGTGGTTGCATGTTTTGCACTTTAGAATTGAAACAGGAAACTGACATGTGTCTTGACACAGAATCACATACAATACATGTCATACTCTGCACACCCCTTGTCTATTCATTGGTGAACATACTCACAGAACAGCGTAACTAGTCCAAGCAAACAGGGTGCACTCCATTCCAGCATTTTTCCTCTCAAGCTGGTAACTTGGTTCTTTTAATATCATAAGCAATGGGCTGCCAAATTCAAATCCATTACAAGAATACAAACGATGTCATTACTAAATGTAAATTTCTTTCACTTTCAACATAAAAGATTGTTCCTGTTTCCCTCACAGCAGGTGTACACACATATGTTCGGCTGGCTGAACATGTTTACTGATAGAACAGCAGTCACTGCATGGAAATATCTCCAGTCACCATTCAGCAGTTAACATTGCCAGTGAACTTACCAGTCTATAACTGGGTCATGTGTGTTTTTATGCCCACGCCTGAGTAAAGTGTGAGAGCGGCTACAAAGAGATGAACACCATGCCCTCTGAGGACCTACTTTATATTACTACACATACATTCACCCGAACAAAGTACCTTCATCTTGCTAATCTTGTTACACGTGTTAAAAATGGATAGTATCTAAAACAGACAATAAGTTGGAAATATTCAAGCTGGAAGAATAAATGACCGAAGAGTGACAATGCAGTTTTATGAAAATATTTTCCATGAGTCGGCACAAATACTAAGT